AAACGATCACCGAAAAAATACAAGAACGCGAAAACGTAGCAATGCTACAAGTCACGCTCATAGTGTTCTCATTTCTACTTGGATATTCCGCCGAAGCGGGTAAGCTGACTTTTATTTTGCTTTTACATCAACTCAAACACCAATGTTATGTCATTTTGTGATGTTCACTTTAAATAGGATTCCAACCTATTTAGGCAGTTGGATTTAAAAATACTTTCCATATCAATCAGAATGACCAACCCGAACTGATAATCTTGATTCGACATACCACTTCGAGTGTCACCGCTATTTGTGTAACAACTTTACGTATGCGTTGCAACGAAAGCTTTTATACACACAATATCGCATCTAAATTTTATATGAGTGATCAAATTTATGATACGTTTTAGATTGTTCAGTGGTCAAGATTTTTATTATTTGTCAAATAAAACAATTGTAAGCAATCGCTATCATTATCTCTGTTATCATCGAAATTGAATATTTCTTACATCAAAGGTCGATTTCTTATTCATTTTTATTTATTTGTTATCTTGTCTCAGGTTCCAAGGTGAAATTGTTCATTAAATACCATAAGTTTGATTCTGCATTATTTTAGCCTACCGCATGACAAAAATATTGAATCTGAGGGACCTCTTCACTGTGCGAACGAAATGGTTGACTCTCACAGTCGCATATATTCTATTGCGAATATCAGAATGCCTTAATCCACTTTTTTACAACCTGTCATCCCGGTAAGTTTTTTCTATGCTTAAAAAATAAAGCCATTCTGTAGAGTTTGGACGGACCAGATCAAGCCTAACCTGAAATTCAAAATTTTATCGGGGTAGAACATTATGATAGACTATCTAATTCTAAAAAGTGGTTATTTCCTGCATTCCTGGTATCACCTGACAAAAAGTTGCAGATCGCAAACAGTGTTTATATTTCTTACCATCCAATTTCGGCGGTTATGAATTAGCAGAATGAAATTGAAAACTAAATTTCTTATTCATACAGCCCACTGAGAAAAAGAACTAAACGTTTTCTGAAAATACAGAAAAACTACGAATCGTCAGACAGCATCAACGTATCAGAAACAAAAAAAGAAAATGTCAGAAAAACAAGCGTTACCGTTGTGTAAATCAAACACCACCGGATATAAGCTGGGTGTCAAATATGAAATGTACACGGGAGTTACAACCAACTCATATAACCCAGATATGGCGATAAGAATGTAGCCCTTTGATGAGATAGAATTGAATGTGAATGTATTATTCATTTTATAGCAATGTGTTGTTTATATGTCTTGTTCGTGTGTATATAATATATCTGCTTCGTCGAATTGACCCGAGTGTATATTCTTATGACTTATGAAAACACATCAGAAACTCTTAATTTCGGTGCAGGAATGAACGTACTAAAATATGATCAATACCGTAGCCAGCCAAATTCTTATTGTGGAAAAGGGGGCAAACTTTTGTCTTGTACAATGACGTAATACGAACAATGCTTACTCGTGTCTTTTGCTCAGAACAAGGCTAGATAAAGCAGCCACTGATATCTAACGATGTTTTGACTCTGCACAACCTTACTTCGCTGTCGAAGGTATCCAAGCTAGGTAAGCGTGAGTTTCATCTATCGCGGTTGGTTCATTTGGAGAATGAAATATTGATGGTGAGGAAACGTCGGGTTTTTGGCCAATCGTTCGAGATTAGAACAAACTGGTGTTGAAAAATACGTGGAATTGATGTCTCGGTGTAAATGCCACAAAATTGCGGTTCCCAAAGTAGAAGTCGCGAGCAGTAAAAATGGGTCGCATTACGGGGATTCAATCTGTCAAAACAAACTTTCTCTTTTCATTTTACAATGTATATATGTATGTATATTTGTTTGCCTCAAAAATGTAGCAATATTTGCATAATAATTAAACGGTATAACAGAGACGGGGGAGAGGAAAGTCGATAAGACGACTTAATCATAGTCCGAACCACGGTCTCTCGTCCGGTTAGCATTTCAGGTCGGGTATGGGATTGGTTAGCCAGTTATTTGTTTTCGGAAGCATGGACTTGATGGTGGAGGAGGCGTAACGGACCAGCGGTTACGTGAACCACCCTACGGCGGCGAGGAGTCCAGCAATTCTCTCGCACATAATCATCCCCGCATGGGATTCGGACCTGCAAACCCACGCAAGGTAATCAGAGATGCGGTGACAAGCGTATTCCTAACGCTTAGCACGATGCCCCACATTACCGAGCCCATGTACCCCAACAAGTTCTTTCCATTTCATCATTATCGCAACATGTGGCTCCGAGCAGGTTTGAAGTTGATGGAAAAATGGCTTCTACAATACTGAAAGTTGCCGAGTGCCGACCCGTAGTTTATGCCAATAATTATTCATACCCTTCACCGGTTTTAGTCATTGACGTGTACGGCTTCAGCTAATTCTTAAGATTGTGATATTCCAAGAACTCCACAAGTCCATGCATCTGAAAACAAAAAATAACTGATTCCATAAACCCCATGGACTGTTAACCGGACGAGATTCCGTGGGTTCGCCATATGATTAAACGGTTTCATTACATTTGAACCCACGTACATTTGAACCCACGACAATTACACCTGCATACTACTGTATCTATGGAATTTTTTTTTGTTTTACGGCTATTTGAACTCATACTAAATCTAACCCATGGTTTTAGCACTCGCATATGGATTGAACCCGCGGATATACACATGGGTTCAAATGTACGGTCACCGATTAAACCGTCTTATCGGCTTTCCTCATCCCCGGGATAAATATGTAAATCTTATCCATTCATGGACTTCCATTTGTGACATAATTTTTTTCCCAGATGGTACATTTTGCGTCGGTTTAAACCTAACATTTAGAGACTGTGACCAGCAACTAAACTTAGGCTAGAAAGACATTGCAAATAATATTAATAAAGAAGAAGAAGACATTCGCATTCTAATAAAATGATGATGACATAATTGCGCTTTTCCATAATTCGCGATAACCCCCATAAAACCAGAAACGCCAGAAAAACTCATAACCCGCGGGCAATAAAACCACGGCTTGCTTACCTCGCCCTCGGCACGTGCTCTGTTATCATCAATCTATATTTCATTTATATAATTGTTGAATATGTAGTGATGTAATAAAAATGCATTGTGTCGTCATTGAGGCTATGCTAAATTTGAATTTTTCGAGTTATAAACAATTTCGAGTCTCAATCTCAAGTACGTTTCGTTCTTGCTCGAGAATGGTGAAGTCATTCAGCGTATGTTTATGGAAGTGTACTTGCGCAACATTCTAAACCTCGTTTACACATTGCGTTTACACCATATGATCATGCAGTTGGATACTCTTCCATTAGGTGGTGTTTTTTAGTTGGACATTCTGCTGATATTTGCCAGAAGGTTACGGAACTTCCCCCAGTTTGTCAGATTTAACGTTATCTGCTAAACTGCGACCGGTGCCTATGCGGGCAGAAACCCCTACCGGTACTGAATTAGGTAGTACCGGTACCGATACAGAATTAGCCTACGCAAGTTTTTAGTAGCCTATCACTTGCGACCTGGGCATTGCAGAAGTTAACAGACAATTCTGTTCAGATAACTTAGAGACAAATGCTGAAAGGCCGTTCGGTCAGGCGGTACTCCTGTCCTGTTTGTGTTCGAAAACACAGATAAACATTACCGGTATATTAGTGGTATTAGGCACAGTACTGTATGGGAGGAAATTGCTTGTTTATCAGTTTATAGACTATGTTTTGACATACAGCAGTACAGACACTTCTGCACTTAGTACAGTCAGTAAACGAATCTATAAATTGATCAGCTGTCATCATCTTTAATAAGCCAATTAATATTGAAAGAATTAAACAAAAGTGCCAAAAAGATGCACACAATACCGGTACCAGTATCCTTCTCTTGCTGTCTTGATATGTAGACTATGTATGTTTATTGGGTCTTATTACTTACTGAATAGAGCGCAGAAGAGATGGGGAAACATTTTCTTTCATTGTTTATTAGCTTTCGTGAAATTTTAAACAATTTGATGGGAAGCAGTACCGGTATACAGTAGTACTGTAGTAGGGAATGATCACGAGTTTATATCATTAATCTTCAACATCTTTAAATAGCCTCACATGACGCACCCTAACCTACTGCGTTCAGGTTGTGCGCTAGCTTGGTGCACATGAAAGAAAAATGTTTCCCTCTCTTCTGCGCTGTTTTTCACGCACTTTCCCCCTCTTCTGCGCTGTTTCGCGCTCTATTCAGTAAGTACGGCAGTGAGACCGATGTTTATTTGCCTCAAAAATGTAACAATATCTGCATGATAACTAAACAGTAACAGATAATTAAACAGAAACAAAATCTCAATAAATATCTATCACAAACAGCGAAGTTTCAGAATAGTCCATTTCCTTGAAGAAGTTGCCTAAAACTCAGAAAGTAAAGATAAAAGACACAGTTCTCCCATTACAGCATTACAAAATGTCCCTATATTTAATTATTTGGAATCCGGTACTTTATTTCAATAAAAAATAATACTCTATTAATAGTCTCTGAAATGAGGGCGTCTGGCACGGCGGCAGATCACGGCATGTATCTATAATAATTTACCATGCTTCAGCCGCCAAAATTCTACTGTAAAATTTTTTTCCTCCATTAAATCTGATTTTTTTTTTCGAGGAATCGAATGGTAACGTTTTTAAATCACGCTTCCTTCCATTTTATTGCGCGGTGTCTGTTTGCCAATAGGGAGGCCCAGACTTCCTCATAAAGAAGAAGTCTGCACTCACTTCATTAGTACAGTAGTATAATTGATGTCTGGATGTAGAGTCTATTCTTGGAACAGGAGAACTGTGTCGTACTATTACTCGAACATATTACTCACAAAGCTACATGTTTGACTATCGATGGGTCTAAATTAGACCAGGTTTATTACTGGGAAGAACTAGACTGTTATTCTTTCCCATTCTGGTTATTTAAACGTTGCCATAAATTATTTCAGTAAAAATTTGAATTTGAATCAGATATATACAGATAAAACTGAAATTGTGAAATAGCGAGGACAGTTTCTGATTGTAATGAGCAGCGTTGATGCATATGGGCCAAGTTCCCAAACTCTGACATTTTTGGACACAGAAGATGGCGATTTGACTGTTGGAGGAGATACCCAGGTGAGAGACGCTTGTTTGAAATTATTTTAAATATATCAAAACAACCGGAATCAACTGCACTTCACCTCTCAGGACACAGTACAACTTGAAAATTATTTTGTAATTGGTTACTGTCTGAATCAAGTGGATGGGGTGCAACTTATAACTCTGATACAGTTATAGGCATAAATATATAGATATATAATTATAGACATATTTATTTAAGTTTTAATAAAACTAATACTTTGCTACTGTGAGTTGCTCTTATCAATTCATTGATTTAATCATGATTTAACTGTGTTTTTAAATACAAAATTGCTTATTAAAGTAAAAATTGCTACAGTATCACAAAGTAATATTCAAAAAAATTCTGTTTTCAGGCAAGTGAATATGAGTTCACAGACTTCACAATTCCATCCCAAACCCAGACGCAAACTCAGACACAGCAAAGTCAAGCAAGCCAACTTGATATTGCGGAGAACAGTCAGAGTCAGGTAACTCTTTATTCCATTATAAGTCATATGCTAAAAGTATTTTAACATAGTATTAAGTTGGGAGAATTATAACCAGAAATGACTGTGTTAATCTTGAAACAATGATGAAGTTTGCCTACGACTTCATACAAGATTAATTTTTCATCCAATTCTGCTCTTTTGTTATAATTTGTGATTTTGTTTAGCATTGGCTTGACAATGTGAGTGATCTCGTTCATATTTCAATTCGACAGAGTCATATGCAAACAATATGTTTGACAACTGCGTACTCTTGTTTTATAATCATCAATGAGCAGTGAACATTATACCAATACTATCAGGGCTGCTTCTGGTAGAAGAACTCGAAATCAATTTCTCAATCTTTTTTTTGTGATTTCTCTCAACCACGAATTATCTAGATCAGGGTTGTCAAACCCGCAGACCAAATATTATCAAGTTTTATTTCCATTAAGGTTGGTGATGTAGATGGAGTCAATCACAATGAAGAAGTGGGGGATGGTGAAGATATTGGTGGATTACAAGAACATATTCATGTTGCCACCCAGGGGGTTGCTGATCTGAGATTTGAGGAAGAAGATGAAGAAGATACTTATTATACTAAGGATCTTCCCGAACATGCTTGCAGGTGAATTTTTTATTAACAAGCACATGATTAAAAAATAATGCACGATAGATATTTAATAAGTAATTGTTTGAATGCTCGGAGCTTTTAATATTATTTTATCTGTTTTTGTTTCCTAATTTCAAACAGTGGGGATAATTTTATGAAAAAATTTTGTTTGTCAAGCATAGGCCTCATAGCGCCTAGTAATATATTTAATAAAATGATAGAAGTTTATGTTACTTACACATATTTCTTAGCAGCAATATCTACTAAATTTTGTGCCTGTGCCTCCTATGTAAAGAGAAACTATCACCCTGAATTAATCATAAAATACTGCATTTTGACATGAGTTAAATTCAGTTCATTAATTCAATTCTTGCCAAATAAGCTTTGTTATTATTATGTAGGGTCAACCTGCAGTACTGTTTAAATTTCATCATACAGACTGTTTGTTACAGACAGATTTTTAAAATTCATGTAATTAGCTTAATACTCCTACTCAGTGAAATAAGGTGAAAGAGGTTGCTCAAACACATCTGGGGCTAATATGATTTACAAATCATTAAGCTTCCTACCTAGATGCTGCTTATTAAACCCGCTTTCTCGTATTTTCGCACCTGTTCAAATGAGAAATATCTCTCGAAATCCAAGTTGTTGCCATCCTTGAGGTGCTATGAGAAAAATTCCAGGCAATTTTCGAGACTGCTGTATAAAAAGAAGCCTTTCATGTTTATTAATATCATCATTTATTATTAAACTCACCATCACTATTTTCCTGAATATATATTCATATAAGAATTATATATCAAAAGGTTTGTCGCATTAACAACTGTAATTTTTAGGTATTGTGGAATTCATGATCCTAACTGTGTTGTGATGTGTAATACAACAAAGAAATGGTTTTGCAATGGCCGTGGAAATACTTCAGGAAGGTAAACATGATATTTTATAAAATTATTTTTTCTCTGAATCATTGATTTGCAAGGGTTAATTACTAATTTCTGGTTACCCTCTGTTTTTTTTTTTTTAATTTTAGTATTTGCTTAATGCTCCAGCTCGATCGTGATTTAACATACCATACCATCCAGGTTTAATAATAGACACTTGAGCAATAGGCCTACTTCAAAATCACCATATTTGATATTTATATTTTGTAAGAAATAAAATTTACTTTGTTTTGTCTATCTCAATTTTTATTTGTACAATTTATTTTACAGTTGTCCTTACTACTAGAAAAATGTCATACACAATAATTGCAATCAATTAGTGATTTTAAATGAGTTGTTATTTCAGATTCATAATTGATAGGTGCAATCTCTATTATGGAGTATAGATTTATCAGCCTATTATATTGATTTTATGCTTACTTTTTGCATTAATAATCTGTTGAAAAGTAGATTAGTTATTCTAATCAAATATGATATGAACAAGCAATCAATTTTTTTACTCGGATATTGTTTGTATTTGTTTTTTTCTGAAGCGAGTATTAAGTTATAAATTGATTCAGATATTTCGAGTCCATTTGAAATTTTTGGTGTGCTATGTTGCAAAATACTATGAGTTTGTCATCTTACCCTTTACTGCCTTTAATAATGATCAAATAATTAAGGTTTAATTCAGTTATATTATTTTGGCTGTATAAGGCAGTGCCAGGGAATAAACTATCCCTGTGTTCAAAGGATATTAATGGTTTGAACAAAATTTCAAATCAAAGATATTTTATGTAGCCTACTTCAATACAAGAATTTATATTATTGAAATCCATTTTTAAACTAAAATTTTAAAGCAAAGATATATTATATACTTCAATACAAAGATTTATAATATTGAAATCCATCCATCTATATTTGCTTTGTTTACAGTCATATTGTGAATCATCTGGTGAGAGCCAAATGCAAGGAGGTCACTCTTCATCGTGATGGTCAGCTCGGTGATTCTGTGTTGGAATGTTATAATTGTGGATGCCGCAATGTGTTTCTTCTTGGATTCATACCTGCCAAAGCAGATTCTGTTGTTGTTCTTTTGTGCAGGTATTTTGTTCTTCATATGATTTTCATATTTCATTTCAGAAATCTTTATAATTAACTATTGGCAGTAAGATAATGCATGGATATTTGAGGATGAAAACAAAGTAATCTACTATTCGAATAAATTCCGAAATAACATTATCAAATATGAAATATCGAATTTGTGGTATGTTCAACTGAGAATCTGTTGAGATTATAGAGATTGCATTTGGCACTGTAGACAGGTAAATAAATAAATAGTAATTTGATTGGATCCCTATTTTTTAACTTAATAATCTACTACTTCGAATACATTCTGAAATAATGTTTTCAAATATGAAATATCAAGTATATACTCTAAATTTTGTTATGTTCAACTGAGGATGTGTGAGGATGAGATTATTGTAAATAGAGATTGAATCTCGCAATGGGGAGAGATAAACGAATAAATAGTATTTTGATTAGATTCTTATTTTTACAGTTTTCACAAATTAAATAAAGGCCTTTTTTGCTTATGCTGTAAAATTCAATTCAGAATTATTTCTGAAATTAAGATTTTTTTACCCTTGAATATTATTAATTGCAAATTGATTTGAATATTTGATACGTTTTTGACATTTGCTACCTTGCTACCACACACAGAATATAATTATTTGTTTAATGACTGTAATGTGAAACACCAACAGGCTATAATGATATGCAACGTAGAATGAACTTATTGAATATCTTATTTGTCTCATATGCCTCATCATTAAAAAATATTGAATCTTTCTGTAATTAATACTTTGATTGATTTTTGAAATTGAATCCCAAGAGCGTCATGAAATCATGCCAATGCTGTAGGCTTGAGATATCAGGTTGATGTTTTGCACAAAACAATATAGTTTACCAGTCTCAACATGTTATTCAATCTGTCAGTGAACCAGTATTGTACCTTTTCAACTAGCATTGTGGCTCGTTTGAGCTCCATTATCCTTGTATAATTGGATAATTTTAATAAAGTCTGGTTTGAGAGTTTTTAAATTCACATTAACTGTTTCCTTTTTCAGGCAACCATGTGCGAATCAGAGTAGCCTGAAAGATATGAATTGGTAAGTTCTTTCGTTTCTGTAATTTTATTGAAAAGTATAATTGTTGGTCCATCTTGATGCTGTTGAGGTCGTGAAAATCTGCAACAAAATACTCACCAAGGGTTTTCGGAAAACTCTTTTAGATATTGATAGTCAGGCATGCTTAATCCCTTTTTTTTATTCTTCTTACACTTGAAATTTGAAACAAAATAATATTTGTCGATTGAAATGATTATCTTAGCAAGAAAATTAAAATGGTACATGGCCGGTCTATGGAGTCTTGAGTGATCAGGAGTTCGGAACTGGTGTCTGATGATAATGATATCACGGTATATTTTACAAAATGGTTGCCTTTATTAAGTTATATGCAATCAATGCGAGACAAATTAATTGAATTTACCATTTTCTATAGGAAATTTTGTATCAAAATGGGATTTTCGTGTTAAGGGAATTCATTGGGTTATATTTTTCATTGAAGTTTATAGCAAGGCAGAATCACATTCCAATTTTCGAACTGCAACAGATACCTAAAATAAAATTAGTTATTAGTTATTTATTCCTACCATTCTTTAAAACACACAGGGATGCATCTCAGTGGCAACCTTTGATTCAAGATCGTTGTTTTTTGTCTTGGCTGGTCAAAATTCCTTCTGATGAGGAACAGATGAGAGCAAGACAAATCACTGCTCAGCAGATCAATAAATTGGAAGAATTATGGAAGGTGTGAATAATATTGATTATAAATCTATTGTATTAACATAATTTCTGTCTTGTTGTATGGAGTGGGTTCTCAACTGGTTGTGAATTTCACCGGCCTGCTTTCTGCTATATAAATAGGCTATTGGTTTTATTTCATGATTGAATTGGTCGTTGAGTTGCTAGTCTTCATAGCAGATTGCAACATCATAGGGATTTCAACATCCCGAATGTTATTGTGCCTAAATTTTGTTGAAAGCACAAGCCATTTCAAGAGAATTTTCAGGCGACCCATAGTTTAGGAAACACTGGATTGGAACAAACCATTTTCTATTTTTGGGTTGTAAAATCGTTATTCCTATTTATATCCTAAGTGCAATTAAAACGCATTTTCGTAACAGTTCAGATCTTCATGTGCTATTAGACTTGCAGAAATATGAACATGCATTTGATATATTGATTCCAAATTATGAATATTATTTTTGATTCTGATATCAAAACCTATTCAATTTTGGGCATATACATTTACATCATAATTATGTACATTTTAATTTGGACTATATTATTCTACATCGATTATCGACATAATTATTCTAAAAAGAAATGCAAAATAATAATGTGATGTATATGAATCACAGTATAAATACCAAATTGCTTATTGAATAATTTACGTATTGTAGTATTGCAAATTTATCCTTCCTTAATAAATACTTTTATTTAGGAAAATTCTGATGCAACACTCGAAGATTTAGAAAAACCAGGAGTGGATGAGGAGCCACAAGCTGTTTTATTGAGGTAGTGCTTTATATCAATTAAATTACCAAGTATTATTTATTTTTCTGCAATTATCTTTGTCATATGGAAATATGGGAGGCGGATGCATAATGTATATATAATTTATAGGATTTATAGGAAGTTATATTTGATAATAATATCATCAATATCTGATTATATTTTCTATAATTTTCTACTTATTTTCACATTGATGATAAGTAAAACAAATTGTCATGTTTGATAATAAATAAGAAATAGTCACATACATACATTTTAGGTTTGGGCTGTTGATGTGCGCTAGATGCCTCTTTCTTGCTTTCTTTCACATTCCCACACTTTTTGGTAGTTTCCATGATGACTTCAACAGCAACAGTCTGTTGCATGTCTCTTTGTGACAGGAATAGGAGTCATGTGTGTGTGCCATAATCTGAGATTCAGCATGGTGATTGTTTGTAGGCGGAAATTAACGTGGTCCGAGCGCTACTAAAAATGTGTATATTTGGCCCACTAGTAACCCTATGAAGTTTGATGAACGCCGATATATGAGAACACTTTTATTATGACCTCTGAACTTTGCATCCATATCTTTAGGCATTTCTCTCTTGTTTTATAGATATGAAGATGCCTACCAGTATCAAAATATCTTTGGTCCTCTCGTCAAGTTAGAAGCTGATTACGATCGCAGACTGAAAGAATCTCAAACGCAAGGAAACATCACCGTTAGATGGGATGTTGGCCTAAACAAGAAACGTCTTGCTTATTTTCAGTTGCCAAAGACTGACAGTGGTGGGTCAAGTTTATATTGTTCAATGTAAGGCTTTGAACATCAATTTCCTGTTGTACATTAATTATCTATTTTATACTCATCTTTTGATATTTGAATTACTTATGCTTTTATAAGATTCAATTTCTTTTTTTCTGCAAACTTATACATTGTGCTACTAAATTCAATATTTTATGAATTAATTTTACCTCTGAAAACTACCGTGATACAATTATAGTTTGTTCTATGGCAATAAAGGGTAGCTTTCAAGACAAAAGTACCATATTTTATAGACCACAAGGTGCATATTGGATTTTTTTTTTTTAAATATCGATCGTGCTCTTTAAAAGCTGGTCCGCCTAATGTGTGGATCCGGTAGTGCTTTATTGCCTACTCTCAAAACCAGTACCAGTTCAGTCTTATAGCCCAGTGCGCCTTATGTATGGACAAAAGCAATTTGACGGTGCGCCTTGCGGTCCGGTCCGTAAAATACGGTAGTATTCTCATTTTTTGAATGCGCTCCAATCGAATTAAATTCTTGGCAGTCCTTCATGTCCATTAGCAGTTAAAACATTCACCTAATAAAGATGTATTAAAAAATGTTTGAGATGGGAGAAATTAATTACTGTTTTTGTCAAGTTTTTTATTTTAAGATTTTAGAATAAAATTGGGCATGGAAATATCTTCATATCTATTCTGATATATCAAAGAAACCTGTTAGTCGTATGTGACTGCAGGTATATTTTGTCAGTTGGAAACACCATTTGAAAATGTTTGACTCTTATTTTATTTTTGTATGGCAGACATGAAGCTGATGCAAGGAGATGAAATAAGCTTGAGACATATGGGTTCGAACTGGGAAGGCAAAGGACATGTTGTAAAAGTACCAGATAGTATCCTTTTGAATCATTTTCTTTCAATATTTTCCTTATGAAGTGAAGTTTTTTATTCTTTTGCTAATATCAAATGTAGAGTAAGCAAATAAACCATGCTTTGTATACATGGGCGTTTGTGATGTTAGGTTGAATACCCATGCATTGAACAAGTTTGTGATAAGTACTGGCATTAGCATTTATGTTTTTTCTGTAACTGAAATAACAAGAATTTTCTAAATGTTACACTCTTGTAAGGGGCGCTCCAGCAATGTGTGTACCAATATGGAGGTAACTAAATTTGTTCGCCTACTTTACATCAAGTTGTGTAAAGGGACGGAAAGCTATGGGCAGGGGGTATATTCACTTGGCTAACACAGACAGGGACTCGTCGAACTCGGACTCTATTACGAACTCGTAATAAAACTAAAATGAGGAAAATCTGAATAAAATTGTGGCCTAACCCTAACCTGCTACACACACTATGGGAGTACCCTTGTCAGACTGTTGTTATTGTTACCCAGCATTGATCAGCAATTTATAACACTTATTGTGAACGCTTTTATGAAGCGTTTTACACGCCTCCAAACAAGGCTTTGTACGAGAAATATGTAAGAACTTGTAATTTTTGGACATACCGGAATCACTGATTACTGTGAAAATTATTTTTCATCTTTTTATTTTAAATATTTTTTTAAACCTCTATATATTTGAATTGTTTAAACTTAACCCAAACTGTATTGAAAAGATTTTGGTGATGAGATTGGAATGGAATTGAGATCTGCTGCGAGTGCACCACTAGAGAATACCAGAGGATTTCAAGTTGATTTTGTTTGGAAATCTACTTCTTTTGATAGGTACGAAACTTATTTGTGATTTTGGACAAGATTTTTGGAATCATCATCTAGTCAGATACAGTGTTGCCAACAATTTGAATTGAACACTCGAATTCACTTTTTTTTTGATTCACATACTAATAAAATTCCATGGAAATATCAAGACTTCTTGTGCAGTGTCTCGATTGTGTTTGTTAAGACAAATTTACCCAAATTGTGAAATGCGAAGTTTTTTGCACGTTATGGTGAATAGTTTTTTCAATATGTAGATGTCATATTTTTTTGTTTTGTCACAGGATGCAGAGTTCCATGAAAACCTTCGCTGTGGATGAAGCATCTGTTTCAGCTTACATTTATCATCGATTGCTAGGACATGAAGTAGATGAACAAACATTGAAAATTAATCTTCCCAAACGTTTCTCTGCACCTGGTCTACCTGAGCTGAATCATTCTCAGGTAAAGTACTAACAGTGAAAGCAAAGGGCAAAAAGTGGACCTACAGCTTGTTTTGTTCTTATGTTGTTAGTATTCTTCTTTTTCTTGTTGTTGTAATAGTCGCTTTTCTCTTTATTAACTAATGGAACAATTGCTTTGAAATATTCATTGGTTAAAGATTAGTGTTGTAGCTAAAGGGCTATTACTTTAATTCATTTCAAGAATGACTGCGGGATTTATTAGATTTGTTTTTTTTTGTGTGTGATAGCATCATCAAAATTAAAAATTATACGCTTTTGTGGCGATTCTGTGTTGGTGATTGTTGCAATCCTGGTGGTCAGACAAAGTCTGGAAGACTCGCGGTACCGGTAGTCTACCTGTGGAAATTTACCATTTACTCGTACATACCTGTACTGACGTTGTTGTTTTCCTAATGATATTTAAGCATTGCTTCTCGTTGTTGTTTTGTCTTCTCATTTACTATATTCCTACTTCATATACTTCTTTAGTTATAAAATTGTATACTTATACCTCGAAATGATGACCTTTCCTTATTTCAATCAAAAGACATAAATAATATTCGATTCACTTTTTATGGATTTTAATCGTTTGAATTATTTTTCAGGTGTATGCCTGTCAAAACCTGTTCTGGCACGTCCGCTGCTGTTTGATTCCAAGGAGCCACGCTGGTACTGGAGAAAATCAGTGACGAGTTGCTACCATCGTCTATCATCTTGTGAAAAGCTGTAAGCCAGGGGTTAGAATATTTTTTATGTAGCATGGGTTATTTATTTATTCTACACATAAAGAAAATGACAAATTGAAAAAAAAAATGAATTATTTAACAATAAACAAGTAAATAGTATAAAAATGCATATAACTAACAGCCAGACAAACAATATAAAAAAAAAAAAATTGAGAACATGGAATATCAAAATAGGCGACTGAGGAGTTGCTAATTGAACAACAGACTGTCATATATAATTATCTTATGCTCATAATAAATTATTTTACACTCACACTCATGCATCATAAATGGTGAAATGTAAATTGGTGAAAACTTGTTCCATACACCAATTGAAAATCAGTGTAATTAAACCGTTTGTCCAAAGCAACACAGATTCATCGGAAATTTTACCGAGAAACTTGGCGCATCAGAGCTTCGAATGTTGTTATATTCCCAGTTACCTGATGGATCAAACACTGTCATCTGTTCGACTTGTTGATCCATTTTCCCGCGACTTCCCTTCCTCAGTAAAACTCATAATTTGCTTACGATTTATTTTAATGGTTGGACAAAATAATCTTGACTTGACTTGGCTTCATGAAATAATATATGTTTTTCTTAATATTTTTATGATGTTGGAATTCTGTCCTCCATAATGGGCCAATAATATAGTACTACAACGCTCAACCTGTTCTTAAAATGGCAGGTAGCAAAGTATAAAACAGTCTTTCTAATATTGTGTAATTTGCAGGCAAGTTCTTGTTTGCGCTCCGAGCAACATTGCTGTTGACCAACTGACTGAGAAGATTCACAGAACTGGATTGAAGGTTGTGCGTCTTTGTGCAAAAGTCGTGAAGCTATTTGATTCTAACGTTTCATTCTTGTTCTCTGCATAATCAAGTCAGAAGCATGGATAGGTCAGTATTAGCTGTAAAGAATCTCGCTTTTGCATACTATAGTATCTAAATACTATTTCAATTAGCGTTTGATTTTTCCATTTTCCTGTTGCTTAAAAGTTAGTGAGACAAAATAGGTAATGGTTTTATTATTTTTGATTGCTAGCTTGCCTGAACTGCAAAAGCTTCAACAGCTGAAAGACGAAACTGGTGAATTGTCTTCTAATGATGAGAAAAGATATCGGGCATTGAAACGCAATGCAGAACGTGAATTACTCCAGGTAACTCTCTTACTATTTATAGGTGGTTGTTTTTTTGTCTCGTTTTTTTTTTTCTGTTTTACATATAATTGAAATAGAAATTAAGGTGTGTCATTAAAAAATCCTCCATCTTATTGTAATTTATTTTTTTCAGAATGCGGATGTTATATGTTGTACTTGTGTTGGAGCTGGTGATCCTCGTCTTGTGAAGTTTCGTTTCAGATCTATATTGATTGATGAAAGCACTCAAGCAACTGAACCTGAGTGTATGGTACCTGTTGTCCTTGGGGCTAAGCAGGTAAACTTGATATTGCTTATCATTACTTGCTACCTTTTCTCGAAATACCTCATTTTCATATAAACTTTATATGGCAATATGAATTATGAATATGACCGATGCGATATACAGAATGAAATATAATATAATAAAGACTATCAATTATGTAACATCAATGATTTATCAATTTTGTACGAGTAGTTACCGTAAAAAACCTTGTGTTACACTTTATTCTGTAACTTTCGCCTGACCAAAGTTTGACTTCTCAGGACAAGCAGTTTACAATAACAACATTCATTCGTTAGTTCCTATCTTGGCTATCTGGCCAAGTCTTTGAAGACTATGGCACTGATAGTCTACTCTGAGAATTGCATACCCATACTAATTGGTTGCCCTTTGTGTCCATATATTTGAGCATCGCTCTCTTGTTGTATTAAATTATGATTAAATTTGTTCAGCTCATCTTAGTTGGTGATCATTTCAGTTGGGACCTGTGTCATGTGTAAGAAAGCAGCAAATGCAGGATTGCTCAATCTCTTTTCGAGAGATTGGTTGTACTTGGCATTAGACCTATAAGATTGCAGGTATGGGATTGCGTTTATTGGACCTCAGGAATCGTTTTGTTAGGTTGTTATTGCGGTGGAAAAATTTGAGTATTGCTCAGTTAGGTTTATTTTCATTATTTAGTGTCTTTGCTAGATTGAAATTATCGTTTTTTTCAATCTGATACAGGTACAATACAGAATGCATCCAGCTCTCTCTGCTTTCCCATCCAACATCTTCTATGAAGGTTCTCTACAGAATGGTGTCACTGCTGGTAAGACATTCATTGACATTGAGTTTTATATGAATCCTTCCACTATATTGTTGTTGTTGTTTAAGATCACTTCTCTTTGCAAATGTGGGGTGATCGACTTTTTTGGGTACATGCAAATTTCAACTTGTTAGAAGGCAACTTTTTTAAAACTTTTTTTCACCTAATTTATTGTTCATCTTTTATATTGTATTATTCTATGATGTTTCTTGTTAAAAATTCACAATTTGTAATTTTTTCTGATCCGCTGTGTTGTAGAATAATGACGAGTCTCAAAACATAGATAGGGAAATTTGCTAGAGAATAGAATTTTTGCCTGTTTTGTTTTGTGCTACAGATTAACTAATTTACCATAGTTGATGATCCACCCTTAAATTTATATATTGGCTCTCAGTTTTCCCATGGACTCTTCAATTAAATACCATTTCTATTCTGCTTTGTCAAATCAACGCACAGATATGTTATTGAGTGACTGAAATTTAGTATCACCATGTCATATATACAGGTGAAAGAATGAGAACTGGACTGACTTTTTCTTGGCCTTCTCCTGACAAACCAATGTTCTTCTATAAGACTTCAGGACAAGAAGAAATTGCAAGCTCTGGAACATCCTACTTGAACAGGTGCATTTATATATGTAGGCCTATATAAGAGCATTGCATCTCAAGAATATTTTTTTTTAATATTTCTGCTCTTTGAGTGTGGGACAGTTTGTAAAAATGGTTATCATTGCATTCAATTACAGGACTTGCTGAATGTGGTCTTTCACTGGGCCAGTATCCCAGTTCCTGTTGTGTTTACTAGAATTGTGTCAATTGAATCTCTTTCCTATGCTAATATCTTCAGTATCCAATTCCAGCTGTGCCTGGCATATCAGCTCACTTTCGATTTTTTGAAAATTAGGTTTACCGCGCAATAATATTAACTAAAAAGTGATTTTTATATTTTTGTTTTGAGATAATGACTAACTAGATTTTTTTTAAATATAATTGTATTACTGTTTTAGCCACTGTAATTTGTTTACATAAAAATTATAATCTCGCTCTGTTTAATTAACCATGTTATACAATTTTGCTGAACATAAAAACATGCCATCTCTGCTTATATCAAAAGTTTTTTTTCTGCTTGAAAATACTTCATCCTCACTCCTCGTATCATTTTTTCAATAATACCAGAACCGAAGCTGTCGTTGTAGAACGGATCACAACCAAGTTCTTAAAATCTGGAATCAAGCCTGAACAGATTGGTATAATTACTCCATATGAAGGGCAACGTTCATATTTGGTTCAATACATGCAGTATTCTGGATCTCTACATTCCAAGTTGTACATGGTAAGTAATTCTTTCATCATTACAACATGACCAGAGATGTTAAAATAGAATTTATTTTCAAATTGATTCGAAAACAATTACATTGATTCTGGGAATAAATTAGAGTAAGGATTCTCATACTTTTTGTGTTATTGAACCTGTGAAGAGGTTGACTATTATTTACGAAGCCCCACAGTAAATTTACAAAAAATAAAAACAAAATACACATTGTTAAGTACTGATTAATGTTCCTGAGTAAATTAAAATTACTTTATTCAATGGATCTGATGTATTTACTGGTTGTCAAATTTTATTAATGCCGTTATTGCTTGTTGGACGGTTACAAAATTACCCATGCCAGTATTTTAAAAAGTTAAAGAATAGCTCGTGGAGCACCTAGGTTTCTCACACAAAGCCCTGGGACTTTGAGAAACTTTGATTTGGATTATCACATTTGAAATTTCGTTATTATGATAAATTAGACATCTGTCAACTTTTGGCTGTGTATAAATAGAAAATCAATCAAAATATTGTTTATCCCAACTATTCTGTACTTACTGAATTTGACTTCATTTGCGAAAATTAGTTGGAGTTTTTTTGTGAAATATGCCCTGATTTACCAAATATCCAATATTTTATTTTCAAAAATATTGTTCAAGAATTTATTTGAAATAATTGAACACCAAGAGATATTGGATATATGCATTGAAGTCAATGACACCATTAGTAACTATCTAGAATTGTGGATGGTGTCATTGACCTTCTTGCTTTGTATTTGTTTACAGCAAAAACATGACAGTAGGGTGCATATATATATATGCAAGTTCTATTTTGAAAAATTTTTAATGAAATTACTAATGTCCATGTCAAATTTTTTGAACACTTATCTTGATTTACTTCTGAGCAATAAAAATGTTGGAAATGAACTTTGGCTCCAAGATCGAATTCTAAAAAACCAAGATCTTTTTATTAGCCGGTGTCCTTCTGTTGGACTTTCGAACTGAACAACAAAAAATATCGAGTGATTTTCATTTGATTGTGTTTCTGCTTTCATGTAGGAAGTTGAAGTGGCAAGTGTGGATGCTTTTCAAGGTCGTGAGAAAGATTTCATCATTCTTTCCTGTGTGAGAGCCAATGAACATCAAGGAATTGGATTTTTAAACGATCCCCGTCGTCTAAATGTAGCTTTGACAAGAGCCAGGTAATCTCTTTCGCAATTAATTTGATTTCTGCCTTATATCTTAACTTATAGAACTAGATATTGATATGATTGCATTTGAGTCTTGAGTCTATTTTTGATGTAATTTTTTAGGCTGCGTGAATTTTAATGTTGATTTTATTATTCTTAGATTCGGTGTGATTATTGTTGGAAGTCCCAAAGCTCTCTCGAAGCAACCTTTATGGAATCACCTTCTCACTTATTTCAAAGAACAGCGGGCATTGGTGGAAGGTCCACTCGGAAATTTGAAAGAAAGTCTCATGCAATTCTCGAAGCCAAGAAAACTGACTAATACTCTTAACCCTGTAAGTAAAGATTCTCTTAGAATTTATAATTTATTGAATTTTCTAAAAAAAATAAATGTTTTTAAAGCATGGAAGCGAAGCATGTTTGCTGTTGTTTTTTATTTTTAACAAATTAACAATTTGATTTTTCTTGTGATTCAATCATTTAGGGATTTGTAAACATAAGGGTTTCAACCCAACCCAAAACTTGAAAAATCGTTTTTTAGGAAATGTACCTATATTTTTTATTGTCACAGTTTTTTATTTAAAACTCCTATAACTTTTTATTAAATTAATATTCTTTTAAACTATGATTAGATACCATCTTAAAAACACCTCTTTTTTTTGTAAAATTTTCAATATTTTCCCCTTACGTTTTGAAACTCTCGAACATGTATCTCTTTTGGTATGTCCTAATTCTATTCTGATTTTAACTACTCATAGCTATTATCAATTCACTGTTCAGATAGCATTTTTAAGTTCATGCTCTTTATCCAGGGTGGTCGTTATATGAGCAATGCAATGTGGGATGCAAGAGAGGCATTGATACATTCACTGTTCAGATAGCATTTTTAAGTTTATGCTCTTTATCCAGGGTGGTCGTTATATGAGCAATGCAATGTGGGATGCAAGAGAGGCATTGATACCTGGTGGAGCCTATGACAGATCTTCTCAATTTAATGGTAATTATTGCATGCTGATTAGTTATATGGATTCGCTTTTATTCGACTGACAGCAAACCCTCAATTTTACATTCTTTCAGTAGTAATGATAATTGTAGATATATTTGCTCCATTTTAGCTTACCTACTTATACTCTTGTGCATATTTTCATTTCACTACCCGTTACCATAAATTAGTTACGAAGTCCAGCCAGAGGCCAGGATTTAAATATCTGATCTCTAATGCCAGCCAGTCGTTCTTGAATTCTGATGATCTGTTGGCTGTTGCCAACGACTCTCTTTCCCAAAGTCTCTCTTGTGAGCACCTACTCTTCCAAAAATAAATATCTAGTTTTGTATTTAACACATTTCTATCAGTTATTATTACGAAAACCACTTCAATGGTTAAAAGCCAATTGATAAATGCATGATGACAAGAAGTAAAACTTAATTGATTTATTCATCGAAAATGGCACTAGTGAAGACCTTTGCGCTACACCTGGGTGGTGCGGTCGAGCGGCCCCAGTTAAACTCCAGGTGTTGGGCATATACAATCCATTAAGCTATTACACCTACCTTTTATGTGCCTTTCTCCATATTACCAGGTAAGATATTTGCTTTTATGGCATTCTCATTTCTACACCTTGGGGGGTAAGCGGTGATGGAGGGCGAGGGCCTCAGGTGAAATCTGGTTCCTGAAGAACTATCCAGCCATGGAAGGCTATATAACCCTAGTACAACAGATGATTAACCGTCCAAAATAGATTATTTACCTTACGGTGTTCTCATTTAGAAATTTTGAAAGTGAATAGCTTTGGATTTTTTACATTTCCAGGCAACATTCCTCCTCGTCACCAGTATTTCCGAACTCATGATCAAATGGGAATGATTAATCCTGCTCAAGCTCAAGCAATGAGTGTTTCTCTACCTGTTCCAGTCAACATGTACATGCAACCCTCTGTGCCACCTAACTATTACCAGAATGGACACATGCAAGGTAATACAGTTGTTAACGTCATTATCAAAACAAAATATGAATGGATGCCACTTCTCTAGTTTTGACTTGAATAGGTTTTAAAATTCAAGTTTTTTTTACAGTGGTATGTATTTTTTATTGCCACTCCATTTTAAATTAGTACCATATTTAATGTCAATTTTTCCAAATAATATGCCGATGCTAAGTATGAAACATTATAATAAGGGCTTCCAGGTCCTCATTTTTTTAACATTTGTCCATATTTATTATTCTTTATTTTTGAGCTATGTCCCAAATTTGTCTTATTTTTTTTAATGAGGTAAACAAATATCTATATTGAAAACGAACCGATTTAAATTATATATCGGTAGAGATATATAATAGAAATTTTGATCTTGAATGTCACTAATTATGTCTCTACTTTTTGCTTTCCTTCGCATAATCATGAATAATTTGTTATTAGGTCGTCCTCCACCAAAGGGTCGTGCACCACGTTTGAGTAGAGGTGCCCATCACAATGGTATGGCACAACAAGGTAGAGATGGGTCACGTGGTTATGCGGGTCAGCAGGCCGCCACCCAGTCTCAAGATATGACGCAAGGATTCTCACAAGGTAAATAGGATTTATAATATTCTGCAGTAGTTATAGAAAAAACAAATGACATTAAGATTCGCTTATGTGTGCTTACGCTAGTTATCTTCACTAATGTTTCGTTTAATTTAAGACTTTGACTTGAAACTTTGAACCAATAAATTTGACAACAAATAAATTTGACTTGCTTCTATTCGAATTGCTTTAATATTTACGGCTTATCTCGGAATCGAGAATTGACGACTTTTAACCTTACTAACTAAAGGTTTTTATTCTCACTATATTAAATACAAGATTTGAGTTGTTCGGGACAACCACATACTTACCGGTATATTATGAACAGCTCAAATAAATTCCAAATTTCAAAAACTGTAAAAAATATTAGCAATTAAAAATATTGAAAACAAAAATCACAAACTGAAAAGGATAGATTTTATTATTTATATGAGGTATTAGAAAATTGTGAATGTGAAAAAATAATCAGATGGTTAGGATGTGTAGCCATCAAATTTCTGGTATTCTTGGCTCTAGCATCAACAGAACTTCACAGCTCTGTGACTCCCCAGCCTTGGTAGTAATAACAGTTCAATAAGAAGTTTTTCTGGTAATGGAGTTTCAGGTGTGGCAGTTGAAGTTTTTATCGTCGTACATTGTGACAAAATGGTTTTAAATCCATTCGTGTTTTTAGGAGTATGACGCAAGGTTATGGCACTGGCTTGTCGATGAGTCAACCAATCAGTCAAGGAATGAGCCAACTAGGCCTTTCTCAGGCTGAATTATCACAGGTTTGTACACTTTTTGAAAAGTTTGTCCTTTTTACGTATGAAAAAAATTGCTCAATTTGACCCATAGATAAGCGTTTGTGGCCATTTGGCACCTCCTCTTGTATACTGGTCAATGTATTAATGATTTCCATGAAGCAGTGGTCATCAAACTGCGGCCCATGGGCCAAATGCGGCTTGTGAACAAATTATTATAGTATCACATTATTATACTTCATCAATTATGTAATATATAATATACAAATATTACTGATTTTTTTTTCTTGTCTTACAGGATAGTTATCTTGGTGAAGAATTTCGTTCACAAGTTGATGCAGCATTGTCCCAGGATTCAACTTACCAGGGTGAACGTGCTTATGCGACACAGGGATTGAATTTCTCCCAGTATTAGTAATCTGTGAAGGTTGGTGTAGAAATTGATCAATAGATTAAGGTTGTTGAAGGCAGGGCTCTCAAATCTAATGGAAATTCCTTTTTACTTCGAGCTATTCAAAATTCTGATTTTTGTTTGGTTAAAATTTTTGATTTCCAGTCGCAAAGAACTTCAACTCAGATTTAAAGCCCCCAAGGTTTGAAATTTTGGGATCCCAAATTCTGGCAACATAATATAACGTATGTAAGTTGGACTCTTGACTCTATTCATAACCATATGTAAAATTAAACATCAACTCTTATTCAAGCTCAAGTTGAGAATTATGACTCCAATAACAGCTAGTTGTAGAATGTATTTATTTTCAGGCTGGAATGCTATTTGATAATCTTCACACATTTGACGAAGCAATAGTTTATTTAGCCATAGTAGCTACATTCTAAAAAAAATGTACTGTTAAATATATTTTTCATTTTTTAGTGAGATTTAGGACGTGAGATTTTTTAATACTTTTTGGTAAATAAGTGATTTATCATTCAGTAATTTGCCTTCTGTAGTTTCTTTAACAGTATAATTACCTGTATACAGGGACGCAGATAGAATTTTCAGAGGGAGGCATTTCAAAGAGTCCCATGCCCCAAGATGACTTCTGAAACAGTTTCCACGATTACGACACTTGTTAAAAGAGTTGTCTTTTTTAGCAGATAATGATATTTCTAAAATATTCAATCCATGACAGATACAAGCATTTAAAATGACTTGTCATATTAATTTAATTGTGTTCAACCTAACTCGCAGCTGTCGGAGGCATACTACTCTAAAATACCACGGCAACCTGGGAACATGTGTGTAAACTACTATGGATATGGTATATGAATCTTCATGAGATTAAACACTTTTCCTACTAACTTTTTCTGTAATGTTTCAGAAAAAGACAATCGTTGGAAGAGTCGAATAGAAGTGGAGTGTTTAAACGAGCTTTACAACTGCCAGCGGAGAGAAACAACGGAAACGATGTGGTGAAAACATCTATCCACAAACCCACAAATAACTGACGCACACGTCTAATCAGAAGTCAATCAATATCGGTCATAGCCCAACTACATCCAGTCTCTCACATATAGCGGAAATCACAAGCTAAGGGGCTTCTATGGTCATAACAGCTAGATTACAACATTGACATTATAGTCATATGGTAGATTTTGCTACAAAGAAGTAAAACATGAAGACAGCATTCGCACATATGAGTCAAGTCAGTTGGAAATTTACACTGGGACTTATGTATTTTCATTTCAACTATAAATAGTCTTTATCAAGGCAAAATGGGTGTTATCTGTCTCAAGAGTGGACTTGTCTTGAATATATGGGCACTGTGACCCGTGTGCCCGTTTCTTGTTTCTGGCAGCTTGTCGGTGGAACAGTACCGATGGAAGTTGTGTACTTTCCGCCAAATTCAAGCCTGCTAACCTGCTGGTGGTTCGTAAACTCTGAAAAAAAAAAATCAAATTCAAAATTGTACATTTCCAGTGTGGCAGTCGTGTTAGCTGCGTAGCATGATAATTTTTTTGCAAAGTATCTCAGCCTGCTGAATCAAAAATTGATAAAATTGAGTAAAAATTCATCACTGAACGTATGATGTAGTCTTATTTGTAAAATATGAGCCAATGCTTAATTGTTTTCTGTAAATTGAATTACATTTATCCATGCTTATGTTTGATTCGGCATGATCTTTTTTATATATTTTGATGGAAAAAGATTGAACTGAAGGAAATTAGAGTTGTATTTTCAAGAATAAAGTAAATTGTTTTGAGAAGATGACCATTACATTAAAAGTACTCTTACCAATTTTGGACAAAAAATATTGAAAAGTCCTATTCATTCTGTAACTCTCAAGCAATGATGAAAAAATATGTTCACCAGTTACCCCCTTATTCTACTGGTTTGTTCGTAGTATTCCACTTTTCACCATTGAAATCCATGCCCGAAATAGATGAACTTGTGTGAAAAAAGAGTGACTGAATGTTCTGATTTTAGTTGTACATATAATAAGTTGGTGTTGAAAAATGTAGAAATGTAATCACTATATATCCGGACTTGTGTTTTATTTTAGAACAGTTAAAAAATGTATTGATTTTATTGATTCAACATGTGTATCCAGTAAAATGTACTCCAAAAATTCTTGTGTAGTCTTTCTGTCTGTATCTGGGAGGTTAAGCTTATATTTGCGACGAAAGTTGGCCCAACAGTCCTCATTCAGCAGGTAAAGTCTGTAAATATACTAATGTGTAGCATAACTGGCTAATGTCTGAGATTCTGTATTCCTGTTTATTCGCATAGAGATAGTATCCTTTACTTCGAAGGGTTACCTTAATTTGAACAAACTAGAAGTGCACAAAGGGCCACATTTAATATTTACTGTATACCCTGGCTCTTGGAATACATTACTTTTATTATAACTTCAAATATACAATGCATGAATTGAAGATATGTGAATTCAGTCGGCAGGATTGCGGCCAAATACCTCTTGACAATATTTGTGTTACTATAGTAATTTTGACTGTCGCAGCAATGAAAGAGACAACTGGCTAACTAATCTCCTAAACAACATTAACTGGTAACCAGACAGGACGTGGTCTGCCATATGATTAAGCCGTTTAACGACTTTCCCTTCCCCCGGGAAAAAAAATGAGGGCCTATGCTGTATAGATAAAGTTGCCATCTTTCACATGTCTGCTGATCCACGGTTAATGTATTTAACCAGTATATTACGAAAACAAAGCTTTTTTCTTTTCATTCACTATGTGTAGTGTAGATCCTACTGCATACGTGAGCAGTATTGAAGTCTATGTAGTCGTAGTATCTCGGAGATATATAAACTGATGCAAAACTGCTTTCCATTCAGACCCTGTGCAAATAGACAGCCAAAGTACATCTAACACGCAGCGCATCTCTAATCAACACCAACACACCCCTATCCAAAATTGACTCATTGCATTTTCAAATCGTATCAATATATTAAAAAATGTACAGGAGTACACATCAGAGAAATGATAGTTTAATTCACTGTCAACCAACAGGATCAGGTCAAGCTGGGTCCTTTCCATTGGTGTGATTCAGTCTCACGGAATTTTATGAGATCAGCGAACCGGTTAGCAATGCCAATGACTTTTTGTAACAGAACCGGGTGACAAAAAAATTGAATCCAACCACTGGTCCTTTCAATAAGAAATAACGAACTTGTGTTGTAAGACAACTTCGGAAACTGAACCTTTCCCAGTTGGTGCATGAACAAGAAACATACGCGCAGGGGTTTTAAAAATTAAACTCAAGATTTTTTCGGTTTTCTAGCAAGATTACGAGATTCCCATCTCCACATCTCTGTGTCCATTTCAAATGTATATTTAAGTGAAAGTTCTTTATCTGCAACATCTTTTTCAAGCGATATTTGTTCATCCTCACTCAATGATGAGTCCAAAAGATATTGATTTCCTTCAACTCGATATCCTGTCATGGGATCAATAATGTTTCCAACTTTATGAACTATCTCTTGAATTTGGTGAGTTTCAACATGTAGACGTTTTTCAGGTAGTTTTTTGATCAACACATAGTCACCCACACTACATTTGTCCCCGGGATCATGAACTTGTAATGTGCTGCTTTCTGGGAAATACTGAAACAAATATAAATTTGTAAGTTGTTGTTTAATTGGTGGAAGAACTTGAAGTGTTGTATGGAAGATTGTCCGATGCTTCCAAGGATCAAAGCCTATTCCAGTATTGAGGAGTATTCTTATAGGATTTCCTCTCCCACAGGGTAAATATAAAAATATTTATTAATAGTGTAACTTGAAAAGTGGTTTGTCATGTACCCACATGAAGACATGCCCAGGACAGTAAATCTGTTTGTTATCAGCCTCAAATACTTTGCAAACGAAATATTTAAATTCAGTGGTATTGGCGAGTATAAATATCAAAAGGGGGGTTACCAACAAAGAATACAAATAGTGCATTATGTAATTATTCGATATACTTCAGATACCTGATCTATGCTTTACTTACAATGCAAAAATATTCGTTAAATCTTTGCAAATTGACGGAAACTTCTGCTCTGCCTTCAACTTCTTTTCTTGCTACACGTCCCACAGCCATGGAAAGTTTAACAAATTTTCGTGGATCCGGGAAATATTGACGCAACATATTGCAGTATTAGTCGTTAGTTAATATCCGAGCTACAACATTGAACCCACAAAAAAAACACTCAAAACAAGTTGTACCGGGTATCGCTGCGGAATAAAATATACAAAACGGGCGCCCTATGGGACAGTACCGCTATACAGGGCTCAAATTTTATTTCAATTTTGGTACTGTAATCAAATAATTTTGCAGAAAACGATAACACGGGGTTCCTCGCCCTTCTGAAATGTTTCATGGGAATTTCGCTTCACCAAAGAGCGTGAAAAACACTGATTCAATCATGTCTTGGCGAGCAATAGGGGAATGTGCAAAAGTTCGAGTCACATGGAGAGGGATTTATTGATTGCCACAAAAACAAAGTTAACACTGTTATAAACATAAGCCAACAAAGAAAATAATTCAACAGTAATAATTATCAGCAAATTATATTTATTTAACAGCATATTATTTTTTGCGCGGGGACGGTGTGCAGGACCAATAAAGGTTATTTAGGCTCACGACCCCTTCTGTACAAGCTATATAAAAGATACGGCCTGGTATATTACGGGAAATAAGACAAAATTTAAATACGGTAGAATAAAACAATATATTAAGGGGTTAGTGAATGAGTCCTTTGTAGCAGAATTACAACATTCGCAGAAAAAATGAATGCGATTGCACGTTTAAAACCACGAGATCAGTCAAGCCAAATCATTTGGCGTTGCACGTCCCCTCAAACCTTTAACGGCATTGGCCAGATTCTAGACTCAGCATATTATCCTATCCTCAAAAATAACCAGAAGCTGTGCTTCATGGAACACGTGTTGGCATCTTAAGACCTAATTAGTCATTAAAATCGGATAACCAGTGATGGTCACAAATGACATGCCACGGGTAGTCTCTGGTCCAACCACCACAGCACCGAATTGCTCCCTTTCCAAGTTTTAGTCGCTTTCCACACTCCTTTCCCTCAAGATTCATATTTCAATAGCTCAGCGGGCAATGATTGTTATCAAACAACAATCATTATTTGCAAACAACCATCACTTTCCAATTAAACAGACACACATTACCTAGAACAAAAAGCATAAACCACATATTTATTGCAACATAAGACACCGTAATGCATGTAAATAAAAATTATATCATTCCTTTAGCTGCCTTTTTCGTCGCCATTTTCTTTCGATTATGGTTAGCAACTTTTGCTTTATTCATATCCTTCTTCTTACGATTTTGTTGACCATTTGGGTTATTACTAGATACAGAAGAACTAGGATTTTGTCCTTTCTTTGGACCACGTCGGTTGTTTCTCAGTTCTTGTTGCTGTCGACGTCGTTCGTCCTGCTTGGCTCGGACATCTGCAGGATTTGCTATGAAATGATCAGGCTTTGGACCTTTCCTATAAGGGAAAAATATTAGAAAATTTCAACGCAGTATTAATGTAATGAATACAACGGATTACCCAAACAAAACATAATAATGAAGATAGGATATCAACGTTTGCTGTGGCCATTTTTTCATATACCGGTACCTTTCGCTCTGAGCATGGCTCCAGATATGCAGATAATGCTACATGAGGAGCTACTACTATTCAAAAAGTCTTCCGCAAATGTCAATCTGAGAATTATTGGTATAAAAGATTATGAAACTAACTCTTCTTCGCTCTCTTCCGAGCCATTTGACCCTGATTCTTCATTTTTCTTAGATTGGAGAAAAACACGAGGAGTGACAAAAGGTCGTCGTTTGAGCAGGTCATCTGCGTCATCAACATCATTTGCATCAACACCGAGACCATCATACATATCGTCATATTCATCATCATACATGTTGCAATAGGCATCATCTACTACCACTGAGAAGCAATAGAAGGTATTAAACATGGGAATTCAGAATTAGAGAGATTTGCAAGATTATGTTGAATACTGGAGGGAATACACACAATAGGTAGGCTTACATTGAGACATTGTTTTTACAATATGCACTAGAGAAAAAGACTTATTCACTAAACATACCACTTTGCGGATGAATCTTTACCAGTTACCGAAAATACATGAAAAACCTAAATACACAGGTATAAAACTAAGCAAACTCAGGTGACGCTTTTATATTACAAAAACAAAATCACTCACATGAGCCCATGTCGTCAGTTATTTCCTCTTCATCACACACAATGCTATATTTTTCATAAATTTGTCTCATTTCAGTCGTCCTAGCTGGAGCTGGTTCATGATCCTTGGATTGAAAAAGCATTGATGTTAACACACAAAATAGTTTACAATTTATGCCTACCATAAAGTCTTAAAAATGAATCTCACTCACTGTCACAGACACATAGTATGTGTACCAGGTTAGGGTTCGAGTGGTGGCCATCTTGGTGCACATATTTCAGGAGCGCCCACAATTTGATACTAATATTCAATACTATAAGAGTTATGTTTGAATTAGAAATTCTGAGCAATCGCAGTCTTTTAGGACTAGGGCATTCACGAATTATTAAGTTGGAAATCTCTTCTATTTTATGCATCTTTGTACATAATTGTGTAGTGCACTTTATACTGTTTATATAAATATTAAATGTACGGTAAGATATATTCCCAAAGCCATCTACAAATATGGATTTATATATAAAAAAAAAAAAACTTTTGGCAATAACTTGTCAGTTGTCACACATCATATTTTACAAATTGCAACTTATTATATGGACGATTGTAATGGAGTTGATGTTGAAAATTTCCATGCATTGGTTGCAAACTGACACACACCTTAGTCTTCTTTCCTTTGTGAATCTTCGAATGATCAATTGTTGAGTTTTGATAAACATCAAAATCATCACCATCAAAAACATTTTTTCGTTCATTGAGTCCAATAGTTTCTTCAAGTGAAGAAATATCATATGGAGATTGCTGATTGTCAAGATTGGTTTGTTTGATTTCTGTTATAATGGAAACAATTATACAACTGATAGAAAACTTCCAACCTTTCTTGCCAGTTGCCATTCTTCTGTATTTAAGCCTGTTTATTAAAGTATTTGTTCCAAATATCGCTAATGACCCCACTATGGAAAGACATAGGTCAGACGAAAATCAAAAAGGTGGTTGGGATTTACACGGTCTCAAATATACATAGTTTGAAACAACCCTCTAGAAAATAATAAGGCAAATTACATACCATTCACAGGTGAAGCAGAATACTGTCGCTTTTGTCTTGGAGTTGAATTGTCCATTGCTCGAAGATCATCAGGAAGATTGCCTTCTAACAATGCATGGATTGTTTTTTCACAATCTCTTTCATAATATAGAAGACATGATTCAATATATCCTTCTCCAAGGTGAGGCAAAACATCATGAACAGTGGATATTAAAGATTCCATTTCCACATCTGAAATGAAAACTTTAAAATTAAATTTTACTTGGTATCTCTTGAAATTTGCCAATATCCATATATGGTATTTATCAGTGCTAGGATGACTCATTGAACTGCAGTTGTTCAGGTGATACAGGATTTTAGAAAAGGATAATTAGTATCTGATATATTTGGGTAGCTTAAATTATCAAAACCTTTCATTATAATCAGATATATGACTTTTACAAATGATATGTTGATTACAAAACAAATCTAAAAAGAAGTATCAAGGGTAAAATATTCACCAGATTCTGTAGACAGATTGGAAGCAGCTTTGAACACTTCTTTTGCATCTTCTGGGTTAGCATTTGCTTGAGGTGATTCTTCAGCAGTTCCATTCAGTAAAATAGTACTAGGTGTAGAATATTTACTCTTTCTTCCATTGCCAAGTGAACCAAGGATAAATGAAGCTCTAGTCTCGTCAATTCCTGGTGATGCCTATCAATAAATAACTTATTATGTTATTGTGCGCTTTCCTTTAATCTATCAAGAAAAAATAATTTGGCATGAAAATTTAACCTGTAGAAGAGATTGAACATCATCAATGATGGGTAATTTTCTCAGAAAATCTTGAAAAAATTTTGTTTCTCCCAATAAATCTGATAGAATCTGAAAATATAAATAAAATATGGCATGGATTAAATATCAATGATGCTAAGTATTATATAGAGGCATCAGTGATTTTATTTGGAATGCACTAAATTAATGCCATTTGCAGCATTCAAATATAAACTTTTTCCAAGTCAAACAGATCTGCAATGGTAGTCTCTCTGCTATTTAAATTACTAAACATCACTGTGATGGAGATATTATCTACCGTAGTTATTTTAAAAACGAGCGTGATCTTAGCAAGATGACAAGGACTAGTTAATAGCTTATCATAATGCTAACTAACATGTACTTCAAATTGGCCATGAACTCCATTATGTGATATCAAATGGCCCTCCAAGCTCCATCACCATTTTTAAAATGTGGGAAATGCTTTGGTTCTAATACAGCTAATCCTGCTTTAAAAAATTGGAACTTCATTGAGTGCACTCGATAAGAATGATAATAAATAAACCTGCAAAAGATTTTCAAATATATAGCAAACAAAATATGAAATGACATCTATACAGCATGTATAACCACACTTATGAAAATAACAAAAATATAACTTACATGAAAATAGTCGTCTGCAAGGTTATTTGTTCTTGAGTGATCACCAACCTCTGAAGCATTAAGTGCTGGAGTGAGGAGACATTCATTAAGTATTTGTCTGATGACATTTAACAAGGATTTTCTCGATACTTTCAAATGTGCTAACAACTGAGATCTCAAATGTAGATCATCAAGAGGATATTTGAGAGCTGCTTCATTGAGAATCGACAATGAATTTGAGTAGAAATGAGCGATGTATTTAACATTCTGAAATAGAGAATAGCCCTTACTTTTTGTAACATTGCAAATTTTCAATTCAATTTTCCCTCCATGATCAAATTGAAGACTTAATAACACTGATTAGGTTTGGCACTAGGAAGCATGAGGATAAGTTAGAATAGGTTAGCAGAAGATGATAATGCAGCTTAATAATATGGCATACCATAGCCCGTCACCCGGTTTCCAATGCATGGACTTGATGGTAACATAAGCACATAATTATCCCCCAAAGGGTTCGAACCAATCTGCGAACCCATGCAAAGTAATCAGAGGTACTATGGTAATCATATTACCGAATGCATTGTCATAGGCTTATTGTCTTTAATGTGTACATTTGCCCCCCATGGGAATAGCCAAACCAAATTATTTATCATTCCCTACTTGATATGTTATTTCCGTACATGGAATGTCAATGGTATTCTAAATTGGTTCATATCCAACAGAGAAATTAACACAATGCCGACACTTTGCATCGAGAAAAGCAAATTACTACGGTAATTACTTATTTAAAACACCTTTGAATTATATATATAATACACGGAGTACACAGGCAGCGGATGTACACAGTAGCCGACTATATTTGAAACTCAGCTGAGCATTACATTTCAACTTAGAATTATTCAACATACCTCATAAAATGCAGAACATGCACTTGGATAAACATCAACAAGAAATCGACATAATGTGAATGAAACATCCGACGTATACATAATAATATCTTCAAATTCATTCAAAGGCGTATTTATTAACAATTCGGTTCTGCCTGAAGATGGACCTTCTGATAATCTATGTGGTCGTCTCGCAGATGAAGCATTTTCATTGGGAGATCTGTCCGGATGATATTCAACACCACATTTTTCATCAATGTTGTGAAATACCTAGATTAGACAAGTTATACTCAATACAGTTTTGCTGAATTTTCAAAACCTATTAACTCAAAACAAGAGAAATATGTGATAAGCCAAGTTTTTACAATCAATATTGAGCAACACTTCAATACCAAATAAAAACAATGAAATTTACGAGAAAATAACATTAGTATCTGTCAGGTTTTTGTTGAAAAAATCAAAATCTTGTGGCGACCGAGATTTGGGTCGCAACCTATAGTTTGGGAAACACTGATCCACGAGAAAAAAAAAGAATGGGGTGGCCTATTGTCACGCTATTCCAAGAACAGGTTACCACTGATTATCTAGTTTCTTTCAACAAAAGAGTGGCATCTCGTCCACAAAATGTAAGGTTCATCAACTTGATATGATATCATAATAACCAACACAGAAATAAAGTAAACATACCTATTCAAAAGTGTTCTCATAAATTACAAACAAGAAGTTGAGATTGAAGTAGTAAGATCCCATGAGGATGTTTTAAGCTATTCCTCACCTGCATTATGGTTCCAACTGTTTCTTTCAAATCTTCATTGTAACTAGGTTGAAACTTGAATATATTTGAAATTGCTTTTCCAAGAAGAGCAGAGTTTGTTTCATTTCCATAAATTGCACATAAGTCCATTATTTTAGGAATATCAAAAAGATAATTTTCATACAAAAGTTCACCAAAGAAATCAGACGTAATAAAATGTGATGATGATTCTTTATTGGTTGCCATCCTGTCACAAAAAGAAAGAAATTTACTTAGTTGTTCTGTATGGAAGTTAGTATATCAGGGAGAAGATTGGGGTTTTGACTTATTTCAGTTGAACTCTTCCTATGTAGATGGCAATGACCATCAGATGCAGTCTCACCAAGAATACAATATAATTTTTGCTAAATCACTAACCAGATCTCAACCCAGATCCTAATAGAAGCAAAAAAGGTGAAAATAAGTGATTTAGCTGTAAATGACAGTATGATACATGAGTGAATGATGGCCGAAGCAAAAGGTCCTGAAAACTGAATGAAATATTGACTATGTTTTTTTTAAGTCTTGTTGCCTTTCAGTGTTGTGTGCGATAGGGAGAATAACTTGGATATATTATATGTAAACAACAAACATCACACAACATAGTTTGTTCTTACGAAGCCTGAGCCACTGATCTACATTAAACACTTCGCAATTCATATCTGATATAGGAGATATTGAAAAATATTCAAAACCATACAACAATATGCTAACCTCAGATAAGTCATGAAAACAAGTCTATGAACTGCATTGTGCTTTTCTAAAACTTCATCAGGCCAACTTGATGTCTGAAATCGAGGTGTTTGCTTCAAATATGAATCCAAAAATACTTGCAATGACGCATTGTTGACAGCCTAGAAAAAGATGTACAATGCTAAGCGAAATCACACTTCTCCTCGACTGAAATGCCATTTCAAAACAATATCTATATTTTACAACATCTTATTATTCAATAATCTCCAACTTTATCAATGCAGCTTCAAATCTCCAAATAATATTGGTTGCAGTTTTTTCCTCGAACATTTTGACGAAACTATCGACGCATGAAATCCAAATTGGGCTAAGTCCATTTTTCTAGTTTTGAGAAAAACGCAAAAAACGTTTTTTTTTTGTTTCTTTTTTTTTATTTCTCTAATATTTTACATCGAGGATGTCTAGTTTTTATGGTCCACCAAAGTTACAATGAAGGCCATATTTAGATGGTATAAAAAAATTTGTGCTCCGCCCCAATTTTTTTGGGGGGGGGGTTTTTTTGGACTTAACCCTTTTTGGCTCTCAATTTTCTGGACCAGAAACAATTTTATTGGACTTAGGGCCCCTTTATTATGTTATTATAGAGGCTGGTATGGACTTAGCGCTTCGTATTATATTTTTTGAGAGGAGTTATGTCCAAAAAACGGACTTAGCCCCAACTTACAATGCAGTTATCCAGAGCTGAGTCCACTATAATAGACACAGCTCTGTTTAGTTCTCAAATGCCCTAAAAAAAGCAGGGTCATGTCCATAGCTGTCTTGAGATCTAGAGCACCTAGAGATAAGGCAAATAGACCAAAATGTAGAGATAAGGCAAATAGACCAAAATGTAGAGCTAAGTCCAGGAAAATCAGCAATTGAAAAATGTCATTTTTTGGAAAAGTGTACTTAGCACTGTTTGGTTTTGAGGTGTCGCTATAACAAGTCAACATGTATGCCTAAAAGTTGGTATTTTTTTCATGGTTTTGATCCAATTCGACAAGAATATTGATATAGTGCCACTGTGTAAATTATAATTGGACAACAATATGCATTTGCTAGGATGCAATAGTATTGCAACGATCAATAATATTTTACCTGACACCAGAATTTTGCATGTGGAAGTTTCAGTAACCATGATAAATTTGTCTCAATAGCTGATAAACTTTCTATCCAATTTTGCCAGACACATGGATCCATTTCCGGTTGGATCTTGGGAGCAGGTAAATATTGTGGAAAAAGGACATCTTGGCAAAATTTTGGATCAAGGCATGATAGTTCCTCAATATCACCTAAAATTTTGAAGTGAAACAACGAATGAATTTCTTATTGCTGTATCACAATATTTTTATCGATATGGCCTTATTTTATATGCTTGAATTTTATATTGACTAATACAGAAATAAGTACCTCCATTACGAGTTTCTTCCAAAATTAATATTAATTAAATTATGATGATTGATTAATATTGCAATAAGGTTAGATATAACCTACTGGCCTAGCTGCAAATAGCGTTTTCATATTACAATTTAATATCCTGATATATTGCAATAAAAAAATGAAAACAATACAAACACTTAGCACTAGTTACCTTTAGATTGATTATAATAAGGAAATCTGAGTAATTCCAATGGTGTTGGAGAGTCTTCCATGGTGTAAAATAAAATGAAAAAAGGCAAATACTATAAATACCATAAGTTTCAAAAATCGAATTCAAGCCAAATTTATCTGAAGCATCTGGAAGATATAAAAAAAAATGCTGCAACACACCTGTACACAGCACAAGCTGACAAGGTTGTGCCACCTAAACACCACAGGTAGGCTATCGTTATGTGGTCTGTGGTTATGTGGTCGCCTAGTTACAGTTGGAAAAGTGGATCTGTAGTTATCATTTAGTAGGTAAGGAAGTTGCAACAAACTTTGAATACAAAATTTATTGTTTCCATGTTTTGGTTTTTTAATTTAAATCCCCCCCCCATATATATATGAATAATATAATAAAAATCCAAACAAATACAAATTCTGAATCATTCTCGATAATAGTATTTTGATTATTTTCTATGCAACACCGATGCCAAAAATCTATCGTCCACTCACACTCTAATAATAAGATCCATATAGTTTCTTCAATTTTATTATCACATACAACACACATTCCTGGTTCGTCAATAAACTAGTATTTAATTTATTTTTTGAAGAGATAATATAATAAAATATAACCAAACATACATAAGCATGCGAACAATCATAAAGTAAATCCGTTATTCATTTTTCACATGTCTATTCCATCAGTAATTGGGGTGTTGATCACATCGTCATACAATTAATTAAATTTTGGTATATCAGGATATTGAGTAATATTATGTAGAATAAAAATTTAAATATATTAGACATTTTTATACATATCAAAACTAAATTCATATTTCCTTGATTCAGTATTCAAATACAATTCTTTGACAAAATTAGGTGATTTTTCTATTTTCCCCCCAATGTTATGTCTATAAATGATTGCTGCGTTTATTTGTTTGATAACTTGATTAATGTGGTGATGAGGGGTACTACCTTAAATATTACAGAATTTCTCTGAATCCATATTTTATATCTAGTAATCCAGTAAATGAAATTAAATACAGAATACTGGAATAATATTTAAATCTCTTCTTGTAGTGTTAGAACTTAGAAGAATGTAACAAAGTCAGCAAGTCAAATAAAACACAAGTTTGATAATTCTATAAAAGTCTGGCATTATTTAATTTTCTAACAGCATTTTCAATAAAATCAAAAAACATAATCAGAATATTCACAACTCATAAATAGACCATTCCACATAATGCACAAAAATCATTTTCTGCGATATTTCTTATTACGGGTTTTGTTTTTGCAGGTAAAATATTCCACATCAACTTGAAATTAAAGGTTTGCATATAGTTTGGCAGAATAAGAATATCACTGACATCGTGAGTCACGAAACAACACTACGCCGCTGTGGAAAAGAGATTGTTAATCCTTATGGCTGTACAACAGCGCCTGTCAATCAAAAAAACCCAACAAATAAATTTTGAAAACATCTCTGCGGAATCGCTGGGGCATCACGGGTGAAAACAACTTAATATAATATAAATTTGAGAATACCCGTCAGTATAGTTTGTGTCAATACAGGTTTGGTCATATCGGTATAAAGAGACATTTCTGCGCAATATTGCTTTAATATTTTCGCCATTATCAGATACGGTGTGGGAATTATCCATTGAGAATGGAACTACCATGCATTCAAGTTCAGACGCCAAAACAGGGATATTTTAAAGAAATAAGCTAAGTTGATTTATTTGCACAAAAGTTTTGTAGTAACTGAAATGGATATGGCAGATACGGTAAATCATATAAAAAGTTAGAAAATATGTAAACCCCATCCAAGTTCATAAACTGACAGCGTCGTAGCCACTGAGCTGGAAATACATGGAACCAAACCAACGGTGTTAGTCACTTTGCATCGGTATGTTAGTCGTTGCTTTGCATAGAACGATATTCTCTCTTGTTTTGCGTTGTCGCAGCGCGGGACAATTTGATCGCCGTCATCTTTTTCGTCTATTTTACTACCCAGTGCGACTTTTTGTGAGTATTCAAACATAATTATACTCGAGTTGGGAATTTAGAGCCTGATGTGGATCTCGTTCTTGAAAAAATTTGGTTGTTTAGGCGAGTATACAATAAATATAAGTGAAAATAATTTTTTTGCCTTATATCATAAAAATGCAATAACCTCCACGGGGAAGCTTCCACCCAAGTCTTCGGCAGTGGGCGAAGCGCAGTTTAGTTGGTACTCCCGTAGTCTGTGTATCAGATTGGTGTTAGGCCATACTTTTATTCCGACTTTGCTTGTTCTAGTTCTATTACGAGTTGGGGGATTGTGTGTGTGTTAGCCAAGTGAATATATCCTGTGTCCATGGGTTTCTGTCCCTTTACACAACTTGTAACCAGGCCACGCAATGATATTGAGATCGCTTACTTAGGGCGATAAAATAAGGCAGGTAAATCGGGAATTGATTCCGATAAGCCATCTTGGCTAATGTTTTGTGGTCGTTCTCGTTCGCTTTTGACTGATACGTTGGCCATATTTTTGACCCACGACTTTCGCAAATTTATAAAACTGCCAAAATTAGCACCGTATGGTGGGCTGGGATATACTAGCGTTTAATACATAATGAGACACGAATCAAGATCAGGAGAATATGCGAGAAAAATCGACGCAAATGATTGATTTCTGTCAAATCCCATAATAAACGCTCCTCGCAAAATTTGGAAGTCTATCGTCAAAACGAGAGAGCCTTCAAATGGTCCCGCGGAAACGAGAGAGAAGCGCACTCTGCGCGCTGCTGCTATTTGTCATGTACATATAACTTATAATTATATGTACGCCTGTGTATACGATAATTATATTCGATTATAACAATCGACAGGAGTTGTGCTATGGACCTTTCCCCGACATCAAAACATCCGTATTCTCAACCAATCACAAGCGAGCAGATGTAAACAAACATTCTTCGCTGAAAAGTCGCTCAGACAACTTTGGACGCGTTCCGCACAAGTTGCTGGCGGTTTAGGCAGATCTTTGTCCTTTTTTTCGCTTTTTGTTTTCTTCACAGGGCTGCGATAATTAGAAAGCTGTAATACTGTATGTTACATGTTGCAAATCACGTTTACGAAATCTGTATATCTATACTAAAAGGCTGTACCCGCTGCATGCACCTTACAGGTAGGTAACCAACTGCTATTTCGAACCAAAAAAATAGTAGACAGTCATGCTGATGCAATCAAGAGTACGGTACCGGTAGCCCACCGTATGTCAGTACGGAAGAATTCGCCTTCAATACGATGTTGCATTTTTATTAAACAGAATCTATTAGTGAATTATTTTGGTAGACTAACTATGGTATTTGCCAGTCTGACAACCTGTACGGTGACCCTGTCGTTCAAATGAAGTAAGATTTGTGCCTTTTGCGAAGCCACATAGTGACCGCCAAAAAGCAATGAGGTGGATAAAGGAATGCAACAGGCCTCACAGTCAATTCAACCTAGGAAAAATTACCTATGATATATATTCAATAGGTTAACTCTTATATGAAATGAATTTTCATACAAGCAATGCGTTCCATCATGCATTTTCATGGAGGCGATTAACCAACTGATGAATACCTTGACCCTATATCAGATTCTTGTCGCCCAACAAAAGAGCACCATCAAATTGTGAGGTAAGGATTACTTATACCATAATTTAACTTTGGATCATAATTTAACAGGATCTATCACCAGATACTTCATTTGATACAGAGACATGGGAATCTGACGAAAGTGAGAAAGGATTGTCAAGGATCCAACCAGATCTGCCCCCAGACTCTTTAGTTGAAACTACCTCAAGTGCCGCTGATGAAAATGACAGCGCTTTTTCAGACAGCAGAAAAATGTAAGCAAGCATCATCATTTTATTTTGGTTCTCTGGCATAAAACAACACAAAAAGCCAACATACAAACAAAATGCAGAGAAAACTGGAAGTCGAGCATAACTTAAAATAGATTTCAAAAAGTACGCGGCTACCCACCAGAAAAAGAAATAATAATAATAAAAGGGCACGAAAGAATTAACAAGATTCAGAATCGGGCAACACTTTTAACGTAATTCAAAATGAGAAAACACATACTTCTTCCAGCATTGGTGTCATATTTGCTAACTGTAAAAATGATGAATAAAGAAGGAAAATCAATATTGAAGACTTGGGACTTCATGCAGAATCTTTTACAATCCATTGGTGATAAAATGATGTTACTTTATGGAGTATGCTCCGCATGCATGCCATGTCTGGTGTGACCCTGGTGATCGTAATATCATTTTTTGTGCGGACTGCAAAGTCACACCAAGCTGCTCCTGATACCAGAAGTTGGCCCTGCACTTTGTAGTAACTGTGGTGTGTGATATATACTTATTTTGCATTTATCACTGTCATATAAATTGCAACTTGTTCATAATCATCTGATAACTTTAGAACCGAACCAAGTGGTGGGTGTTTGCCCATCTGACTATATAACAATGAGGTAACGTTAGTGCTCAGCGAGCGCAATTCTTCCATATTATCAGGCGATGAAACCAGACAGTTTTAATAAAATAACTCAGCAGTAAAATCATTGTGATACATTATGTCTGTCAATGGAATTGTGAAATGAATCTAATTCTATTATTTTGATGTTCCATTGTGCCTAAAAGCATATATGTATAATTTGTAGTAATTTTCTTGGATTTACTTGCTTGTTCCTTCATCATATTTTTTTTATAATCTGTTATATTCTATTTCTACACTGAATGAATAAACTATATTGTAAAACCTATCTTTCAATAGTATATTTGCACCCATCAGGCTAAGCTAATAAATCTGTGTTTCTATGATAGGACATAAACTTAAGTGCCTTCACTGTGCCTAGGCCTAGCATGTACAAATTGCATCAGAGACTTGGTGACTACCCAGCGACACCACTATTTGAAGATGATATGGTGGCAGAGACTCCTGAACTTATCTATAGCACTTGGCTTTGAACTCCAGCGTTGAACCAAGATTGACGATTGAACGAACCATCATGAATGTATCTGAAAAAAATATTCATCTGTTCATAATTACAGATTGCTGTAGTTTGTGCAATGTTTCTAGAAAATGTATTAAAAAGACTTTTCAAACTGTCCCTGCATTTCATTTGTTTCTATACTAAACCCACAAATTCAGTCCTAACTTGGACGGTAACTATTAGTCTATGAACCATGGGATACGGTACCGGTAGTCACGCAGGTCTCTCAGTCTTCTGACATTCTTCAACCATATAAGTTTAAATATCACCTTTCAATGAAAAGTTTTGTATCCTCCTCCAGCTGATGGAAAGAAAAGTTCTTGGGGAATCAAGTCCATAGAAAAGTGATCCCATTTTTGTATGTTAAATAGGCTTTTGGAACTAAGTCAGGTACGGTAACGGCAATGTGAAGGCGGAATAACGTTAATAATAGATCACTTGACAATATGTTATAACTTCAGAAGCACGAAAATACCGCCATCATCAGTGAAATGCCATTCGAAGGCCTTCAAAACGAGCAACGTACCACTCTATCGCCCTACGCAAGCCTGAATATTTGCAATGTTTGTCTGAGCGACCAAAATCAAAACAATAAAGGGAAAGGTCGGAGAAAGGTCCATAGCAAGAGCCGTTAAAAATATGGCTAGGATTTTTTTGAAGTCAGTTTTTGTAATAACTATTGCAATTTTAGCTTACAGATACTTCAATGCAAACATTGACAAAGGGGAGCATTTTCAATACTATATTTTTCAATATCTGAAAATGGTGTAGTTAAGCTACTATATTCGCCTTGTACAGTTGTACATGGCATGATAAGATATTAATTTTGGAAAGCCTTTTCATGCTTAGTAATCGCTGCATTTTGCAGGTTCAATACGGGGAAAACGAATTCTAGTTACCGGGGCAAGCCAAAACATAGGCGAAGAAGTTGCTTACCAATATTCCATACTTGGTGCAAAAATTGTTGTGACTGCACGTCGGGAAAATGAGTTGAAACGAGTAAGTAGCCACAAACATAAATGTAACCCAGTGTGCCAAGTTTTCAATATCTTTAAATGTATTATTTTATTCTTTTTATGTGGATATCCTTCGATGTACATAAAACATACTGTAATATATAGATCACTTAAAATAAGTATGTTGATAGGTATTTGTTTGTCTGTTAGGTGCACGCGGTATCTCACGAAAGCGAGGTTCGATCTGCTCCAAATTTTGCACGTGCATTCATCATATCTCGGACCAAAAGCTTATTGATTTTGGATGAATTATGTCGTATAATTAGCGAGTTATTAATTAATTAGTGATGGGACACACGGTGTCGTTATGGAGTAAGAGCGGATGAATCGAACCCGCAGTTTCTGTTTTGGGGAATCCCCTAACTTTCGATCGATAAGTCTTCGGTCTCTGACCGATTTTTTCGTTTTTTAGGTTGTGAAGAAATGTCTTTCTCTTGGTGCAAAAGAAGCAAGTTATGTTGTTGCTGATATGACTGATACTACAGTGTATGAATTGGTTATAAATAACGCAGTTGAAAAATTAGGCGAGTTGATGTCTTACGGATTTATTCAATAGCCTACGTTCTGGAAATATTTTTATTTATCGCCTTGTGTTTTAATTCAGGTGGCCTTGATATACTGGTTTTGAATCATATCATATCACGTCATGGCAAATGGGAGGGGAGTAAGGATGATTTAGATTTTATGAGAAGGCGAGTATATATTTGATATTTTGACTTTGTATTAGTTTCTATTTGCATATGTTTTCAAGTACGAATTATTTTCTATATAAACCATATAGCGTAGAGTGGTCTATCGTCGTCTATGGGTGGTTCTTGTTACTGCTCATCGATCTTGATCGGTAAAAAGGTATAACTATGTTGATAGGTATTTGTCTGTTTGTTTGTATGTTAGATACACGCGATATAAGTTGAATCTGCTCCAAATTTTGTATGTGCATTCATCGTGTCCCGAACCAGAAGCCTATTGATTTCGGATTAATTATTTCGTATAATTGACGAGTTATTAATTAATTATTTTAGCTATTGTCGTAATCTTATTTTTTAACACATTCCAGTGAACTACATTAGTTATATTGAACTTGCGTCCGCAGCAATGCCCCATTTACGACAGTCTCAGGGCCAATTGATCGTCGTCCCATCGCTAGCAGGTTAGTATTAGAGATGTATCGATACCACCTTTGTCGTCGATACGGATCCGATATCAACTAAAAACGCCGATATCGTTACACCGATATCGATACACTGACTGACAGGGGTTAAACATCAGTATTTGAACATTATTCATACTACACCTTATTTCAGATTGAAAAAGCGATGTATTATAAAACATCACAAAAAATCGATGTTTGGGATTCGGATGCGTTAATTGATTTAGATTCATTGTGTACTGACAGTAGTAATCTGGGTGTTCCATTAGAAAACTCATAGGCAGGGATATCCAATTCGAATTTAATAATAATATCGCGACCTTCGAATATCGATTTTCGTGTTCATAACGATATCGCTAAATTATTACACATCCCAGTGCCGCCGTCCCCGGTTGAATTGAAAACATTTCACATATATTTTGTTTTGTGTTTTATTGTCATCATGCGTCGCGACAATAAATTACAGCCGATGTGAAAGGATTTCAATCAGCGCCGACTTAAATACCTATAACACGCCGAGAATGTTCTTGATTTTACAATTTTATAATATTTTACAATTATTATCGCATGTTTCAAGTCTAGCGGCCACGGCAATAAATCTATGAGGAAACTGTGTGGTTGAACAAACTTAAAATTTATTGACCCAAAATATGCAATACCTGTGTAGAGAGATGATTGTGTCGGAATTTAGCTTAGCGATGTCGATGGACAAAATGACACTCGCGCTTGACGATAAACAGTCAAAACTTATAATCGTGCCAAAATGGCAAGTGCTGTTAATAATCGAACGTCAATGGAAAAAATTGGCTGCGAAAATAGCCAAATTATTGAGTGTTTTGGCCGATGAATAGGCCATGCATGTCTCATAGTGTACGATCCCGCCAACCAAAAAACGAGAATATCGGTCGGAGACCGAAGACTTATCAATCGATCCCCCAAAACAGAATCTGTGATTTCGATTCATCTGCTCTTACTCCACAGCGACACCGTGTGTCCAAAACCAATAGGCTTCTGGTCCAAGATATAATGAATGCACATGCGACATTTGGAGCAAATTCAACCGCGCTTTCGTGAGATATCGCGTGCATCTAACAGACAGACAGACAAATACCTGTCAACATACAACTCTTAAGATCGATAAATAATAATTTAAACATTAGTATTTCAACTTATTTTTCAAAACATTGTGGATCATATCAAAAAGGTAAATGTGTCGGAAATATCGATACAGATACCGGAAATTTGCCAATGTTACCGATCTCCAGTTAGTATAGGTCAGCAACTCCCAAAATTCTTTTCGTGCGGCACGAAATAATCAGGAAAAAAACTCGCGGCGTACTTGGACGAAAAGAAATTGCTGCCTTTAAATGAAACTTAATTTCGTGACCGTTAATTTATACTTTATGTCTTTTAAAGTATGAAAACATGCAGGCCTAAGGAGTAAAAGCAAAAGGTCAACTCTTTTTCCTTATCTCTGTCTGATTTTCCTTTGGAATACTAAAAAATCACGCATGTTCGCTGAAATCGGTTCAGCAGATAATAAACTGCAGCTCGCAAAATTACAGCAGGCAGTACAATAGAAGCGAGCAGGCACCACGTAACCGAAACTAACAACATAGAATGGGAAAATGAATTTATTGTTCATATATATACAAAGCAATTAAAATAAGAAACAACAAAACATTTATAATAAATACAATATTTAAAATATTCAATCATTCTGTTGATTTTCGGGGCGCACTTAGCCAATCTGCTTGCTGCGGCGCACTTTTGGACCCGCTGGTATCGTATATAGGGTATAAATGATTATAGAATGATTAAGCAAACGTACTGTCCACAAGTTCTGTGAATGCATTCTCTTTTCATTTCCTATAAAGCTATGGTCTAATTCTCCAATCAATTTGACTGTTGGCCTGTATATCTCATCTGCTTATTGACTGGTTTATGCTTTTTAATTATTCCCATATTGATCTCGATTATATGTATCACAGCTCGTCCGGGTATACCAAACGTTGCGGCGTATGGGGCAACCAAAGCGGCTGTCACCAATTTCTTCACCTCATTGCAATTGGAAGGAATGTCAGGAAATGATTATCCTAGCATAACTATCTGCATTTTAGGCGCAATTGATACTGAGAGAGTGAGATGGGTACTAGCGTAAGTGTCCTTTAATTTTGAAGGAGTAGTTCAACACGACTTTGGAAAGAAACTAAACAATTTACAGCATTACTTTTATGCAAAAGTCAAGTTGAGTTAGAAATTCTCGTTCTTGGTTCTTCTCTGAGATCTGCGATCAACGCATGTCTTTGTCACTAGCATGCATAGATCATCCATTGATTTGCAGTAGACATCCTGTTGAAATATAGTGATTTCATGACAACTAAATTCACACATAATTTTCGAATTCTCTTTTTTTTAACAGAAAACAAAGAATGCCGATTCAAGGGTATCCTGTAGATAAAACTGCCAACGCTATCATAGAAGGTGAGCCTATTTTTCATAGTTGTCAGTTGTCAAGATTATTAAAATGTGTGCCGATCGGCTGCTGTGTCAGTCGATGTCGCTAATTTTCTACACATCAAATTTATAATTGGATCATTTGGTCTAGATATATTACTTATATTTGTATCCAGGTGGAATTACAAGAAGTCGGTATGCATATGCCCCTTCCTATATAGGCTGGTTGGCAACTGCAAGAGAGATGATGCCAGAGATATACGATCAAATTCTTCTACACTTCGTTTTTTGAATAAATAGAACCTGTGTTTAGATAATATTTTATTCAGTGCCGTTACACTACCTATTTAATCAAATATGGCTTCAGCAGAAGACATCAAATTAAAGCCTCTCGATTGTAAGAGTTTTCCCACTCCACTTTTATCAAAAATGGTGATTCCAATGACTGTTAACATATTATCGATTTAAATTATCTCCAATGGTTTGCAATAAATAGTAATTTGTTTGATCCTTTGAAGGTGCCTTGCATTCAATTCTGTTAGTAACACTGATTGTAATATATGTAGTTAGGAAGGCACTCGAAGACAATTAGAAAAATATGCAACAACTTCTCTCTAAAATTAAAATTTTTTCGACGTCAACATAATATGTAATATTATATATATATCATAACTGAATTTAAACCCTGAGTAGGATTGTGTTTTAAATAATGCGTAGGAATCTTATTTATGATTCAATAATAATAAATTAATATAGTTTGAAGGTAGCTGTGTTTTCGTGAACCGAACGGAGCATTCGCTAGTTTTGGCGAATATATTTCTTGCAATTTTGAATTACGTGTAGTAGCAAGTAGTGATGATCAAATAATGACATTTTACATTATGGAATGGATGTGTTCATACTAGCTTTAGCAGACCAAGAATTTTCGAACAAAAAATTCACAAAACATTTTCCGCGACGAGACGAACGGACATTGGACATTTTTTAGTATTTTAATTTTGATGATTATTTAGTATGTTCATCTTCACCCTGAATATGGTCACTCGTACAGATTTTAGGAGGCTTCGCTCGCTCTCCAAATTCTAAACGAGTTTCCAAAATAATCCCGGACCAACGAACACAAAAACCAACCATCTATCCCGTAACACAGATATGAGGAACAAGACTTTTGTCAGATTCGGAGCAATATAAATGGTCAGCATTCCACAAAGAACTGCTTATTCATCACGGCTTTGAGAGGTTAGTTAACGACGGTATTAATTATTCCAAATAATCCAAGAGCTCTGCCGCTGACTAGCACATATGTATTTTTGCAGTTGCATGCCCAACTTTGGTCAGTAGAAAATTGGTACTCTCCTAGTGTGTGTACAAGGTTAGGCCATAATTTTAATGCGATTTTAGTTCCATTAGGAGTTCGGAAACTGTCTGTGTCAGCCATGTGAATATACCCGGAGCCCATAGGTTTTAGTCCCTTTACAAAACTTGATGTGAAGTAGGCGAACAAAATTAGTTACTTCCCAATTGGTAAACACACTTGTGGAGCGTCATAAAAGTTTGAAGAATCATATTTGTGTTAATGCAGCAAAACTCTTGAATTATCTTCAATCTTCCTCAGTCATCCTTACATTAAATGCATACAGATCCGCCGAAGCATAGAAAAAGGATAAGAAGTTAGTCCCACAGAAACACAATCAATAGCGCTATTCCGAGATGCTCTTGTTTTATGATTCTCTCACTTTATTCAAGTTAATGAAATATGTGTAGATTATAAATGCAATTTAGTTGAGTTAATATTTACGATTTTACAATTTTGTAATAACTATAATAATTACGATATAATATAGGGAAATAGGAAAATGCGGCCATATATTGAACAAAAAAATAACAGAATGTCCAATATATTACTGCAACAATTTCTCTGGTTGGAAAACTAAATTTCTTTTCCATATCGCCGCATAACTAGAATGTCACTGTATGTACATCGCTTGCATATTGAAAAGTTATATTATTATTTCACAGTTGCAATTATAAATGTAATGATCTGGGAATGTAAATCCTGGAATAGTTTGATATGGATAGAATTCTCATACGCAATTCAGTGAGTGAGACGCTTACGTGAGTGAAAAAAAGTTGCTCAGCAAAACAGTAGAGGACAAAATTTCATCTAGTTTTGGCAGATGTTGGCCCTACATAATGGTGATAAAATGAACGAGTAATGCACAAAAGGCTACTAAATACTGTTTCAAATGTTGTTTTTTTGTTTTCAATAGAAACTTAGATGGGAACATAAAAGCTATAAATCCGACTTTCTGTTTTGATTACAACTTGGAGTGTTCTGCAAGATGCGACATTAAATTATCATCAAAAACATCTTTAATTGGTAAAGGGCCATTTCTAAAGTTGCGTGTAACATATAACCAGGGGAGTGTCCATGTGGAAATATGGGCAGCCGCCCCGGGAAGCACGATTTATGTGTGAGTTTGTTACTTAGTTAGATGATTGAAATAATAATAATACAAGTATATCGATCTTAATTGATCATTGATTGATTCATACTCATGTATAACAACATCTACAATTTCTTTATTCCTCTTATTGTTTTTCAAGTTAGGTATGAGGGGCACAGTGAGAAACTCGCCTCAAGTAGCAAAAAGGTTTGACGCCCCTGCATGTAACGAAATTTATTCTCTCTGGTGGACAAGACCCATTTCCTGATTTTCAACAAATGACGCAAATTTTCTGCAAAATTGAAAAATAGTTGAAAAACATTTATTTTAATTCCAAGCAATATGTGGCTAAATGCATGTAGGCCTGTTGTTTCTGCAATTTAATTTCCCGAATAAGCTGCTGTAGGCTATCCTCCATGAATTGTACAACCTCTTAGCGGAATAACGAAAATAAAAAACTTCCCCAAAATTAATACTGCTAAATATCGCCATCCCTTAATTTTATGATGTTGTTTTTCAACAACATTTACACATAAGTCAATTACTCAATTACCAAAGCAATGTAAAGCAAACGATCCCATCATTGTTCCAGAACTATAACTATCAACCACGGCCAAATTTTGTATTTTCATCAATAATTAGGTTATCGTACGAAATTTTGTCTTCAAACATGCTCAATTTCCGATCTGCATTAAAACATTTCAACCTACTTGTTTCTAAACTTGCCAAGACAATCTTGAACTATGGAGGTTCACAAAACGCGTGTGCTAGATGTTGTAGTCAGCGAACACGCAGTTTGATAGTTTAGGTTAGTTAGTGGGTATGTGGGTCAACCAATCACAACAAACGTATTTGTTGTTGAGGAACAACGACGAAAGGGTTAAGCCCATTGAGGTGTATATAACACCTCAATGGTTAAACGTTGTGGTGTGGCTGTGCCGTAGTAGTATATTTATATATTTACGGCTGTGCCACGACGCCTATCAATCCAAACGAAGTCAACAAATAAATATTTAAATCACCTCTGCGGAATCACCAGGGCATCACGGGTTAAAATGAAAATAATATTAATATAAAGATACCCGGCAATATAGTTTGTGTCAATACAGGTCTTGCGTCATACCGGTATAAAAAGTAAAAAGTCATTTTTTGCGACATATTTCTGTGATATTTTCGCCATAATCAGATACGGTATTAGAACCATCCATTGAGAATGGAGCTATCATTCATTCTTGTTCACATGCAGAAACACGTATAGCTTAATGCAATAAATTAGGACAATGAGCTGGGATAATTTATTTGCACTCATATACAAAAGTTTTTTAACAACTGAAAGTCTGAAATGGAGAATGTCAGATAAATCATATAGGAAGTTGGAAGTTACGTAAACCCGGTCCTAAGTTTCATATGAGCGTGCACAAATTGACAGCATCGTTACTGTAATGTGTCATTTTCAAGTACATATCAACTTATATGTAAGGCTGTGTATACGATAATTGTCTCCGATGATAGCGGTAGCGTAAGCAGTCGTTTGTGGTCCGATTTTGATTCACTGATTTTCTCTCACAGGTTTTCTACATATTTTCATATCGTTAATAATTAACTGAGCTAATGTTCCACACCTCACATCGGCAGAAGTTGTGCCTAAGCAAGAGCCTTCAAAACAATGGCTAGAATTTTTTTGAAGTCAGTGTTTGTAGTGACTATTGCAATTTTAGCTTACAGATACTTCAATGCGAACATAGACAGAGGTGAGCATTTTTTAATATTTCATTCTTCAAAATATGAGAATGGCTCATTATTATATTCGCCCTGTACATAGCACGGCAATATATTTATTTTAGAAAGACTTTTCATGCTGAGTAATCGCTACATTTTGCAGACTCAATACAAGGAAAAAGAATTCTCGTTACCGGGGCAAGCCAAAATATAGGCGAAGAAGTTGCTTACCAATATTCAGAACTTGGTGCAAAAATTGTTGTGACTGCACGTCGGGAAAATGAGTTGAAACGAGTAAGTAGCCATAAACATGCCACGTTTTCGATATCTTTAAAATGTGAAATGTTTTATTTTATTCTTTTTGTGTGGGTATTCTTTGATATATACATACCGTATTTTAATGGTATAAATCGCTTTTATGGTCACTAAATGCCAAACTAAGCTGTTTTTCTTTTCAGGTTGTGGAAAAATGCCTTTCTCTTGGTGCGAAAGAAGCAAGTTATGTTGTTGCTGATATGACTGATACTACAGTGTATGAATCGGTTATAAATAAGGCAGTTAATAAATTAGGCGAGTGAATGTTTAAGTGTTTATTCAGTACGTTCTGGACATATTCTTTATTTATCGATTTCTGTTTTAATTTAGGTGGCCTTGATATACTGGTTTTGAATCATGTCATATCTCGTCATGGCAAATGGGAAGGGAGTAAGGATGATTTAAATTTTATGAGAAGGCGAGTATTTATTTGCATACGTAAATATATATATATATACGTATATATACGCATTATTTACTATATATAACTAAATTCAAAACAACGTAGGTTGGTATATTGTCGTGTATGGGTAGTTTTTATTCTAGCTTTTGTCGTAATCCTGTTTTTAACACAGATCCATTCCAGTGAACTACGTTAGTTATGTTGAACTTGCGTCAGCAGCAATGCCCCATTTGCGACAGTCCCAAGGCCAATTGATCGTCGTCTCATCGCAAGCAGGTTAGTAAAGTCGGCGGTTTCCAAACTTTTGTGCGTGCGGGGCCAAAAAAATAATTAGAGAAAAAACTCGCGGCTCACGAAAAAAAATACTGCCTTAATTTTGTGATCGTTGCTGTGTAAGCTACTTTATGCCTTGTAAAGTTGTTAAGTGTAGGCCTGGGCAGGAACAAAGGCAAAAGGTCAACCCTTCGTCATCATCTCTGCCTGATTTTACTTCGAAATCCTAAAAATTCACTCATGTTCGCTGAACTCGGTTCAGCAGATAGATAAAATACAGCTCACGAAATTGCAGCAGGTGGTGTCTACCGTTGCGCAACAGTAGGTACAATAGGCAGACACCACGTAACAGAAGGTGAACAACATAGAAAGGCAAAATGAATTTACTGATTTACATACGAAGCATGGGGAATAAGAAACAAGAAGATACTTATACTAAATGCAATGTGTAAAATATTCAATCATATATTAGTTATGTTTAATAAAGTTATAAACCGCTGGTATAGGTGATTATTGGCGAAACAAATGTATAGTAATAAGCGAACACCGGGTATTTCACAATAAAATCATTAAACTTAAAAAGTTAAATCTTTTTCTTTGTTTTTTCTATACGCAAAACATGTCAAAACATAAATGGAAGTAATATCGGGATGGACCTTTCCCCGAGCATCTACTTCCTTGTTTATTCCGTAACATGGGCTAATCAGCAGGACGCAAAAAGTGACGTAACAATAGACTTTTTCGCAAACGCTCAGACACTTGTCACTCAGAAAGATTTTCAGGCATGTTTGTAAACATTACCATGTTTTTGCACGCTATTTGTTAGTTTTGGGTTGTGTTTCAGAAATTCAAGTATGAATTAAAGAACTCAATGATCATTCTGATTGCTTGGGCGTCGTAGCTTAATTGCCGTAATCAAAAATTAGTCTAGGAATAGCTGTGATAAACTAGGTCAAATTTCTCTACCGGTACTGTTAAAAAACAGGTTGTTGCATGTTTTGAATCAAATTGGTGATGTGAAACATATACCCCAGTTTATGGGCTTCAACTCGCGAAGCCACCTCTAAAATAAGCTCCAAGAATTTGCAATGGTGAAGTATAAGAAAATTTTCTTCGGGGTCAAAGGTCCATCGAATATCATTAGGTTACCGTACCGCATATTCCTTTCGGTGGATAGATTATAAAATATTTTGTTTTGCTCTACTTGTCCGGATCATATATCAAATGCATCAATCATTCTAACTAAGCTGAGTGACTTACGGGCCGCACTAACATTAAACTTTCATACCAAGGCGGGGGCCGCAAACTATCGTCCTTCGGGCCGCAAGTTTGAGACCCCTGCTATAGAGATAATCCAATGCCCAGGTAAACTTGGTTGTTTGCCTAGTTATCCAGTCTGCTTATTAATCGGTTTATTCTTGTTAAGTATTTCCGTCTTCAGCATTTGCCGATCTTGAATATACGATATATATATATATGTATCACAGGTCGTCCAGGTATACCAAACATTGCGGCATATGGAGCAACCAAGGCGGCTGTTGCCAATTTCTTTACCTCATTGCAATTGGAAGGAATGATGACAGGACATGAGTATCCGAGCATAACTATCTGCATACTGGGTGCAATTGATACTGAGGGAGCGAGATGGGTACAAGCGTAAGTGTCCTTTACATTTGAGGTAGTTGTTTAAAACGACTTCTAAAAGAAACTAAAACAATTTACAGCATTCCTTTTTTTGCAAAAGTCAGATGGCATCATTGTTGAAATAAAAATTCTCGATCTCGACAACTAAATTCAAATATGATTTCGAATCTTCTTGTTTAAACAGAAAACAAAGAATGCAGATTCAAGGGTATCCTGTAGATAAAACGGCAAACGTTATCATAGAAGGTGAGCCTATTTTGTCATAGTTGTCAAGATTATTAAAATTGTAACAATCGGCTACTGTACTGTGTCAGTCGATGTCGCTAATTTTCTAATAGATAAGTTAATATTTGGATCATCGACCGAAACTGACTAGGTATATTACTTATATTTGCATTCAGGTGGAATTACAAGAAGTCGATATGCATATGCCCCTCCTTATATAGGCTGGTTGGCAACTGCAAGAGAGATGATGCCAGAGATATTCGATCGAATCCTTCTATACTTCGTATTTTGATTAAACGGAACTCGTGTTTAGATAATAGTTTATTTGGTGCCGTTGCACTACTTTTATTAAATCGAATATGGCTTCATCAGAGAGCTTCCCGATTAGAAGAATTTAATTTTCCAACTCCTCTTTGATCAAGAATGGTGATTCCAATGACTGTCATCATATTAGCGATTTAAACTGTCGTCAGTGGTTTGCAATAAATAGTAATTTGTTCGATCATTTATTTGACGGTGCCCCGCGTTTAATGTTCTTAGTAACACTGGCTATGTAGGAATGCGCTCGTAGACATATAGTAAAATATGCAACAACTTCTCTCTGAAATTAAAATTTCAGACGTCAACATATATATATCGAATTCGAACTCTGAGTACGATTGTATTTCAAATGATGCGTAGGAATCTCATTTATGATTAATAATACTGTAAATTGATATGGTTTGAAGATGTAATGTTTTCGTAAACTAAACGTAACATTTTTGAATTACTGTAGTAGATGATCAAATAATATATGCAAATCGACGCTGCACTGTTTTCTTGTTATTTTTATATTTAAGAATGGGTGACATTATGGAAAGGATTCGTCCATACTCGCTTGAGCAGACGAAGGATTTTCAAACTTTACTGAAAATTCAAAACAGCTTTCAGGGGAGAGACAAACAGACATTTTTTTTCATTTTCATTTCGGTGATTATTTCTTATGTTCAACCTCTTCCTGGACAGGCAGTAACTCTACAGTTTTTAGGCTTTGCTTGCTCTCCAAATTCTACATGAGTTTTCAATATAATCCATCTATCATAAGTATTGAGCTACGGTACTTGGGGAAAACGGAACCAACCTCCTAATATGTCATACTAACTCAGATATGACAAACAAGACTTTCGCCCGATTTGGAGCCAAATAAACGACCAGCGTTCCACAAAGAACTACAGGTACTTATTCATCACGGCTATGAGGTTAGTTAACGACGGTATTAACTAATTCCATGACTATTCCAATTAATTCAAGATTCTTGCTGCTGACTAATCACGGATGTAATTCTGTTGTTGTATGTCCAACCTTGGTCAGTAGAAACGTGGTATTCCCGCAGTGTGCGTACCAGGTTAGGCATGAATTTTATTCCTTGTTCTTCTTTTCCTTACTTTACTTCTATAAAAAGTTCGGGGACTGTCTGTTATTAGCCAAGTGAGCGCCGTAAACGTTACAGAAACATATTCGTGAGAGTGTGCAGCAAGACTCTTGAATTATCTTCAATCTTGCAGAACCCATAGAAGGATAAGAAGTTAGTCCCGCAGAAACCAAATCAATAGCGCTAATTCCGTAATGTTCTTGCTTTATGATTCTTTCACTTTATATTCAAGTTAATGAAATATGTGTAGATTATAAATGCAATTTGAGTCAGTTAATATTTATGATTTTACAACATCGTAATAAGTATAATAATAACGGTATAATATAAGGAAATAGGAAAATGTGGCCATATATTGCACAAAAACTAACAGAATGTCAAAAGTATAACTGCAACAATTTTTCTGGCTGGACAACTAAATTTCTACTTTATATTGGTGCATAACAGGAATGTCACTGTATGTACATCCGTTGCATATAAAAATTATATTATCATTATTGCAATCACTAAAATACAATGACTCGGGATTGTAATCTTGGAAGAGTTTGGTATGGATAGAATTCTCTTACGCAATTAATGACTAGTGCGAGTAAAAGAAAGTTACTCAGCAAACTAAATCAAATGTTTCATCTACTTTTGGCAAATGTTGGCAGTCGGCACTACATAATGGTGACAAAATGAACATATCATACACAATCTGCCGATAAAATACTTTTTCTTAAACGACCTTTTTTCAACAGAAACTTAGGTGAATACGAAAGTTAACCGGCACTATGAATCTTCAACACATATTATGCAACAAGACCCACAACGGCCTAAAAATATGATATCTTATTGCTAAATTTGTATCATTAATGAAGAAACAACATTCACCAATGGCTATGTCACTTTGAATGTTATTTTCCAGTTTTCATCCACCTAATCATCTCCTTCATCATCACTATACATATCACTGTTAGACGATGCTTTATTTCTACGGCTTGCAAACTCATTCCTCAGCAGATCAAGTTGCTCAAGTTCAGCCTGAACTTTTTCCATATGAATCAATCGAAATCGCCGAATTTTTCTCATTGGAAAAGGGTTCATTCCTTGGAAAGCTATTTGTGTAAGCACTCTGAAAAACAATAATGCATCTTTACTGTAAAAAAGCAACGGGGTGGAAAGACAAAAATGAAACATTCTGATATACCAGGAACTATTAACAAGTATCAGTTTTACTAAAAAACAAAATATGCTCCAAAACCAAGAATTTTGCTTAACAATGAGTAAACAATGGCTGAGAATCTGAAGCAAATTTAAATGCGAATCTTGGTTGAAAAGAATTTTGCTTAGACTGCAATTTGAGAAAAAATAATTTCAACTCGTGTGAAGTTGCTTTGAACAAAGCTTTGTTAACAGACTTTGTTAACAGGAGATTAGCTTTGCTGCAGTTAGGCAACATTAGCTTTGCTAATCTCCTGCCTGACTCTACAATCGATGTTTTTATGAGCGTAAGGTACATTCACTATAGACAGAAGCCGAGAATCTTTCAGACTTATCCAAGGGTGTTGGTGCTCGATAACCTGTATTTGTTTATCGTGTTGTTTATCGTGTCTCCCTTCACCCTGAAATGCCATTTTTCAGCTCATTCCTACCTTCTGTTTTCTCAGTAAGGTAAAAAATAAAATATTGATTTGAATTACCTTGCATCATACATTCTGTGACTCATTCTTCTTAACAAATTAAACAAAGTCATGTAATCATTTAATTCAAGAATATCTTCTTCAATATGTTTGAAAAAAGCCAATCCAAATCTAAACAAAACCTGAAACAGAAAAACATACTATAATTATATTATTGAAAACAAAAACACTTAGGATTAGACAGAGTTGTGACAGATTAGGTGAATAATTTGAATAGATATTTCCAGATGCATTTAATTTAACAATATATATGTAGTATTCGAAATACAAACTGAATCACTCTATTCAAAAACAAGACTGCATACTACAATGTAATGTCTTTAGTTGCGCCTAAATCCTAAATTAAAATTTATTACTACATCCCTAAGGAATAAGAGCATCCTCTTAAATGCACAGGTGATGAATGCCATACCTAAAATAAAATAATAGCTAATTTGGATTGAAAAGTCCTACAATACACTAAAGATAAGATATTAACTCAAATTTATTCCAGTAGAAGGAAAACCTGACAAGATGGTTTAAAAATTTTCCAGCCTCTCGCACAGTTCTCAGTCTATAGACTGTCAGTCAACATTTTCCAATGAATGGTTATGATTAGTCAGGTCGAAATTAATTGACCAAGGCTGACATGAACCACAAATTGATGACAGCGGTATCTCGCACATTGTGTTGCTTTCTTCAATCCCCAAGAAAATCAGACTCAGAAACCAACTTCGTCATTGTCATCTTTATACAACAAAAGCATATTTTTATACTCTGATAATATCCAACCTTGGAGCTTTCATTCAGAAAGATATCCCAAATTTTAAACATAGTTTCTGGTGGAACGTTGTCACAATAGATGCAAAGAAACCAGTTGAAGGTTATCAGTGAAAGATCGATTCCCATGTTTTCAAAATGCCGATGTAATCTTGGTAGTTTTTCAGCAAGTAAGTCACGGAACACTCTCTGATCTGCCTGTTTAGAAATATGAAAAGGTTAAGGTGATACAGTAAGTTCAAAGCTTTACATCATACATAGAAGAATTGTAAATCTTGGTGAACACTATAAGCCTATGCATTTATTTATATATGCATTTATATATATATACTTTATAAATAGCCCAAAATAATATTTGATTATATATCCTTAACTTACTTAATCGCTATTGCCTGTCGTGATCGCCAAAAAGCATATTTAATCGCTAAAGGCCTTAACTTACTTAATCGCCACTGCCCTACATACCGGTAATTGCCAAATAGCATATTTATTCTCTAGTCTAAATGCCATAAATTACTTTATCGCCACAAAGCATATTACATCGCTAAATGCCTTAGAAGTAACAATAAAGCGAACAAAGAAGCATCTGCAAAACGTGGAAATGTTGAGACATAAGTTGCCTAAGAATAGTTATGGAACTACCAGACAACGAAACTATAATGTGGAAGACGACATACCTGAGAAGCAGTCAAAGTTGGTGTATAATACTCAGATGGCATAATACATTCAACAATTGCAACCAAACACCAGAACGCATCTTCTTCACCAAGATATAGAAGGGAAACAGCTGCCATTCTATTCAATCCTTGACAATATCTGAAAAAAGTATCAAGTTAACCAAATCAAAATAACAAGGTAAATCAAAGCCTACTGTTGTCCATAATATATTTAAATATAATTTTAAGGATACTTTTTTGAACTGTCCGTTTTACAAATTAGACAATGTGCCTAAATATTCACAAAGAAAGCAATGCATTAACAAAAATATGGAAAAAATTAAATAATCACCCTACCCGATACCCGGGTTATGTAAACTGTATGCTCTCAATACTCGTCTCAATTGCTGAATCCCAACACATTCCATAGATGCAAAGAATCTATTACTAGGCAGTGTTCTTAGTAAATCTAAATCAATTTGTTTAGCATGCAGTGGAGCAACTGTAGTTTCTGTCAGCCTTGTGTAGTATGTTCCATCAGCATTCAGCTGCTGCCTGTAAAATGATAAGATTTTAATATTTATTGCAGGAGGCCATCGTAATTGACCAGTGACTTTAGGATGGGATATGATTTGAGAAGGCTCAATAATATGGTGGACCATGGCCTCTTGCTCACTGACCAGTCTATGCAGGGTATTAGATTAGTCAGCCAGTTCATTTCTTTGAAATGCATGGATTTGGTGGTGGAGGAAGCAGTAACTGAACAGATGTTACGTGTACCACCCTGCAACATGTGAACATTGAAGGATCTACTGGTGACCATTGACAAATTAGTTTTAGATTTTCCATATTTTGAACCTCTGCCTTTTATCTAGTTACCAGCCAATGTCAGCTATGGCAAAGATATTATTTATATTAATTTACAAGATATAATAGTTTAAATGTTACATTACCTGAGTTCATAAGTTCTGATATGAACCAAATATCTCCAAACTTTATGCCTCAAATCATGCGGAATTCCAAGTCGAACCAGTGATTTGAATTCACCATTTCTTTGCCACTCTCTGAATAAATAAAATTAATCCAATTAGACTATAAATTTTACCAAACAAAAATAAAACAAATATAAAAAGACAAAAAATTATTCGTGTAACCTTTAATATAATAACCTTTGATTTTTGAGAAAATTATCAAAAAACCTGATAAACTCAATTTATACACTTAACCAATATATGATATCAAATTTACTTGTTTTCAGCAACATATTTCTGCCATTTATTTGCAACAGTAGCATCATGCTCTTCTATTGAATTGACAATGTTGGAGGCATGCTGTTGAAGACGACTAGCAGCAGATAAGAATGTTGATTCATCTCCATCATCAACAACCTGAGTGAATCCATATCTGTCATATTTGCTTGACCTAAACAATGAAAAATGTAAAAGTTGGTTACGCAGCAAAGACTGGTCATAGCCAATGAAGATATGAAAGCTTTTGTCTAAATGCTAATTGATAGTCAGTATAATCAAAATCAACTTTTGACAAGTAAATAAAAATTGATGGTTTTAAGAAAAAATGAAAACAATAATCAAACACAGTAAACAACATATTACTGTGCGGAGGGCTATATGAGGGATATGGCAAAAAATACTGCTACATCTCCCTTTTTCTAAAAATTCAAGTTTAATTATCAAAGACAAATCAGAGGACATTATTTCATTTCAAACAAATTCTTCCAACAATAACTCCTATGTGTTTTTTGGTTTTAAAATTCTTTTTAGTTGGAGTCATATTTTTAAAACTATAAAGCTGTTAGGATATAATAATAGTTGTTGATTAAAAATTTTCTAGATTCCAGACTTCTAATCAAAGTAAAATTTTCCAGCTTATTTCAACCCAATTAAAAAACTTAACTAAGCATTCTCAATAAGGCTTGCAAATATCAAAGCTCTGTCATTTAATTTTTTTTTCAAGTTTTGGGCTTGAGAGTTGTTTTATAAATGGCCCGGAGTTTGGAGTCGAGTATTAATTTCATGACCCGTCATCCCTAGATTAAATCAATTTGCATAAAAAGGAGACATAGCCTACTTGAATGAAGCACTGATTTCTTCAGCTCTACACTCTCCCTCTTTTATAGCCTCCTGTATGAGTTGCTTGACAACATTTGGTTTTGAAGAACCTCCTTCCTCTTGATGTAGAAGAGGATTCTCTGTGTCAGCACTATACACAAGTGTTTCTGATCTATTTCTATCCATTTCAGAAAGAAGAATAAAATATTTGCTTTGGAGTTGACAATGCAAGGCTTCTTGGTGAAGAATCTACAATAGAAAAGCATTATTTGAGTAATTGTTTTGGAGCGATTGTCTGGTGGTTGAAGTGCTGGACCCTATGTTGGTGCTCGGGTTTTAATCCCCTATCGAGGGTTTAAATATTCAGTTCGTTTGAAAAATAGTGGTTGCTCATTTATCAGTGACTGCTTCTACATAGCCTTGTTCAGAGTGAGAACACCTCATTAAAAAAAAGTTTGTAACAGGATGAGGTCAGGGTGGTTCATGTGCCCGATTTTAAGAACTGGTCTATACAACACAAGTAATTCAAATAATTATGCCAAGGAAAAACTTCATAATTTTTACCAATACTGTTCCACTTTAAGTTACAATGTTGATGAAAATTGTAATGCATTTGGAATGATTGAATTGTTATCTATTACCATAACCGACATGGACTGGAAGCCCACAAGTTGCCATATGATCATAGCTTGCTGACTCTGCCCCAACATAAATTTGATATCCTACATTAGTTTCAGATAAATGAATTATACTAAAACTCAGAAATGTTATGGTAATGTTCAATATATTCTACATTCCACCCAGGCACTTACATGCACATTTAAAAAGTATACAATACAAGTAAGCCACCATAAAAACTGCCACACCTGACAAGTAATAAGAAAGATTAGCGCTCCAGCTCCAGAAGTATGTGTACCAATATGGAGGTAACTAATTTTGTTCGCTACCTCACATAAAAATTATGGCCTAACCCTAACCTGGTACACATACTACAAGAGCACCGAAAGATTCATAGGTAATCGAATAAGGCATCGTATACAAACTGCAATTTCCAATAGCAGCATTGCATTAGATTGAATTAATTTTCTTTAACATGGTATAGAGTATATGATACATTTGCTAATAATATAACCTTATCATGTAAAGAATCCATTTTATTTCTATCAACTTCTCTCAAGTGTGTGAGTTCTAGAATTTCATTGTTCAAGAATTTGTTTTGTAGTCGATAGCCTTCTACTTCATCCTGTCATCGAAAGAAATAATCGTAGACAATTTGGATGGTTAGTAAATATGCAATAGTGTTGAGAACTGTCAGTCAAAATAGCAAAGTTAAAATGGTTAGATACAGAAGACAACAAAACAGTTGACGCTATGTGTTACATGCTAGGGCATATACCTGCTACTACACACCATGAGTGTGATGATTTTAATTTTGTAGAAAAAAACATAAAAGCAGGTAGACTGCTGACCTTCTCATAATCAAAATATGGTTCAAGGCTTCAGTCACAATCTAAGTCCATATATCTGAATTAACTGCTTCAAATATTAACTTTTTTCATACCAGGACTAATGCGGGATGGGAGGCTGTGATTCCCATAAGATTGTTTAATTAAGTGATTTCATCAACTTTTTTCAAAAATGAATATAAGACATGATATCCTAGTAAAGAGCTATAATGTTACAAAGAAATTCAATAATGAGCAGGGTGTTCATGAAAAAATGTTGATTCAAGTGTTAATGTGTTAATTTAATCAATTATGGCATAGGTTTAAAAATTGATTTAGAAATCATCCACCAAGTTTCGAATTTTTTACCATTTATGATGGTAGGATCGAGGAGATGTGGTAGCCCAGTGAATCTCAACCGCGTCTCTTAGAGCCGCATGTGGCTCTCAACTATCGTTTCTACGGCTCTTAATATCCAATAAATATTTTTCATTGAAAATAAATCAATGGCTTAAATTTGAAAGACTGAACTCCAGTAGTTGAATCAGTTGAATCGATGCCAGAAAAGTTGTCAGGTCGTTTTGAGTGCAACCTTTCATTGTAATGGCAACGTGTTTTTCCTCAATGTTTAACCTGCGTTTCAGTACACTGAATTCAATGTTTCCTGTAATTGTTGATATTGTATTATATGTACTATTTCGTTTTGTCTATTTCTGGCAACACTGCCTGTTAACTTCTTTCATTGTTATTGTTTTATGCTTCCTAGATTTTGTATCTGCTGTGCAAGCTAATATATATCTATTCTGATCGTGTAATATTAAGGTTGTATTATATGATAATAGTCAGTTTAACAGTAATCACATGCAGGCTATCCTGTGCCCTATGCAGATTAGGTATTTTTGAACAATCTGTTAGTTTGTCAAAACAAAATGTCTAGCACACTTTCAAAAAAGCTCACACTCTTTATAAATATAATTGGGCGTTTTAATTTAATTATTTCCAATTATTTAGGTATTTTCAAATTGAATAGACAACATTATGAAAATATGAAGATATTGTTATGTAGCTATGAACATTGTTCTATATACTGGTGAATGCTTCCATCATGATTGCGGCTCTGTTTTTCAGACCTCAGGATTAAAAGACAAAGCAAATGTCAAGTTTAGCCTCAAATCAGATTTTACCCTGAGTTTTGTTGATGTACCGGTAGTTATTTTAAAATACATACTGTACTTGAGTTTTATTTTGAGGCTATTTATGTGTCGTTTTTCATGCGGTTTCTTACAACTTTAAAGTTTGAGATGCCGCTCTGACACCGAAAAAGGTTGAGAACCACTGTGCTAGCCACCTTACTTTACCACTGTAACACGATGTTTCTCACACAATTTTGAAGTGAACATTTGTAGCATGCATATTAAAGTCCCTCTTTATTAATCAAATTAAAGCCGTATTTGTTTAATTTTTTGTCACCTTTTTCAATGCTTGGATGGAAGTAATATTGAAGCTGTTTATTAAAGTAAAAAATTATTAAAAACAACAATAAGTGATTACCTTTAGTTTTTTGAATTCGGTCATAGCTTCACCACTGACAGCAGTTTTATCACTTTCGAGAGAAGATGAACTTTCCGTTAGTTGCTGAGCAGATGGATTATCGGTTAATGCTGAATCTTTACCTTTACTTACTTCACTTGCATGTTCATTCACAAGTGATTTGTAAGACTTTTCCATTTCATATAACTGAATAAAATAACAAGTCAGTTTCATAACTTATTAGTCGGCTAATAAATTTGTTAATAAATTTGCTAATAAATTTGTTAAGAAAATATTGACCTTAAACATTCTACACTAGATTATTATGAGTAATCAGAAAGGAATTTGCTTGTAGGCTCGGCAATGTGATGTATCATGTAAAGCGCTAAGAACGCGATCACCACTGCATCTCTAATTACCCACGCAGGTTCGCAAAAATTGATTCAAATTGATACAAAACCCCTAGATCAGTGGTTTAATCCTGATGGTCTTTTTCACTCTTTCGCAAAGACGAGCTACTCCTCTAATTTTTCCCTATTTTGACTTTTACTACAAATACCTTTAATGCATGATGAGGAAAAAGGGTTGTGAAAGAAGGTTTTTCAAGGTTGTAGAATTGAGGATGTAGGTGCCAAAACTTGATCGTAATGAGGGTACAAGATACAATTGAAGCGTGCAACTGGCCAGTTTTTTACTAATAACTGACAAATAGACAAATTTCTCTGTAGTGAGAACATAATAAAATATAATATGTAATATAATAGAGGACATTGTTATTCTAGCAACGTTGCGATCTGATATGTAATCAAAGTATGCATTTTCTCATCTGACAAAATAAAACTGGTAGCATAATAAAGTAGTAGAGAAAAAAAGAATTTCTTACTTGCCAAATTTACCCCTAAGACAGATCAAAATCATTCTCAGTTGAAAATTTCAAATCCAGATGGGAACATGTTTTTTTATATGTATCTAATGTTGACTGGTATATAACAAAAAGAGTTTAATACCTGCACATTTCGATTTTTAGAGAAAAGCAAACATGGACTGTTGTTTTCACAATTAGGATTAGTATATAAATTATTGTCTTGCTCAACTTACCTCATTTGTCAATTGCACAACAATACCATCTTTGACTTGCAACATTTCTTGGAATAATTTTGTCTGAAATGAAAGTGTATATCGTTATGTACACACTGTCAAAAATCAGTACACCGTTGCACTTATCCGAGTACTAATTCGTTATAAAAAAATCAGTGCTCGCAATAAAATCCCTCTAGTAGTTGTTGAGGCATATGTACATAACGCATAAGAGTCAAACAAAACAAGAAATGAACGTGGCAAAGACAAAACTGTGAGACATATTATCAAAAAAGGAATAGGCCAGTAGTTGGAGGAGTGAGTTGCAGTAATTAGACTTCCAAATTTAATTTCATCGATAATTGTGTCATTCACAGAGAGAAGAAAAATTTATTCTTTCAGCAGTTTGGGTGAATACAATCAGAGAAACAGCTATATGGTAGTGAATTCTACATAACTGAAATTCTTTGGAAAAAACTTCTGGTATACAATTTTTTCGTTGGTGGATTTACTGACAAGTCATGGATGAGTGTTCACAGCCAACCATGTACCACAAGTCCACAACTGTCTTTTTTAAGAAATAATTTCCAAAATAGTTTAAAAAACACTATCCATAAAGGAATACCACATAATGTCATACCTTTTCTTCCTGTTGTCTGAAAGAAAGCTTGGTTTCATCTACCTCTTCCCTTAAATGTTCAATTGTTAATTTCAATGTTGTTATTTCTGATCTCATTTGATGATGTGAAGATGGACTTCCTGGTTCTTCTACAAATTAAAACAATACAAAAAGTTCAAGTAATAAGCCAAAATGTTTAAGCAGCAATAGGAAAAAGTCCATCCATAGAAAATCTGAAGGTACTAGGATATTGCGTACTGAACTGCAAGTCCTTTTTCCTTGTTTACTTCCTTTCACAGAATGACAAATATACTTCCTATTTTGTGAAAAGAGATCATGCTATTCTTTTTTATCATAGAAAATACTCATTTCCAAAAGTTCCTCTTTATGGAATGTCAAACTCAGACAAAAATTCAAATGTAACTGTATTTTTCATCAAGAGGCTTTTTTAGTTGTTTCTTTAAATAATGTCATGTTTTTAGATTTGTTTCAGAATTTTCCAGACGCCATATGTAATTAAGTGGAAAACACTAATCTGATAAAGATTCTGGTTTTATAACTTAGTGTACTCAGTTATAAAGCACTTCGTAAAGCTCATCACACCAAAGCTAGCTACTTGATAATATTGATATAAAGGTTTAAAACATACAAGGAAATATATATTATTGAACAGCAATACTGATTATAAAAATTCAATATGATCAACTTCAATACACCAGTAACCATTAAAAGAATTTTCAAACAGTTAGTAACATCAGGTGGGTAGAAACTTCCTCTCCATTCCAGTTTGTATATTCAACAAACAAAATAAGTAGCAGAATACATATATGGACTATTTTAGTTTTATTCAAAACAAAATCATGCTTGATCAAATATGAGCCAAGAAAGATATGGTGATTTGAGTCATGTTATGTTTAAGATAGCCTCAGCAAGAAGCTAAACAATGCATTATAGTTCTTCCGCAAAACAAACAACAAAGCAGAAAAAACTTTACCACTGACTGTAGGAATGGGTTTTGTGTTTGTTGTAGTGAGCGAACTGTACATATCCAATTCCTTCTTTAATAATTCAATTGTTTCCTGTCATAAAAAAAAATTGCTGAAAATTGTTCATTCGAGTCATATGATCGAACGAATTACGAAATGCAATGTAGGAGATTTGAAATACCAAAACAGATTTATACATAAAATATGATATATAACTTTCAGGTACAAGCTGGAAGAGTACCGAGTACCACATACCGACACCTCAAAACCAAACAGTGCTAAGTCCACTTTTCCAAAAAATGACATTTTTCAATTGCTGATTTTCCTGGACTTAGCTCTACATTTTGGTCTATTTGCCTTATCTCTGGGTGCTCTAGATCTCAAGACAGCTATGGACATAACCCTGCTTTTTTTAGGGCATTTGAGAACTAAACAGAGCTGTGACTACTATAGTGGACTTAGCTCTGGATAACTGCATTGTAAGTTGGGGCAAAGTCCGTTTTTTGGACATAGCTCCTCTCAAAAAATATAATACAAAGCGCTAAGTCCATACCCGCCTCTATATTAACATAATAAAGGGGCCCTAAGACCAATAAAATTGTTTCTGGTCACAATTTTTTTTATACCATCTAAATATGGCCTTCATTGTAACTTTGGTGGACCATAAAAACTAGACATCCTCGATGTAAGGTATTAGAGAAATAAAAAAAAGAAACAAAAAAAAAACGTTTTTTGCGTTTTTCTCAAAACTAGAAAAATGGACTTTAAGTTTTATGTATCGACGCATGAAATCCAATTTCGATACATAAAACTAAAGATAGTGCATAAAACTACCACCCAGATATTTACTTTATTGGGCTATATATAAGGTTCATAGGGATATCATAAGACTTCAGTTCAAATGAAATTCTAAATTAATTTTTGTGAATAAGAGATTTATTTAAAAATTTCAATAATGGAATAATCAAAAAACAGCAAAAGTAATCAAAAAACATCAAAAAACCTTTTTTCGAGTGACCCAAATTAAAAAAAAAAAGAATATTGTAAAATATCCTGATCCAAGAATGTCCCAAATTCTAAACAGCATTGAATGCTTTTATGGACACAAGATTGAATTACTATCATGAAACAATCGTGGTGTAGATTGCATCAGCAAAATAGATGCTGCCAAGTTTTTAAGACTTCAATACCAAATATAAAATAAACAATAAAATTTACTGACAAGTTAAAACATTAGTTTTTGAAGTTTTGTGAAGCCCTGTATAACCACTTTTAGTATGTCACACACATATTTTTCTCCAAAACTGCACACAATTAAAGCAATGACATTCTTCGATTGACAGGCATATTTCTTTATTGTCTGACCAAACGACTTGCTCTATCTAATATACTGTATCTTATAATTGTACTTCTCAAAAAATTACATGGATATTTCTGATATTTCCAGTAAGATCTACGGTAATCAAAAAGTGAAAGCCAATATTCATGCCAACCTCTTTTGATTCCAAACTTGTTTTCATCAGTTCAATTTCTTCTTTGACAAGGTTTAATGTCCCAGTAATTTCTTCTACATGCTTAGAATCATGATGGGAAATTTTACCACCTCAAAAAAAAAAGAAAACGTAAGAGTTCAGGTTGGATCCCCACCCAAATAAATCATGATACCAATGTGAGACAATGTGAAATCTACAATATCATCTGGTTAAGTAACATTAACTTCTCAATGTAAGTGATTTTACTGGAAATTTTTGAAGGAAACAGTAAAAAATAGATTAGTCAACCGACTAAATATCTACCTGACTTAACGGTTGTTTGGATTTTGTCAAGCAAATGGGTAATTCCAGCAGTTGTGCGAGACCTCGGCCTTTTATCTAGAAAGAAATAAAAATGTGAAAATGATGATAATATTCACAATATTTTATGCATGTCGAAATTGCAGTTAAAAATAAATTTTAATATCTGAGTTTTATTCTGTCTCAAAATTCGTCATACTTTTTGTTTCTGTACTTTTGGTTGCCTTTAAAGCGGGACCCAATGTCAAATGTTCTTCCGAGTCTGGATTGGTGTGTTTCGAATAAAACACACTGGTTGGTGCAGGTGGAGCAGGACGTGGAGGCTTGATTCTCATTTTTGCTATTCCCTCTGGATAGTATATGAGAGAATAAATTATTATAAGCAAGTTATCACGCTTCAAAAGTTATATGGTTTCGAAATAACATTCAATATAAAGACTTTAATTTTCAAGATAATGTTGCAGTTGAACAGGGCTGGGAAGCCAGAGCTGGAGTCAAGCTTACCATATTAGATGGAGCTGGAGCCAGAGCTATTAGGAATTTTAGTGGCTCCAGCTCCTAACCATCCAATTATCTTTTAACATTTATGCTTTACTGATACCTCATACAAATAGCAAAATCTATTTTTATTCTAAATCTTGGACCAATATTTTATCAACCAGCTGTTTGATTTATTTCCTAGAGGGATCAAAGCTTGGTTTCAGGTGTGAATTTGTTTTTCCAAATCTACAGTCCCGGATGCTCACACTGAATATATTACCAACTGAGAAAAAGTATTTTGAATCGCTATAAAAGAAAAAAAAGTTGTTGATCTCAGTTAACCCTTTTCATGCTTACCCAAGAACAATGTCATAGTCATAGTCAAGTTTATTTTTTCCATCCAGTAAAAAAAGTTAACATGCAAAATTAAGACGAAAAATATTAAAAACACATTTCACTGGGGAGGGGAAGCTGCGGGGAACCAAAGCTGGTTATCAAGCAGCGACACTCAAGGTTCAAATATCTAAATAAACATTAGTCAAGTTTTAGCAACTTGATTGTTGGAGAACTGTTATCATTGATGATCGAGGCTTGGTAGTTGAACCATCTAATGTGATAGGTAAATAAATAACCAACATCGCGTAATACAACTCAAATGTGAATACATTAAGTCTGCTTGGAGGCAATGACCAAATAATCAACCACTTATTCTAGCTCACAATGCTAAATAGTATACAATTGATAATTTTATCAAGTGCAATCACCTCCTAATTGTGTGACTTTGTTGCCAAAATCTGATAAACCAGGGAGTCCACTTGAGCCTTGTTTTATATTCATGTTCGCAGATTTTATTCCAACGGTATCTGGTGGATTCTCAATCCTTGGTAGAACAGGAATCACTGATAAACAGTCACGATTTACTTGGAGTTCTGAATAAAATATATAAAAAGTAAAATGACTTACCGTCATTAATAATATAATAATCTATATAATATCTATAATAAATAATCTGAGTGAAGTAGAAAGAGACTTGTGGTGGAAATTGTAAGAGATTTGATTGAAACATGGTATTGTGGGGTTATTTGAGTAGTTTTTAACATTTGAAGCGATGTAAAATCTGAGTGGAATTGATTCTCTCTGAAATTATGGTTTCATTGTAACATTCTGACTCTGTACTTCCTTGAATAACATGTTGAATCTTATTCAATGTATTCAAGTGACCCTAAAATGCATTTTTTTCTGAAAGTCAGTATACTCAATTTACCTCAGTTTTCGAGGATAATTGAGTATACTGACATCTACCAGTTAAATCCAAAGTTAAGAAAGCTCTAGAACCAAATCAAACACATTCACATAAACTTGGGTACATACAGTTCATTTAAAAAAATACTAATTACAAAAACCTTGAAACAAAATTATCTGGCACCACTTTAAATTTGGTATGATTGATCACAATTATGGTTGTCATAAACATATTACCCCAAATCGGCTTTCAGTTAAAATACCAGTTCATTATGAACTAGGAAAAGGTGGTGGAAGTTCATTATAGACTAGGAAAAGGTGGTTTGTCTCGACCAACAACTTCCTTGATAAAGATACTTTCCATGTTTCTATTTTGGGTTAAATCAAACACAAAATCTTTGAGCTCTTTCATATACTGATATCGTACAAAGTTCATTTTGTATACATTGGTGAGAACAACTTGGCCAAGGAATTCCCTTTCCCCATATTGCAACCAGCTAGTCAAGGTCTTGATTTCTCTAATATATTCTCCAACTTATAGTTAGTCCTCTGTTATAATAAGCTGTACTATGTGAGATCACCTTTCTCAAATTCTGTTTCATATTCTGTTCATAATCTACTTCTGACTCTTTTACTGCTTTTTTGAACTATTATGATCTTTCTCTTTCCTGTTTTTTTTTTATTTTCAACCAATCATATTCATTTAAAGTCTATCCCATCAGTATACTGGTATATACTTTCAACTGATGTTACATCTGACTTTTTTACTGCTTTTTTGAACTATTATGATCTTTCTCTTTCCTGTTTTTCTATTTTCAACCAATCATATTCGTTTAAAGTCTATCCTATCAGTATACTGGTATATACTTTCAACTGATGTTATGAAACCGTGTGACTATATCAACTAAAGCCTTTGTAAATGCACTAAGCTCACTGGTGGAGTAGAACTCTGTGCTTGGCTTGTCCACAGCTCTCTTTTTTACTATTTTTTGAGTTACAAGAACCCCTTTCTCAAAATCCTACGATTGCTTATTGTGGATTTACACTCATATGCAATAAAAATAGGAGCCTATATTAAAAGATTGACATGATGTAGGCTGCAAACAAGTGTTAGGGCTCAAAATAGTTACTTTTGTTCACCTACTTTACATCAAGTTGTGTGAAGGTACGGATCCCTATTGGGGGGGTATTTACTTGGCTAACACAGACAGTCCCCGAACTCCTAATAAAACTAAAAAAAAAAAAATTGGAATAAAAGAAGATGCCAACCCATATGCATTAAGTTATGAAGTAACCTCTAAAATCTCAAATTATACAACACATCGATACGATAAAAAGTAAAGATACCCAAGCTCTTCTGTATGTTTTTCTTTCGTTAAAACTTATAAAAATGTGATTTTATTAGAGTTCTATTTTTGTTATATTGTAAAATTTTACATCTCACAATTGCTAGTGCAATGCTGATATCAAATCAATAATAATTCACCTGGATTTTTCACTTCACTTTCCCCAGGAAATTTGTCGATAAGTCCAGATGATTTTTGTTCATCAATATTTAAAACAGCAGGATTTGTATCTGCTTCTGTATCAGCCTTTGGTTTAATTCTACTTGAAGATCTCTGAGTCTGCTTTGTGTTGAAAACTCTTCTTTCTGTTTGCAGTTCTTGCAACCACCATAGCATTGTTTTTTGATCACAAGCCTAAAATAAAATTATATAAATCATACTCCTAACTTACTTAACATTTAGTGATAAGACAAATATATGATATAATAATATTGTATATTGTATTATATAACTCTATACATTGATCTACAACTTGGCCCAAACTGTTAGTCTGAAGTGACCAAAGCAAAGTGTAGGTAAAAAAATCTTGACGACTGAAATCACAAATCAGAATGGCACTCGCATCATGCATATATGGGGATGAATGCCATGACCAAAGCATGCAAGAATTGTGAACAACAAACAAGAAGCATGTTGGCCCATGTTGAAGAAAATCTAAAAATTGTTGATTAACCAGGAGCACACCAAACCCTATCTACAAATCAAGGTGCCTGTGCCCTACAAATGAATCCGCTTTCCGCTTATTTCACAGAATAATGTATCATACACAACTTATTATATAGAATATATGTGCTTGGCAGCGTGGCGCATCGTGCTAAGCGTTAGGAGTACACTCGCCACTACACTTTTGATTAACCCACGTGGGTTCGAAAGCTTGAATCCAGTGGGAGATAATAACGTGCGATTGCTGCACTCCTCGCCGTCGTAGCATGGTTCACATAACTGCTGGTAGGTTACAGCTTCCTTCATCATCAAGTACTTGCATATGAAACAAAAAATTGGCCAACTCCATACCTGACATAGACCGGTAACCAGACGAGAGGTCGTGGTTCGCCATAATATGATTATTAAGCCATATTATCTGCTTTTCTCTCCTTGGGATATACATATATGTAAATTCTATCCTATCCTACAGTGATATAACGTTCATTTCAATTATAGAATCACAACAAACAATTTCCTATCTATAACCACAGAAAGACACTACATTGTTCTATTGTGATGTCACATTTTTGAACTTCAGTAGAGTTTAAAAGTAGTAGTAGTCATGTCGAAATCTACATAAAAAATGTACCATAACAACAACAGTTTATAAACCTGCAAGACATGAGTTCGAGTTTCATGCATAATCTGGAATGAATTCACAAGTAATCCATCTGCAGTACATGTGAATGCAGAGCTCGAAATAGGAATAGAACCAAGTGGATTTCCTGCAGTATCTTTTGGAGACCGATAGTAATTTAAAGAGCATGTTTCTTTGTCGAAAACAAACCATCTGGTTTTGGAACCTGTAACAAATGAATATAACATACATTTATCTAACAGTATAGCCACCTATATAAAAATGATAAGAGTATGTTTTTCGAACCAATACTAAACATACAAAGTGATCTAGGAATGGCTACATTACATATAAGGAGACCAAGACTCTATTCCACAAAGCAAAGCTCCATGTATTATGGATGCACCTAATCTAAATTGACAAAATGAGCCTTTCTGCATTTGGAATAATACAAAATACTTTTCATACCTTTATCAAAAACCTAATAAAAACTGGAAGAGTTCAAGCTCGACAAAAACTCAAAGACTTTTCTATGAATTTTTCATTATAAATCATATTTCCCAGTACAAACTCTTACCTTTAATAAAACCCCCTTGACTAACTTTTGCCAAATATCCACATAATCGATCTTCATTAGTATTGCATTCCTCTGGAGAAAGTGGCTGTTAACACGGAAACAACGGTATATTTTACCATATAAAAATGTATGTAAAAAATGTATTTGTATATTAAACCTCACGTATGCATGTCAAAATGTATAACCACACTCTCACAGGCATAGCAATAAATTGCATATCTAACTATTTCTATAGATGAATGACAATATCTAAGAATGCGCTTTTATGTAAATACTTATATTCAATATTGAATTGTATAACTAGGCATTAGATCAGAATCTAAAATTTTCTTGTTTTAAATGCATAAAAATTGGTTACAGCAATATGATAGCACAGTTACTGAAATGCCATGTTATTCAGTTATTTGTTATAAAATAATAGTATTGATACAGTGATAACTGGGACAAAATAGACCAATAAATACAAAAAGAGACTAAAATCAATTTATTCTATATGAATGAATTTCTTTCTATAGAGTACCGTAGATAGTCTACCCTGCAACAGTCTAAAATTATTCTGTTATTATAATGTTGTGAGCGATTAACTGTTCAAGCAACAGTCAGATAGTATCAACGATACAGTGCTGCAGTGACATGCCTAATACTTTTATTACAGTATTAAAGAGAAAATCTATTTTTGTACTAATTGGTCCGTTTTCTAGGAAGATTTTGTTTATTCTTATTTCTGTATTTATGCGCCTTCCACTCGGAACACGGCATGGGATTTGAAACACATTTTTGCCTGCGATGACTTTATAATTACTGAATTGAGTCTAGCGCTAGCCTATGTCACCGTAGCCACAAACTGGCTTAAACGGACAGAACACTATGGAATCAGAAAAAAAAAACTTTCAATTTTACCTGTATTATCTCAAACGCTTCAGATTCATCCCCTATATCCACCAAAATGTCTGTTGGACATGGCGTCGCCTCCTTATCAGCCATGCAGCTGCTATGTAATGGTTCAAATGCAAAAACTCATAAGCACTGTTGTACCTCAGAAGCCCAAAACTGAGCAGGTCAGAAACTGTTCACAGCAAGAACTTATATGCACAGCACAACACAAGACTGCAAGCTAGACTGAAATAGTCACTTTGCTGAAAACAAGCTGTATACTGCCAACTAGTGAGCTAAAATTTTGGACTATAAGGCAATTCCACATTTATCTCAAAATATTTATTTCAGAAGATGTCACAATAACACAAGTTAAAAAATCTACGACAACATATAACAATGAAACAGATTTTGAAAAAGAGAAGGAAGCTGAGAGGCTGATTGCTTATGGGCACCAAGAAGCAAGCAATGAAAGTATTTATATACTAGAATCACCCAGAGTATGATTGAAAGCAGATACAAGATAGAAAATCAACACTAATTTGGCATTTTCATAGCAAAAAATTTCTATGGCGGCATAATAATACATTACATTCGTAAACCTCAATAAAATCTTGTACTTATGGAAACAAATTATTCAAATTATGGAAGCTCCTCTGATAAGATTAGCGTTTTGTAAATATCAGTATAGTTTCAACCAATTCCAATACTATTCAAAATTAAACATGGTTAAGAGAGGCAACAATCTACCAACTATTTTTTGTGAAACGATTTTTTCAAGACGCTATCAACTAGATAAAAAAATAGGGCAGCACAAATTTTTGAAAATTATACAAGTTTTAACAGTGTATCCTGTGCAGAAGATAGTAAGACTAACATGGTTAAAACTTAAAACTGACAACAACAACCAGGGATGTTCAAAACAACGCGAATGTTCGAATACATTATATTTGATATGGTAAATTTTCAAACTTAGGAATAGTTTAGCATATTTTTGTTCAAAAGTTAGGGTTTTGGAGCCACCGGACAAGCAGATCAAAACGTTCGATATCTCAACTGGTAACAAACAGTACAGAGAAAACAATGACTTTTTTTTTCATGTTGTTTTAGATATGATCAACATGGAGATATATTCATTATAAATTTTTCACTTGTCCCTAATTTAGAATGTATTCGATATTTCATATTTAAAAATATATTCTCAAAATATATCAGAAACAGTGATATATTCGGTTTTGGCAACCCCTGACTATTGAAATTCAACTCTTTGAAATATTAGCTAGATTAAATAACAGATTAGATGCTTGTGATTTTGACGAATCAGACATAATATTAGTGGAGGCTGACACAGTTCCGATCGATGTGGAAGAACTCAAAACAAAATTTGATTGGCTGCCAATCTGTTGATGTTGGCCAGTTTGAAGTTCTAATGGTTGTGAGATGGCTAAGTTATGGATAGCATTGCCATTATTTGCTTGACCAATAAGCCTCCCCAAAACATCTTCATCAGTGTCTTGTGCACTCATAATAGTGCTTAGCTGATCTGGAGAAACAAACATTTGGTTTGATGAAACCAAAATATTCTGATTGTTAGAGTTTGTGACAATTCCTCCCAGATTTCCACTATCTGCTACCGTGGGTGCAATCGATATACGTTGTTGATTCATAATAGATGTTCCAGTTTGAGGTCTGTACTTGTAATCACTTCTTCGATAGTGTTGCTAAAGAAAAAGGATATTAGTAAAAAAAATGAAACGTATTAATTATTCAACATTATTGGTAGATGTTAGAACAACGTTTATCAACCAAAACCCTCTCCTAAGTAAAATTTTGCCTTTTTGTTGAAAATTTGACCTTGTTTTTGCTTTAGTTTTGCTAACTAACTTGCATATATTTAGTAATACGGGAGGCAATCTCAAAACCTGCAAATCGCAACTTACTGCAATCTCTGGTAGTGAGTCTTCTTTTCCCAGACCCGAATTGAATCTCCCTCCATCACCCCGATTCCTATTCATTGCATGTTTATGTCTAGACTCGTGCAAATATTTCTAAAAAAGACAAGTTTAAAAAAAATTACTACTTGCGAACTAGTATGAACCACTTCGGATTAGGATCTAGATAAAACACATCATTTTTAGGATACTTCGAAAAACAAAGTCAGTAAATTGTCACATGAAAGGGATCAGTTGATCTCTATTTTAGTGTTCCACATGTGATCTGGACACAATTCATCTACAATCCAGTATATATCAAATGTATCCGCTTCCATGAAGTATAATTTATGATGGATATTGGGACACTTGTGCAAACCTATCGATCATGTATAAATATGAATGTATACATCTTGACAAGCATGCAGATATTCGTGAATCTTAAACAAAATTATTCACAAGTTATTATGAAAATTGCATTCATTATTCTTATTGTTAAATTAACATCAATTTATGACACAAATTTTTTTTTCAGTTCAACCTTTCTTTCTTTTGGTAATCTCCCGGCAGCTTCAAGTTTTGCCCTGGCTTGTCTTCTTTTCAGTATCCTATGATATTGTTTTGCATTTACATATAAAGGTTCTTCCTCTGATTGTTCTGCACCTCCCATGTTACCCAACTGTAATCGCTGAAACCCACCAGTACCAGTTGGTATCATCTAGGATCATACAAAGAAATATATAAAAATTGAATTTCCTAGTTCAGGCTAGATCAAGTCTGAAATACCACATTTATAGTAAACAATAGTCGACCAAAAAACGAGTAAAAAATGCTGCGGTACTCGACAAAAATTCGGAGCTCAAACACTCGAGCTGATTTGTGATTTAGTGTTTTTTCTTGCCTTTTTTGCCATTGATAAGTGTTTAATCTAGCCTTACAGTATGGAATGGCAAAGTCTACCATTTCCAATTTTGAAAAATGATAAAATGATAAAGAAAGCTAATGTTGTGCAGGAAGCGACAGCGACAGACAATTATTGTTGTTTAGATACACAATTAATTTATTTTTCAGGGTATTTTAGAATGCGTAAGAAAGTGTTAAAATAATTACCATTGCTTCTTATGGCAAAAAAGTTGTAGTACTCGAACAAATCATTAGTCAAACACCAATCCAGAACGAATTATGTTCGACTACAGACGGATAACTGTATTAGGAAATCATTACTGGTATATATCTACATATTTATCGGATTCGATTCAGAATTTCACATACCATAATAACACCAGCATTCTGTAGAGCACCAACATTAACATTTGCAGACGATAGATTCAAACCAGGAACATTGGGAATTGTTGCATTGTTATTAACAGTTTGCAATATTACAGAACCACCAGACTGGAGTCCTCCTCCCAGCTATTAGATTAAAAAAAAATATTTTCATTTAAAATATGACGCATTTTCGTATGAGATAAGATCACCATTACATTGATAATCTCAAATTGCATAATAAAACTATTCAATTTGTATGTAGTGAAAAAATTCTAGTGAAAACTACTGGCACAGAAAATCCAGATATTTTGTATTGAAAGATTTTTTTTGAACAAAATCACCTGTAATGTTTGCGCCGATATATTGGAAGTTTCAGCAGCTGCACTTTGCATTAACAATTGAGATGCTGTCGGTTGACTTGGTGCAGTTTCCTTCGAATATAAAAAATTGTACAAATAGTTTTGTAAACAAAAAAACAAAATTACCTTACTATCCCAGCTATGTTGACAACAGAACTTTAAACTATGACTATTCCAATTACAAAGTCTTTCAACAATGAAATCTGTTACCATACGTCGTTAAAATATCAACAAGTACATCCTTGTTATTTAGATGAAGGATATATTCTTATAATAATTAACAAATAAAATGAATATAGAAGCAGAAATAAGGCAGTTACAAAATATGACTATTATGACCAGAAGTAATTAAATTAAATAACTCAAATTGTAAATGTAAAATCATTGAATTTATTTCAGATATTCCACAAAATTTAACCATTGCAATAATAAGTAGAAATAGAGATCGCAAGGCCATATTTCCTGAAATAATATTTTGAATATGGAATGTCAAATATATAGTATGTTCCTGTGGGCCCAATGATCTAGTAGTCAATGTGTTAAAATTATCTCTGTTGACATAGCATCACATTTATGGATATCAAATATAATGAAAATCGAATGTATTTGAATATTAAATTTGTTTTGGAAATTTCATAGCACGAACCTGTTGTGTCTGTACAACGACTTGTCCATTTCCACCAGTGGGTTGCAATTGTAGACTTCCACCAGGACCTTGCACAAGTTGAAACACATTTCCTGCACCTGCATTCAGTACATTAGCAGGTGCTTGCTAAAAGGGGTGGAATACCAAAGTTATAAATTTGAACGAACAATAATCAACGGACATTTGAAGATTTATAAATCTCTCAGACAACAAAAACGAAATGCCAAAAATCATAGCATAAATCAATTTTTGTTAAAAATCCGATACAATATCATAAAATATACATATAAAAGGGTGAAGTAATCATAATTTGGTAGATACCAGGTATAAAAAACAATTATTCCTTTACTATAATACCGAATAAATAAAAATGTATAATGGTCTGAAAGAATAAATGTATACCTCCACTGTTTCTATAATAATAGAGTAATTTTGGCTATGTGAATTAGTATAGAGAGGTAGTTTTTGCTCCCTAGATTTATTTTCCTCATTTTGGCCAATTTTGGAGATTTTCCACCTTACAATAAATTCAAAATACAGTAACTTGAAGTTCTCAAAACATAAAACTATGAACTTTTTTTGACCCTACTTTGATCAGTGTCACGATAAAATCTTCAAAAAATGTACAATATAATATATTACTTGTATTGTTTCATCTCCTCCAACTCCAGCTTGCAAAACCAGAGGTTGTTGTTGCTGCTGTTGTTGTTGTTGTCCAAGTAATGAATTTACATTCATAGTAACGATTTGGACATTCTGACCATTTATCTAAATATATCAAATATACTGATTATGTCCTACTGGCTAATTTAGAAAACTAGATAGCGATCGGAGACGGCCGACTTATAGATCTGCGGTTTCGATTCCTTCGCTCTGACTCGTTAGCGACACTGCGTGTCCCATCACTAATTAATTAATTAATAACTTGCTAATTATACAACATAATTCATCCAAAATCAATAGGTTTCTGGTTAGGGCTGTCCAAGCGAACCAAATATTCGAAATCGAATCGAATCGCTAATTATTCGAATCGTTTTTGGCTAATTTTCGAATCGCTAAGATTAGGTACATAAAGCGGAAACCACCTTTGCAGGACGTTTTTTATCGGGCAGGCGGCGACTCTCGCTCCTGGCTTAATTGGTTTCCCGATATTTCTCTCGCCTTCATTTTGTGATAAACATGTCATTCCTAATGCCCGCCCGGTGGCACATGATTAGCCATTTCATGCATGGTCATCATAACTTAAAAGTTATCGGTAATGACGTTTTTGAGAGGGAACAAGGAAAAAAAGGCAATTTAGAAAACGATAGTTTTATAATAAAATTGATTTAAAGCTGTTAAGTTAGTTATCATAGGAACTTGGTACAGGCCACTCAAAGCTGAAACAGGTGTTTTGGGATCCTTATGATGGCAATACCTTCTTTCAATGGAATTTGTAATTTCATATGATGGCAATACTGTATTATCCATCTAGTATATACCAAGACAAATAATTGCACTCTTGAATTTTGATGGCTGTTTTACACTAACAATATTATAGTCATCAAACTAGCTTCGAATTTGTTAAATGCAATTTTGAATTTGAGCAACAGTTTTATCTATATTAATGGTTGTTATTATTTTGCTGAAAATTACACAAAAAAACATAACCCTAGTGAATAGGATTAAAATAGCATCTACAGGCTTTACATGTCCTATTAAAACTGAATCCATCAGAATTGAGATTGCAATTTTTACTTTTAACACTCAACAGTTTTCGAGACCTAAATTTTGGAGTCCTCCAATTTTTTTGACCAGTTCATACAAGCGTGTGATCTCCTTTCATAAATCTGAAAACATTGTATTGCAAAATACCAGCAGTAAGTAAGATGTAACTGCACATACGCCACCACAACATCGAAGGGCATGCGTTTATTGTATAATAGAGACAGATTTAGGATTGCGCAATAATATTCGATTATTCGGTTCGATTCTGCGAAAATATTAGATTCAATTTGAAAAATTATTCGATTTTGGACAGCCCTACTTCTGGTCCGAGATATGATGAATGCACATGCAAAATTAGCAGATTCAACCTCACTTTCGTGAGATATCGCGTAACATACGAAAGTGTCTAACAGACAGACAAACAAACAAATACCTATCAACATACCCTACTAGTAATCTAAGAATTTGACTCATTTACCGAATCAGAGACACCATACAGCTATATCAAACAAGAAAATTGGTAAACAATTAAAATCCTTAAATAGTTCTTGATTTCCGAATGTACTTGATAAAATCTTTGTAGGAGGAGCATGTTATTGAATATATGTCGCTCTATCAGCATCACGTATGCTATGTTATAATGGTACTTTGACTTCCTCTACCATCTGACAATGATTTTCAACTCTACATAATGATTATTATACATACAAAATCTCATTTTGATCATGTTCCATGAACTTCTTTGGTTGCATGTAACACAAGATAGGTACGCACGAGATGTTTAAGGTATTACTGTATTACCTGAAGCATTTGACTACCATTTCCACTTGCTTGTAGTAAATGAGCTTGTAGTCCAGTTATTTGATCCCGACCATCCATCATTATTGCACGATTTCAGATATTTTCTAGAGAAAAAAAATAGGATTCAAATTTTAAATATGTGTAACATATGTACTAGTCTATACAGCTATATTTTCAATTGCATTCAGAGAGTAATTAGGGCATAGGGGCTTTCTGGCTTTGTCATTTGTTATGGTTCAGTTTGGTCTTTTAAATAATGACGAAAACTGTTCTGCCAGATCTTTTTGTTATTATAATTAGCTCTGCAGATTATTATTACTGTATTACATAAAAAATATTTTACAAATATAGGGTATTATTGTATTATAAGGAATGTTAAAATCAGCAGATCAACCTCACAGAAACAGTTTAAAAAACCAGGACCACAACCTGACAACGTGAAAGCCAGGCCGGTACAATACAGTAGGACTCTGTGACACTGAGACAGCAGTACCGTAGCCTACTATTGTACTACAGCTATGCAGTCAAAACACATCCAAAGCCTTTAAATTAATAATTCAAGTTAATACCTTTGAACATCCATTTTGTTCTCTGTTTTATTTACATTCATAATTCTGTAATTACTAATGTTGAAAACCTAAAGCCTCCATTCCAGAAACTAAGACACTACGTATCAGCAATCTTTTTCAATTGCTTACGATATCTTCTAATCTTTTACACTCTGACAATTTAAAATTCATGAAATTACAAAGAGGTTTGTGTTCAATCCAATCACGGATCAGTGACAAAGTGCCAGATTATTAGATGCACGTAAATCGAATAAAATTGATTGCCCTTGTTTTGCAAAACAACAACACAATCTGTTAGAACATTGCAGAATACCATAATAACTTACAGATTCCCAAATGCTTCTGATTGGATCCAGCTGACAAATTCACGACGAATAGAAAATGTCTTCTCAGTCTCTCAACCACTCACGATTCTTCTTTGTATATCCAATAAAATGGCGGTATGGTGATCACGTGATTAGCATCGGCCTCGAGTCATAAACAGGGTTTGCGGGTTTATGATCATCAGTGCGTTTCGCCGTATCCGCTAGATTTCAGTATTATTTTTTTCTGGTAATATATTGATACTGATTTATATGAGATTGCTATCTTTTATCTGTAAGTATCATAAAAAATCCCCTATCAGCGACTTGTAACATAGTGAAGAAAGTTCGTGTATCTCATTATTACAACACAAGTTCAGAAACCGCTGATACTGAGACTTGGATCATTGTGACATCATAAAACCTGGTTTATTTAGGGAATTGATTAGTATGTAAATTGGTTAATTTTAGAAGCCCGGCATATCCTGCCGCGCGTTTTGGAAGGTATAAGCATGGCACCAAAGGATCTTGGATAAAAAATAAAACAGATAACGAAGAATATACTTGAAAACTGAAAAGTCGCTGGGAGATCTGCGCCATGTCCTTAGCGTCCAACAAAGTTAATGCGGCTCCCAACGGTCATAAAGCGGCCGAAGAGGGGTCATCGTCATTTGCGGGATCTCCCAGCACGAAATCTCTGACTGATGCCGAAAAAAATGTTCGAGAACTCGACGAGGATAAGCCCACAACCTTTCTTGCAATGAACCTTGATCCGGTGATGGTTAGAAAATCCAGTCAACATATCGATAGAATTGCAATGCAGATTGAAAAGAATTACCAAGAACAAGAAAAGAATGAGACTGCCGAGGTTGAATACGAGCTCGACAATTTGGCTAAGCTAAGACCAAAGAAGTCAGAGACAGGCTCAAGCACAATGCAAGCCAGTTCCATGTTCTTACATCCAGATAAAAAAATGAATTTCCGCAGAAGCGTTACGGGTTCGATGTCAATACCCGTAAACAAAATGTCCATAAAATTATACGGGAGTGAAAAGGCAGTGTTACAAGAGCAACAAAGAATGGAAAAAGCGGGGAACTGGATTATTCACCCTTACAGTAATTTTCGATTCATATGGGACTCTTTATCATTGGTAATTCTTATGGCCAATATCATTTTGATTCCTGTTGCCATCGCATTTTGGAAAGATGATGAACCAGGATGGCTGCCTTTCAAAGTAAGTTACAGTGATCATTGTTACATATTTACAGTACAAACAGCAATTATCTACATATGCTTTTTATTGACACCAAAATCCTGATTTGACGGAAGCAATTTACGGCTAGTGTTTGTATATTTCATAAAATTATATTAATTTTATTTTGATATAGCTCATATCGGATACATGGTTTCTGCTGGATATAATCTTCAATTTTCGAACTGGTATCGTACTCGATGGTCCTGACAGTGAAGTTATTCTGGATCCCAAGCAGATCCGCGTGATTTATCTCAAAAGTTGGTTTATCATCGATATGATCTCTACCTTTCCATTTGATCTAGTTTTCACGATAGTAGTAAGTAAAAATCATATTGACAATTGAAATCCTATATATATAGCGTACACTATATTTTATTATTGGAAAATATCTTTCACTTGAATCGAATTTGAATATTGAAGACACCTAGCTGATTACTCTGCGTGGGTTCGCAGGTACGAATCCTATGCAGGAATGATTATGCGCGAGAGGATTGCTGGACTCCTCGCCGCCGTAGGGTGGTTCACGTAAGCGCTGATTGATAACGGCTTTCTCTACCATCAAGTTCATGCTTCCGAAAACAAATAACTATCTGATCCCACACAGGACATGAAATCTTAACCGGGCGAGATGCTGTGGTTTGCCATAGGGTCAAGCCGTCTTATCGGTTTTCCTCTCTCCCGGGATAAATATGTAAATCCCATCCTATCCTAACGACTCTGTCGTTACAAGATAATTCACGATTCATAAATTTGCAGGACAACGCTATCGAAGGAGAGCCAACTTCTTCGACATCTCTCTCCGGTGTCAGTGCTTTCCGTCTATTGAGACTGGCAAAGATCCTGGCACTTCTACGTCTACTCCGTTTATCACGTTTCATTCGATATATGAAGCAATGGGAAGAGGTATGGTGCGCACGTATAAAAGATTTCAAAAAGCCACAATAGGGAACACTATTTGTCTAATTTAATGATTAGTATAAATGGCCAACTGTAACTAACTTGATATCCACGGCGACGTATCCTGAACCATGCGTTCAAATACCGTAAATTAGGTTTTAATTGTCTATCTATTTTGAATGACGAACCTAGATTCAACTTCCATTATTCTAGGAAATTTGAAAATTATTTGTGACTTTTGATTGTTTTTTTTCATAGATTTTCAACTTTCAATATGAACTTGCTCTTGCTTTTGCTCGTATCATGAATCTTATTATGCTGATGTTATTCATTTGCCACATAAACGGTTGCCTGCAATATATGGTTCCAATGTTTATGTCATTCCCAGAAGATACTTGGGTTTCTATTAGAGGACTTGAGGTAATCGTTCCTCCTATTACTACTAACGTACATAAAATTACGCGATATACGCTATATTTTCATTTGTCAAAAATTGCAAATTCATAGTTATGATTACTAGGACTGTATTTTTATGATGTATCTGTAGACATATGTATTATAAAATTATCGTTTCAACGAAACAAAAAAGTAACGGAGCAAATCGTTAAAATCTACGCGGTATATTACATATTCAAATTTTTTTGTAAACAGTTGATTGTCACCGAATTTTGGCCATCACATTTACTTTTTAATTGGGCTCACTCAACACAATGTAGTAGCGCCCACACGCTTTCTTTACTAGCAACTTTGGATATATTTCCGAATTACGGTGATGGTGTATGTGTATCTGGATCAAAACACTAATATCTATTATAAAGGCTTGTAATATGTATATAAACTTTAATTTTTCTAGAATCCAAACGTTACAGCATGGGAAAGATATTCTTGGTCCGTTTTCAAATCTACAAGTCACATGTTATGTATTGGGTACGGACAATTTCCACCCCATGGAATGATTGACTTATGGGTAACTTTCGTTAGCATGGTATCAGGAGCAATGTGTTTTGCATTATTTATTGGCAACGCAACGTCTCTCATTCAATCAATGGATGCTTCGAAGAGAGCTTATAAAGAGAAGGTACGGTGACTTGTATATGGTATCAATTTATGAGAAGTTCAGAATAGATTCACTCAACCAAATTTCACCTAACACATCTTATTTGGGTGTCCGTTATGATATTTGCGTGAATAAGAACATGTGACGAAATTACCATTTTAGATGAGTTCATGTATTATATTATTTCGATTGTTTTCGGTTTGTTTAGGCATACTGTTTTTGACTTCGACATTGGTCATATCTTCCTGAAATATACCCGGGTTTAGGGTGTACTTTGTTTTCTAACGAACTTGTTCTTTGTATTTGAATTGAATAACATCTACAGCAGATGTTTACATTGGATATTTCAGTATATGCAAGTCAAAGAATATATGCAATTTCGTAAGCTTCCAATACCTTTACGAAGACAGATCTCCGATTATTATGAAAACCGATTTCAAGGAAAAATGTTTGACGAAGATAGGATATTAGATGAACTCAATCATAATTTGAGAGATGAGGTCAGTCAGTAACGAAGGCACATATTATTTATTTCAATGGGTCGATTAGGAAGAAAAATTCTCCAAAGAATTTTATGAAATTTCCCAACTTCACTTTCCTGCTTTGTAGGCAACCATTTAGCATATATTAGAGTTCTGTTCAGAGTTGGGTCGCCATGGTTCGTCGGTTTTTTGATGACGATTACGTAGATATTGTTTTTCGATAAAGTGGAAACTTTAAATGTACATTTATTAGACACGTATTGCAGTTCATGATATCATTGCTATCAGAATTTGTCTGAGATTTTACAATTTTCCTGTAAACTAAACGAAAACAGAGCTTGAAATCTCTCGCGTCGTAAAAATGCAACTGAAACTGCTGGTGTACAAATAAGCAATATATTTTAGATTTATTTTCAGTGCTAAATATAGGAACTGACTTTCAAGAAGATTTAGATTTTATATATGTGTTTATTTATATTTTTCGAACGTCTAAGAAAGCTGTGAAATGGGACCCTTCTCAGCGAATTACATATGACTGCTATTAATGACTGCGTTTGGACATGAATTTGTTTCTTTATTTTTTTCTTCAATAAATTTGAAAATTTACATCTTACTAAGTTAATTTGCACTATTCAGATAATTAATCACAACTGTCGAGATCTAGTGGAACAAGTCCCATTTTTCAATGAAGCCGATCCTACGTTTTTGTCAAGCGTTCTCAGCAAACTGGAATTTGAAGTCTTTCTCGTCAATGATACCATTGTGAAGGTAAAAATACTATTTGTTCGAAGTATTTGTTGTAGACCAGCCAGGTAGCGGTACTATCATATCGAACAAAAAACGACAAGCTAGTGTTATTGCCTTTGGTATACAAGTTTTGTCAGGACTCAAAAGCTAAACAGCATGGTGTCTCAAAATGGGTACTCCCGAAGTGTGTAAACCAAGATGGTGGACACCGGAACGTAGTATGTGTACCAGATTAGGGTTAGGCCACAATTTTATTTCAATTTTCCTTATTTTAGTTCTATTACGAGTTCGGGGACTAGCCAAGTGGTACTCCCGTAGTATTTGTACCTAAAATTATGGCCTAACCTTTAAGCTGGCAAACATATTACGTTCCGGTATGCGCCATCTTGGTTCACATACTTCGGGAGTACGCAAAAATGTGCTGCCCCACACTTGTACCTTTGTTGAATACCCCACACCTGGGTCAAGTTGGACAGGTGGAAAAATTCTGACAAGCGATACTAAATTTAAAAGTTTGGTTGCAAGCGGGACAAGTGAATAGCGACGTTTTTGAGACGCCCGAAAAAGTACTTGTGAAGGCCAGTATCAAGAGACGACCAACGAGCCCTAAGAGCTATATATATAGGTTTATGTTTATCCTTGTCATAGAGAAGTCGATAGATTGCGTTTGTCTTGACACGATGATCAGCACAACTCAAGTCAACAGTGACAGAGATACCGCCATAAGGAAGTGAATTCCACAGAACGAAAGTTCTTGGTTTTAGAGCAGTGGTTCTGAAACGTTGGGTCGCGCCCCTCAAGGGAAGCGTAGACAATTTTTTGAGCGGGCGTGAAGCCAATCAAAATTAAAATTATTTGATCTTGCCCGCCCTATTTTGGATATTTACATTTCAAAACTTTTCATTTATTTCATTATTCACGTTCCATCCACATATTTTCAACGTGTTTTTGAATAAAACATACTCACTATCTATTATTTGTAGCTTATTGTTAGTTAGTTATTTTTGAGATGTTCTGAATCTGTTCTAAAATATCACATTACGACTTATAGTTTTCATTACTATTTTATCATTAGGAAGGATCAGTCGGATCAAAAATGTACTTTATAAACCGCGGTACCGTCGTCATTCGATCTGAACGCCACAACATAGAGCAGCGACTTTCTGATGGATGCTATTTTGGTGAAATCGCACTTCTTCAGCAAAACATGCGTCGTGTCGCAAGTGTTATAGCGGAAACGTACTGTTATTTATATTCTCTGTCGGTAGAAGATTTCAACAAAGTGTTAGATGAATATCCCAAACAAAGACAAAAACTTCAACACGTCGCAACGGCTAGAATGCAAGGTAAAACAATGTAATATTTCATGTTTGGGAATTCAGAATACTATTGCACAAACTCAAGTGCGAATTTTTGGAAATCATTAGGTATAGAAACCTGTTGCAATAGCTCGATTATCTACAACAAAACATAATTAATCCTATCGATTTAAATCAGTAGGCGCATCACCTGCTCATCATGGAATAACCTGAGGAAGATGAACGAAATACTGCTGTTTATAGATTAAAATGTTACTATTCTCTTCAAAGCTCTTTTATAATAAAATTGTTGCAGGCCCCAGTAGTAATTTCTTTCACTGTTAATTCTTTGCCCAAAATGCCATTTCTTTGACTAAAGTTTATTGAGAATTTGTAATGCCAAGAGAGGTTGATTTTCTCTGGCATAATAATGAACCATTCGTTTAGGAGGCCCCAACACCAACGACGGCTTCGTTTCAACGTGTTCCATAATTCCTCTAGATGGCCCAAAAGAAAAGAAGCAAATAATCGGTTCCATGCAGCTGGAGAACATCGAAGAAGAAACGTCAACCATGTCATTTTCTTAAGTGCAATCGAACGAACATTGTCTGAGATATTTTAATAAGACATAATATAAAATAAATATACACCATTAATTGCAAGCTCATCGTTGCTTTTGTCTGGAATTAATTGTAAATAGACTAAAATGAACAAAGACCAGGATTTAAAACAATGTAAACTTAACACAGTGGAATACCGTAACTGCCATACACCAATAGATAAATTGTCAACCTAGTACAGTATCACTCATAGAGTAGTTGAAGAAAAAATTCTGTCCTTGCGATAATCCCTTTTCATGAATTTATATGAAAACATAATACACTCTACTATCAAATACTGTAGAACAGGCGTGTGCAAACTGCGGCATGCGGGCCAAATGCAAATAAATTTCTAAACGAAGAATGGAATGAAGTAATGGGAGAAATTCCAATCTTTTTGCGTCGCAAAACCTATACCAGTGCCACTGTCATATTAGCAAAACTAGCTAGCAAAGTCCTGTTGCAAAATACACAATGTTATAAAACGTGTATTTCACCGAATTCGTTCAAAGTCGGTTTGACAATAAATTTGAATAGCAGTTTTGTTCAGAAACTTGGGCGTTTTAACTCACCATTTCTGCAAGGACTACAAGAGAGCCATCTTACTTCTCACTCGGTTACTTGTATCTGGCCCTCTTGGAATAAAGGATGCACACCCCTGCAGTGTAGAATATAATTCGCGACTTCCCCTATCTATTTCCGTTTTGCAACATTAGCTTTGGGAGTAGGGATTTGTTCAAAAAGAATAATTTTTAAAAAAATTTGTTTTGAATCAAGTTTTTTTTGCCTGTTTTGTTCAAAATGGCTGTACTCTTTGATTTTTTGTATTAAATATGTTAAAGAAAAGTGGATGTAAAAACTTGCCAAGCGCTTCCTATTTGCAATAAATCGTTCAAAACGCCACTAATATCAATAGAGGCTCATGCACACCTTTTCAAGCTGTAGTTCAGTGGTTGGCCCAGTAAGACGCAACCGAGTAGCCATTACGTGAACGACCCTGCTGCGATGAAACCACCTTGCGAAAATTGAAATTGCGATTAAATAAAAGAAATTTTTGATTTCGGCTACGTGTGCAGCTGCCAGAATGCAACGTTTTGGCGTAGTTTCGCGGCGATGCAAGGGTTATTTCAATAAAAAAGACAGAGAAAATTTGATTTAAAACAAGCCCTTGTTTTAAAACACGATGTTTTTTTTAGAATTGATAAAAAACAAAACCCTATTTGGGAGTAGGTGATATGAGAGAAGCGTTACCTTGCTTTCAGCTACACACCATGGTCAGACAGTCAAAATAGTGTTTCACTAGTGTTGAATTTGAAAGAGTTCTTTCCGTTGGATCGTTATTTTTATTAGACTACATTGAAGTTATCTCGTCATAACAACGTTCAGAATCGCTAATATATCCGTCATTGTCATCTGCACGGAGATATCGTTTACCGTTTGCACTTTTCGGTTTCGCAGACGGCGATGTCATGTAGGATTCATTTTCTCTTTGGAATTGAAATCTTACCCTTCGTTGTGACTCTGACGTTATCGACCTCCTCTCCTCATCATGATTTTGACCTCTATCTCCGGGAGTACGCGTTTGTATTACAGTTAGATTATGCTGATGTTCGGTTGACACAAGGTTTGGATTATTCAGAGAGTCATCTTCCGAATGATCATATTCCTCTTCTACACCCATGACAGAAATTCGTATTGCGCCATCTTCTATGCTCGTTCGAGCTGAACTAAAACCCGACGAGTCACTTATTCGTTTTGGTGTAAGACCACCGGTAAATTCTTTTTCTATCTTGGCCGACACTCTGCGTGTAGTTTGAATTCCTTCTTGTTCTTCGACTTCACCTTCAAGCCACCATGTTTGAGTGCTACCGAGACCCTTAGGAAAAATAGTTTTCGATTTGATGAAAAAGTGCTTTAATTAGAGGTACACGAGTAACTGAGAATGATAGAAAAACATAGAAATGATTTCTCTCTAGTTATCCATTCGAAATTTCGTTCTAACCTTCATTTGGATTTTTGTATCTCGTTTTTCTGTTATAAAACTTCCGAATTCGTCAAGTAGTTCTTTTGTACTGTTCGAAATATGTATTCTCATTGCTAAAAACAAATGTCAGGTAAATGGTAAATGTCAGCCATGCCAACATGTCAATTTTTAAATTCAAATTAGCTATCAGAATTGGTGACCAACTTAGAGTAAAACGAGAGGAGTTGCCGCCGTTTCTAAGTGAAAGCAATGAGCTGTTTCGTTGACCCACAAGACGAAATTTTCCCACAAGAGCTAATATTCTATCGAAATGATTTCATGAATGACAGCTCAAATGTATTTCGCGGCGTCAATTTCAACATTATCAAACTTTCATTTATGTAATACTATTTTGCGCGAGAAAAAAAAGCAAATATCATGTGTCAAGCGTATAGTTAACAGTTTTGCAGGATGATTGTATGATGAGAATGGAATGACTATATTAATATTTTAGCTTATATGATAATACGTTATATATTGCTCTATTAGAATTGCATGAACGTAATTATTGAATGAGAAGCAAGTTTAAGATTTTTTGGCACTAATTATTACAATATTACTTCTTGGAACAATACAAAAAATTAAAAGAAACATTTAGTTATTGTGAAGCATATTTATAAGATTTAAATACAAATTTGCCGATACTTAATGAATCCCAAATATGTGATAAAGATGTGTTTATTCAATCAACTAATTTTACATCGTTTATTACATTTGACAATCTTCCAAACACACCTTCTCCATTTTGTTCCATTCTTGCCGCAGTGTTAACTGTGTCCCCGAAAAGACAATACCTGGGCATTTTCTGTCCCACAACTCCAGCAACAACCGATCCACTGTGAATTCCAACACGAAGATTCATCTTCTTGCCTGGCATATGCCTGCAATTTATGAATATGTTATCTTGAACCATTCTTATTATACTTAATGTCTATACTGGTTTTATTTTCTTACGAGATTTCAAAATGTTCAACTCCGTCCATCAGATCTAATGACATTCTTGCTATTTCTTGAACATGTTCTTTACCGTTTCGTTCAGGCAAACCTGATGCAACCATGTAAGCGTCTCCGATAGTTTCTACCTATTGGATAATCACGGTGTCGTAATATCTTTTTTCATATCAAAGTAAAATGAGACTATAATATATATTATAATACCAGAATTACTATATTGTCTATTTTTCTTCACCTATCCCTTAGAAGCCCACAGATGTGCAGATGTAATCTATCGATACTTGAGAAATTTTTTGGACAGATGTAATAGATAGAGGTTCGCCTTCATGAAATGTGGAACCCAAATTTTTCATCATTTCATATGCTAGAATAATATTGAAACATAAAACTCACTTTATAAACTCTGAATTGATCTAATATTCTATCAAACATTGTATAAAGATCATCCAACATTTTGACAACTTGTGATGGATTACTTTCGTGACTAATAGCAGTGAAGCCAACTATGTCACTGAAATATATGGTGACGCAATCGAACTTTTCGCGTAGTACATCCTATAAAAATAAAAAATAAAAACATCAAATATTTGCGAGCTTTCGAATATTGCACATCATTGAGATTGATGTGATTCTGACAAATTTCAATTGAATCACAGATTTGACCCAACTGATGAATATTCCTGAAACTGTAACTTTTAAAGTGAGGATTGAGAAAATGTACACCCGACCTCAACAAATTGATGTAGTCGAGTAGAACTGCATTTTTTTAGGTCTAGCACATAGGATTAGAAATATCAAGTAGATTCGGCCTAGAGTTGAGTAAAAGTCAGTTTCAAATGATTGAAGGCTGCGATGAGAATCATCATAGTCAATTTGAAATGAATCAAATTTTATTGAAGATAAATCATCTGGCTCGAATCTTTCCAGCCCTGTTTTCCACTCACAATCTGAACAAATTTTTACTGAGAGCAGCTACTTCCCTGACCTGTCCACGTTTTAAACGTTCAGCAACGCTCTTAGGTAGCATTTGATACAACAATGTGTCGGCTCTTTCTTTTTCAGCTTTATAAAGATCGGTTCTTTCCATTACTAACATTGTTAGAATACTTTTCGAGTCTGTCTAATAAACTGTCAACCAAATTTTGCTTCCTGAAAAGATCAATGCATTATAAAAATTATTATTTTCTACGAAACGAGTCATTTTTGCTCCCATCATTGTGCGCTGTCCTGATAATTTTCATGGCATCACTGGCTTTAAAATTAGATATAAAAACGGCGCATTTATTTGTTAGTTCAACTGGAACCCCCAACCCGAAGGGATAGGGACCACTGACGCACCAAGATGGTAATACAAAAATCTTATACAATACCTGTATTTAGCCGTTTTCTTGAAAAAATTAAATATTTGAACAAACGTTGGCCTAATTTCAGGATTTTCATTCCAACAATCTTTGATCAAAGATCTGGTCTTTGTATCAATTACAACATCGTCATTGTCTAATAAAGTCGGACGAAACAGTTCTTCGTATGGTATTGGATGCATTACTTTGTCGCATATTTCTAAAATCATAAAATACTCCTCGTAGACTCATTGAAAATAGTCAAAAATTATTGAACAAATTGTTATGTAAAATTTACAGTATTATATATGTTATTTTATTACATGATTTTTAACGCTATGTGTATTTGTACACGTTTTTAATATATGTAAGAGCAGTAAAGTGAATGCTATACATACGGTTGGGTGTTAGATCTTGCACATCATCATCGTCTATTTCTCCAAGGTAAAAAACACCTTTTCTATAAAATATTTCTTGTACGATAATGGCGAAGCTGTATGTATCCCCTTTTTGTGTTCCCTTCGGGGGCGGTTCATCCATTCTAAGTAATTCAGGCGCAGTCCAGAGCAAATCTATTAAATTTAAATGGGGTTTGAAAAAACATTCATGTTAGTATTCCGGAACATTTTGATTTCCTCCAGTGTAATTTTGAATGGTGTCTCATCTTTTCCTACTTTAGAAATAGACTGAACCATGCTATTGTTAGGAGAACCCCATCGTCTCTATATCGCCAGTTACTCGTGACATATATACAACGAGAAATTTTGTCGAGGGTTGGCGAAAAAGAAATTGGAAAATCACCTCTCAGTACAACTTGGCATGCATTTTGACCTATCATCCATTATAATCGAGGTCTTGATTTCCATCGACTCGTGATAGTTTTAATTTGCAATTACCTTTATAATGGTTATATCCGACAACACTGTCTCTTTTTTCTTTGGAACGTAGCGATGGTAGTCCGTAGTCAGCGATTTTCACAACAAATCTGCTATCCACCAGACAATTTGATGATTTCAAATTACCATGTGAATGAATGTGACTTTTATGTAAATACTGCATTCCATGAGCTATATCCATTATTAGGTAGTTACTAAATGAAAGTATAACAAATTAGGTGATTAACCATATTAAAATAGAATAACTACGTTGTTTACCTAAAATTTTCATCCACTTCTGCGGAGCCAGTCTCGCCTTCAAGAAAATCTTGTAAAGATCCACGCAAGCAATATTCGTTCAGAAGAAATACCGGTTCTTCAATGCATACCCCCAAAAATTTACATATGTGTTCATTATCCAACAGTAGCATCTTATAAATTAAAAAAAAAAACGAAATTTACCAATTCGTATCATTCGGTAAAAACGCATTGTAATGATAAATGTATATCTTTTCTTGACGAACTCAAACTGCAAAATTTGGAGGTACTTATTGGATGCTGCAGAGATACCTATCTAAACCTCTCAGAGTAGGTAAAGAAATAATGAATCCGCAACGTAATATTTTTTTACATTTTACAATCGAAATTTCGATTTTCAAAATCGGAAGTGTCCAAAGTTTTCCGCCTGGATGGGAAGGTAGATTCGGCAATCAGATTTTCTATAGTGGCCAAAGTTTTATACTTTTTCTCTGCTTCTATTCATTTTTTTTCATAAATCTAATTCAATATGAGCTACACTAGGTTAAAATCGAATGTATGAAGTATGATTCAACATTTTTAAGTTTTATATATACTCTACATTTGTAATGATTTTACGAACTAAAAATTGAAAGCTTTTATACATACCTCGTCAAACTCCATAGCGAGCTCATGATCCACAATTATCTTTTGCAAATGAGTCAACTTTTTCACTGCAACAAATCGATTCTTCCAACGGACTCGATTAGTAAATATTTGACGACCATTAAAATTGGAAGCAGACTGTGCAGCCTCACTTCCGATAGAATGACTTCCGATAGAAGTCGATTGCTGAAGTAATAGATTTCATTAAAGTTAGAAATATTAATTAACACAATTAAAAAAGGACAAGTTTTTTATGCTACGTTTAGTCACTCGTTTTTATTTCAAAACCCAGCGAATCACTATGCACTTGTCATGGGCGACAAAATGCTATACAACGAGTAGGGCTACTAGTTACTAAAGCGAGTGATGAACCGTTACAATTTACAATAGTCATAAATAGTGAGTCCTACTCTCCTGCAATAACCCCATTTGACATTGTTTAAATATGATATCATTTCCACATATATATATATATATATATAAATGTTTTATACGGTTCGTAAAGAGTCAGGATTTCTCTATTCCATTTTTTTTTTACTAAAACTGACTCAACTCACAGAAGATATTCTCCCACCGTCTTCGAAAAAATCAACATCTCCGGGATCAACTTTCCATAACATTTTCCGAGCCAATCGTTCTTTGGATAATTGCCTGAATACGAAATCTTTACGAAAAGTGGACAATCATGTTCACTAACTACTTTCTATAAAGGAATCTTAATATACCAGTAAATGGTGAGCGAAATACCAAATGAATGTTTTCGAGCTAGCATGAACGAATTGGATTAGCTAATCCGCTGGACCGAAGCATTTTGACGTTGAAAGTTGAGGTACAACATTACATCCACTACTTTAGCCAGCGTGTAATGTATTTGGGCCTAGGAGAACACCGGCCTTTCGTAAAGTTGAAGCTTGCGAGATTGCAGGTTGCCTCTTATAGAGGGCTTTGCTCAAAGTGAAGACACCTGAATATACGAGCTGCATTTTTGGTTTGTTCAAATAAGTAACGACTGGAATTTGACTTACCTGTTTGCAAAAAATGCAGTTGCTAGAAGGCATACAAGCAGAACAATAGCCACCGCAATTAATATCTGAACAACTGAAAAAAGTCAGAATTTCATGAAAATGTAACTCAATAGTAAATGGACGACGTAGAATGTCCTGTATGGATATCACTTAACTATGAGCTTTTTGAACTGACTCTATATATCTTTCATAGCTGAAATTTGTTTGCTGAACTTGTAAGTTCATTAACATATTTTTAGATTTACATTCATAGTTAATGTGAAAATGCCATGTTTTTTGTAATAAATTACGCTGCCAAATGATTTTCAATATGTCAATTTTTTTTTAAAAATGAAAAATATAATCACACCCGTTGATAATTCCTTTACACACGGTGTATACCTTCCACATTCAGGTATGTTGAGAGGCACCTGGTTACCTGGCCAGTCGATAGGTGCAACTTCCACATAAGTTTGGTTGCCAGCGAAATATATTGAAGCAATCTGTGAAAAAATGGTTTTGCACTTTAGACTATCTAAGTATGCTAATGAGGAATCAATGGGAGACTTTGCGACCTCGTGATTGTCGATTCAAATATTGATCTAAATATTTTGACAAATTGAAATTTTCAAAGTCGCACAATCGTGCACGCCCGGATTCGATTTCTAGTCGTCTGTGTTGATACCATTTTAATCACCAACATGAATGAGACCAGGGCGACTGCCTAACAGGCTATAGTCACAAAAAATGTATACTCCTAAATCGCATCATTTCGAATCTTGGGATTCAGTCGTCGGACTGTTTCAGACCTTTCGATTTTAGGTTCAGATTTAAGGGCAAAAGAAACAACAGAAATGAATATGATCATTCGAACTGGCATACATTTGGGCAAATCACCGCCAACCATGGGTATATTTTCCAAAGATTGGCAAAACAAGTAAAATAGCCTGCTTTATAATCAAATTCGAATGCTATTGCAGATTTTAGTGTAATAATGCGTACCTCAAATCGGTTTGTGGTGTGATTCATATCAAACAAAGTATAATCCATAACTCTATCTCCTGTTTCAGTTATTGTTACCAAGCCATCAACGCTTTCGAATGTGGTATTCCATAGCTGTCGAGCAAAACTCCTCCCATCAGAGAAATTCGTTATGTTTTCACTTATACTCCTGTAGAAAACAATGGAGAATGATTATATAGATTTGTGGCGACGTTATTGTAATTTTAATATCTTTGGGAATTATCGTTCATTTATTAAATGTGGGTATATATAATAACAACAACACATTACCATTTTCCCATAAAGCTCGAGAGTGAAACTATTTTTTCAATTCTGAATGGAGTTAAGTCCATTGGAATAAATATTATAAGTAACAATGACAATACATATATATATCCCTCTTACTTATTAATTCCGTTAATCAACAGACGAACCGAATTGTAGAATTGAGTTACATATGGATTGATAAATTGTCCAGTGCCTGCAGCTTCTGCTCCAATTTTGCTTTTCATGGAGTTGGAGAATTTCTCAAATTGTTCAGTTTGTGGTTGATACAATGAGACCACTTGCAGCGCCCTCATTCCAGCATTCGAGTTACTAACATTCATGTCACAATAACCTGACCAAGAAAAGTTATAAATGAATGGGAGAGTTATTAAACGTATTTTCGACCAGGATGTCACAAAACAAATGTAAGATGAGAAGTTCCTTTATTGTTGATGCTGTGTGAGTGTTTTTTTTAAATCAGTATGTGTAAAAATTGATATATATATCACAAAACGAAGAAACCACATTAAACCTACTATAATTTTCGTTATACTGAAATGCTATATCACGAATTATTTCGCAATCTTGATCATCTTCATCACTCCACTCATATGAAACATTTGTGTTATAAATATCAATATATAAAAATGCAAAATCTCCATCAGCCATGCCTTTCTCGTATGCTTTGTTCATTACGTATTTCATCGCTTTCCGGCCAACGCACCAGACTGACACTGAAATGTTTATAGAAATATCAGTTATACCTTTATAAATATAAAACACTATGTAATATGAATAAAAACTAAATTTATAGGAATGGTTCAGGAACGGAATACTGAAAATAAAGCTATTTAAAATCGCATTGCAGAAAAAAAGATTGAATATATATCGCGTGAGCCGTGATTTATTATCCGCAAACACCTAAATTTGTTGTTTGAAACTTCGTAGGGTGTTAACGTATTTTTGATTGTAAAAAAATTGTAAAAAAAACATATATTTACGTTAGCATTAATTTTGTCACGCAACAGGAACTATATTATAAAGTAAAGTCGGTAGATGTATTGATGTCATGTGACATGACAGTCGGGGAAACGCCTCTAGGTTCTTTAGATTCATCTCAAGTGCGTCACAAGGGTCAAATATTTGATATATTTACAATTTTGACCTCGGTTGCTACGTTGAACTGATCAATCAATTGATAAATCAAAGTTGAAGCAAGCACTTATTTGATTGTTCTCACTAGGAAGATGAAAACCCGTGTGTCCGTAACAAACAAACAAAAAGATTCGCACCGACACAAACGAAGAAAAATAACGGAAATGATATCTATGGAAATGAAATCAATGCCAAAATAAAACAGAGCGGGAAGTATTTTTGATTACTCTCCACTACCTTACAAATACTATCAAACGTGATGTGTGATGCTACTGGATTTTAAAACAGATTACATAAAAAAGAATCCGGTAATATTGTAATATTATCTATCATTTCATTTATTACTGAAATTTTATTATTTTCATTTACTGGCTACCATGTCATTTTATAGTTAGTACAGCTTTGCACAAATACAAATGATTAACGGGCATATTATTTTTCATCTTGCCGATCTGACTTATATCCGATATCTCATTTACGCTACATATTACTGAAAGGGGTTATGAGGTTTGGAAATATTAGAATTGAACCGTTATGACAACAAGAAATCTTGCGAAAGGCAAATACTGACTCCTATATTTATACGCGAGTAAAGAGAATGGGTACTACGCAATCCTATTGGTCGTATGAATGAGATGTGAGGAAGTACTAATAGCAACTGGAGTAATTGTTCAACGGCAACCTGAACCACCCACAGATCTCTCAACTTCATTTTTAAAACACCGCACATTATCGTTCGTACATTACATCACGTATCGTATGGTTTTTTCCAAATTGAAATTTCACAAAAACGCCTAAATATTATTGCAACAATGGGAGTTAAATGTGGCGCTCCCGAAGTATCTGCACCAAGATGGCGCACAACCTGACCTGGTACACATACTATGTTCAGGTTGCGCACCATCTTGGTGCACATAATTCTGGAGGTCCAATACTTCTGGAGGTCTTTAAATTGTATGGTTCCAAGACTTTATCAAAACCAGCAAAGATAAACCAATTGAACCGTTCAAAATATTAAACCATAAATGATCTTAAACATCAGAAGGTATGCGACCCTTCCCCATATTAATATGTCATTTACAATTTGCCGATTTCATTCTCTGTTTACTGTCTCGACATTTTATAATTACATTGCGATATGAAATATAAATTACATTTATCGAAGCACGAAAATATTCTTACGAGTCCAATCAATTTCATATTGTCTGAAATTTATGGTCAAACATTAACCAAGCTGAACTTTAAAAATATATACCGAGTCGGTTCAATGGTAATAATATCATTGGCCAAAATCAATTTATCATATCATTGTTATTTAAACAGTAGCCTAGATTTTACACCAACAGGAATGGCTAAGTTGGAATTTTTCTAAGGCATACAAGCTGGCACTTTTGTGGGAATGTTTAAGAGCAAAAATTTTCGGAGCTCAAATTTATTTCAATAAAATTGTGCTTAAATTTTTTCTCATAAAAGAGCAAAAAAAAGACTGTGGATCTTGGAAAGTATGTAAACAAATAAGAGTGTATTTGCAGGAACTCGCACATCTTTTACTGCTATGAATCTAAATAATTGAATAATTCATAACGAATGCAATTCTAGTCCTAAAACAACAACATGCCAAGCACACTGCTCAATCCCACTCTCATCGATAAGGCAAAAAGCAGTTTGTTCGACGGTGAGACCTGTGAATTTGTTCAAATTAGTAACATTTGGGGTGGAACTTGTAGTACCTATAGAAAATATAAAAATATTGGCCCTTTGGGAGACACACCACCACTAAGCCTACAGGAGATTTGAACGCGAGGGTCATATGGGAAAAAGACGACGTATCCAAACAACAATAACAATGAAAAAAAAGCTAAACGAGACATAAGTTGACTCCACTTCCAACAACAGTTATTTTAGCAAAATGTTCCAGAGTGTCAAGTAAAACAAAGTAATACCCTGACCACATACCTCTAGCATTATTCTTGATTACATTCAGAATAGTTTCCATTTCCTGAAGCAAAATTTCATCATTTTGTCTGCCAATGAAAGTGAAATCTTTGTCTGCAGTCCACTTTCTATCCTCAAAAACTTGAATCATTCCTGCAACGAACGTGGCACAATCCGACCTAGTATCATCATGTATTGGAGCACCATGTGGAGTATCCCTAAACGACCACAGCAATGCAAAAAAAGTTAAAATAATGTTACACAAAATTTTACACAGCCGAATTAGTTCACTTTGCAGTAAATAAAATATCAAGTACCCACTGTTTTCAATAACCACGGGCATTAATGGCAGCCTAACCGCGACGTTCTAAAATCTAAATAGTTACAGAGCGGATACCATAGCGGATTTTTCAGATCGCCAGTCGCCCGTAATGGTTCTTCGTGGATATCTAATCTAAGCATGTATGCCTGAAATTTTCTGAGTTAAGTTCGAGTATTTCATGCTTAAATTCTGTCAAGTAATCAATTATGATAAATGTAATTTATGATACGATACAGTTGATACATTCGTTCATATATACAAGTCACGCATCTGATGGTTCTTTGCATTTGGCAATGATGGGAGGGTTTGAGGACCTTTGACCCCGGATGTTTATGAAAACACTTGCGGACCCGCTATTCATTCTAGCTGGACATGTAATGCAGTCGTCTAGGTAGGCTATTATATTGCATATGGTATGACTTGGTGTGAAGATACCCTCTATGACGTCGGTGTCACAGCCTTACCCAGTATAAATTATGTACGAATTGTTCCAATTATATTCGTCATAGACACGAAGTACGAACTTCCCAATATCAGTCGCAGTATGACCAGGTCTAGTTAATGTCTCACAGCATCCTTGGTTTTTATCGTCCAATGTCCATCCTCTGCAAAAACAAAAAAGTGTGAAAAAGCTACGGCCCCACGTTGTCTCGCCATGTTCCCAACATTTCGTGTAAAACTTGGAATTAATCAAGAAGTTAGGTTGTCACGAACCTAATACAGAGATGAACATATATGTACAATAACTAAATCCAAGATGTATATATATCAGGATGCCAGATCGTGGGTCTTTAGAAAAAAGAAAAAAAAATTGAAAATTATTTTCGTTAAGGTCAGTGTCAAACATTTTCAGTAAAAACCTTGGAACAGAATGTCAATGTAATTTAGTGTATCTTCATGAAATTTGCCTCATTAGAATATCTGGATGCAACTCAGAACAAAACTTTCTGCTGAATATGGGTATTACCCAGAAACTCACAATAAAATCATGGCATTTTACCTAACACCAGGAAATATAGCTGGCCATCTCCAGTTGTTGGCAAGCGCACCAACTCTTCCTGCAGTCCAGTCGCAACTTAATCCAACAAATACATTCATTGATTGAATATTTCTGTCTGTCTCTTCAGTGGTACATTGAATGTCGACTGATAGAAAATCTTGAATATCAACTGCTCGATTCATTGCATAATCCGCATCACATTGACTATCGTTTGCAATAATATTGAAACAGGTGTTCTATCAAAAACAATATTAATTATGTTGTGGGGCAGTACAAATGCCGAAACACTAAAAGATATATATATATATATATATAAATATATATATTTCTGTCTTAGACTATAGAGAAGTGGGCCGAACGATTCTAATAATTTAAAATTTACAAGCGCTTAAGGTTGAAGCTCGATAAGTGAAAGAAATGTTTCCGACAGTAAAAAAATTTTTCGGATCATTTGGAGGTGGACAAACTTTACATGATAAGTTTAGTTTTAATTAAACGATTAAAAATTGTGCTAAATTTAAAAAAAAAAGTCGACGTACATTACAGTGCATGAGATTCAGATAAAAACGAAAAAAGACGTTTTCGTGAAATATTAAGACGTGATTTTAAAATATTTAAAGTTATACTGTGATACACTGGAGAATCGTTATAAACAATTTAATGACTATCCCTCATCAAATATTATTTTGTTTAAGCAGATCACATTTTAAATAGATTTCAAAATCGATACATCACGCATGACGCCTGTTTAATTATATTTACTTTGGATGGACGATTAGTCCAATTAATTTTTTAAAAGGGTAAAAACTGTAGTTAATTGTGCGAAATAGAAGAAATTTCGTTCCTCCCAAATCCAGCGCATCCCCACGTGTACTTGCTGGTTGCTTGATCTTTAGGTGCAAAAAGTTTCTGAGTTCATTGAAAATAAAAATTTTGTACCTTAGGAAATCCTATTCTGGAACGATTTGCATAAAATTCGCTACACAAAACAGCTTCAGCGTCCCTCAAAGCCTGATAAATCGCAGGCTCGGTACGTTCTCTTGAGAAGATGTAAGATTGGTCGAAAGGAATCGTAAATAACATGTTAATCTCATAAACTGTGTTATTCGTGCTGTCAGTGTAAACTCCGTATGAAATATAGTCCGATCCATCAATCGTGGAATGAGATACATTGCTTGAGCTTTCTATAATTTCTCCAGACACCAAAATTAAAATAAATATCACAATCTTCAAAATGTATTTTTCATGTTTGTGCTGCATGGTTTTTATGATTTTAATTTTTATAATACTTGAATCGATCTGCAAGAATTATATTATTAAAGGACAATGTATCAAAATACAGTGAATATTTGGAAACACACCTATGATAGGATCCGTGTCGAGAATGAGGTAAGGCTGAAGACTATTCTTTCTAAAGCACAAAATACTTAAGGATACACGACAAATTCAAGTTTCATAATTATGCTGAGTGAATTGTGATTCAATACCAATTTGATACATACATCGAATTAGAGTAAATAAATTAGCTAATGTGGTAATATTTGGGTCACTTTAGCCTGACTTCAGAAAGTTTTATGGTTAGAATAACCCGTTGATTTCTACATGAAGCGAGATAAAATTGAACCAAATTTCAACACTAAAATTGTAACCTAAAATAGCACCTCGAAAATGACAGTTCGATTCACACGCTGTGAAGCCTTTACTTATATCAAACGTTTGAATACATTAAAGAGATCTGTTGGTTTGCACCACTCAAACGTTAGTCATGTCACAATATGCTTGACATAAGCAGACAGAAGACAAATATTGAGATGGGTTTGCATGCATAAAATCTCCGCCCTTATCACGAATACTTAGAACCATTCCTGTTGTTGATTTATGAAAGTATTTTTAGCTTCAGTACGAGTAAGGTGTATTGTAAAAAATCTTTCTGAATTTTGCACTTCTGTTCCATTCGTTCTAAACAGATTATATTTACTCAGTCTGGAATTATACTATCTTGGGTTGGAATGGGTGGAAGGAACAACTCATGATCTCTTACCATAGCACTATAGTTTTATTCCTGAAAAAGACGTGCATTTTCTGATTTGTAGAATGTTATGAAGGAATACTTCCACAAATATATATGCTGTTGCTCTATTAATAAATGAATTGTTTGTCGTATTTAAATTCAATTCAATGTAAGGATAGAGCCACGTCGTAAGAAGAAAGCTTCTGGAAGGTCCAGTGCCACTCGAAGGGTAAGAGAATTTTGAGAATTTTACTGTTCTTGGACGGGCAGACTCCTAATTCTAGTTTGAATGGTTAACGAGATGATAAAATACTAATTACACTGAAGACACTAACACACTCTATCCCCTCCATCTCATAAAATAGCGGTTCTGTCTTCCCACACAAAGAATACTAAAAACTATAATATATTATCCTGTTTTATATATCTACTCATTATACGCACAAATTACTAATTCATTTTAGGAGGCAATAAATGTGTAGAAATATCGTGTCCCCCATCCTTGCTCTGCGGTCGGGAGCATTGGTAAACTTTGACACAGTGCGGTCAGTTTTGACATATTGATACCAATTGTTTTCCTTGTACCTAACTTTCAGAGTGAAAACTAAGAAAGTACCAGTTCTTTTTCCTATACCTAGCAGAGAGACTATCTAGACATTAACGCTAGAGAATAACTGAATTACCGTGAATTTTAAAAAATAGATGCGTTTTACCTACGCCTCACTCACTATGTCAATGTTTACTTGTTGATTTGGTTTCATGGGTCCGTATTTACACATGAATATGATAATTCTATTAAATTTCATCCATCACCTCCTAGCGGAATCACAAATTAATAAACGTGTCATTCTGCATATCGGTATATATCATCATGTTGAAGTAGCTATATATACAGCATAGTAAAATGAAAGTTTTTTGGTCATTCCATTCCACGCTAAATCATACAGACAAAAGTAATGATGAAATTCATCAACTTTGCTTTCCGTAAAATGACAAGTTCCCAAATCTAACCGAAGTAAGTCATTTCAATGTTGTTGTCAATTAAGAATTGTACTTTTGTTCTTTCACATAAAAGCTCCACTGCCGTGTTACCAATTGTTTTTCATAATAATCACAAAACTTGTAAGTATACACGAAAATAAAATATGAAAAATAGTTCTTTTTAACGAGCCAATTTGCAAACTTTGGATAACATTTTGATTTTTTATTGTGACCCAAAGTGAAAGATTGGGGTGGAAGACTTTCAACTGAAGTGTTAGGTTCGTCGTTGGAACAGAGGTGCATTTATACAGCACTTCACACGAAGCACAAACCGGTAGACTGGGGAAACACCAATCTAGGTACAGTATTAAAATTACTCTCGGTACGGCGGTGATTAATTACCATGACAAAGGTCCAAGAAGGCCGCTTACTGCTAGTCGGACTATTAAACGTTACAATTTCAAGACAATGGATTATATATATAAGGAACGATTAATAGGTATTCTGGTTATCATAATATGAGGCCTATATGTCAAACGTACCTTGAAGCTTGACACCCATAGCCTGGATGTCTTCCGTGTCCCAATAACTGACTATTCATGTCAAAAGTCAATGGACTCTCGTTGGTTTACACTCCGCCACGAATCGTTTTCATTGATACACAAGGATGAAAACATTTAGAAATCGAAGTATTTGTTTTGTAATTTGGATAAAAGGCCCGTGTGTTGAGTCATTTCTGGGTATTATGTCGCTCGTATTTTTACTGCTCAATTATATATTTTTTTCAACTCTTCAAATTGCTTCCAAATACCGTGTCTGCGAAGAAAACCATGTCGAAATGTTGATACAAGAGCTCCAGGTTCAATCTCTCTTTTATGATAACAATGGCTCCGTCATTTTTGTACAATAATTCTAGAGATACACCATCGCGTTCTATTTTGCGCGAGTACGAATGATAATTGTTAATCATCTAACATTACCTCTTAGACAAACATTAATACTTGCCTTATTAATGATACACCAACAAAATATTTATTTTTGGCAACGGGCATTGGAATACATTGTAAAAATATGCAAATAAAATGGAATGTCACTGTAATAAGAATAGCTCAACTTTATCAACAGTAAATTAACGTTGCACCAATCAAAGATGCGTCTTCATCCAGTGTCGCTAGTCGAAGCCCTTCGACGAAATAGCTTAATCATGTGATATATGCTGAACAAACAAATTCTTCATGTGTATTCCACACTTGAGTATGATGTATACCAGGGGCGTGCAACTGTTTATTTTGTCTGGCTTGGAACTATTTTTTAATGATTTGCTCATAGCAGTGAATGGTGCCGAAAATAGATAATTTTTTGCATGATTTTCCAGATTTTTGCAATGTCTTTACTCTTTACACATAACTCCAACGTAGTCATGTGACACGGCGTGGAAAATGCAGATGGTGCCGTTGCAAATAAGAAAAAGTATTTAAGAATGATGGGATACTAGGTTTTTACAGGCGCTTAATAAGGTTCCAGGGTCCGGACAATGGTTCGCGGGCCTTATTTTAGGCCCCTGTGATATATACTGATAACATAATATATACAATAGAAATTAATTATGGGTCGAACGCAAGTACGGCAGATGCTTTTTATTCAGCAAACCTAATACGATAGAGATGATCGACGGTTCCCAGGTGTTTTAATCAAAGTCAAACATTGCTCACTATAAGAAGCCGTTCACACGATCACGTCAACTTGGATATACACAACAGGGCATGGAATGTCACGGAATAAATTCATCATTCTATGTTTCAAGATAATGATTTTGTGCTATTCTAATGTTAAGCAAAGGTCGACTATAATTAATAATTAATTTGGTATAGACGTAACGCGACTTGATCAAAGAGATTTTGTTTTAGCTTTTGTAGCATATAAAGTGAAATGACGTCACAAACTTGATGAGAATTTGTTCGACTATTTACAGATGGTTGATTATTTGCAGACAACTTTATAGTGTTGTCATATGTGACTGCCATGCGCACACAATTGTGCAAGATTTTAGTATAATTATAATTCCGTATACATCAAATAGGTAGGCAGGGCTGTAATTTTTGAAATGATTTTTACTTCTCAAAATTATTTTTTAAAAATTCAAGAGACCTAAGATATTTAGCCCAGTTTCCTTCTAATTAGGCAATGGTGTGAACGGCGCTGAAAGCGAAAGGACTAGAAAGTACAAACGAATACACAACTTATAAATAGACCATTACGAAAATAAAGTTCGTAATTAAAAAATCTAATATACAACTAACACTCACACTGGTTTCCAAAAAATATGCGATTTTGGCTAGTTCTTGACTTGCTCTTTTTTTCAAGCGCTTGTAACGACGTGCTCCATCCCAATATGGTATCGACTCGATAGATATTCTATACTGACAAATGAAATTCAAGCATAATATTACTACTTCAGCACAGCATAGACTATGGACTAAAGCTGAATCTTTAAAGCTGGATAGGTCAGCACTCTAGTCCTGCATTTTAACGACAGTATACACTGAACGATGATAAATTTATTTCGAAACTGTCATAATAAATTTTGAATGAAATGAAAGAACACATATTCGTTAATGTGAAAGATTACGTGTGCGAATATATACTTCATATTATTAATTGCCAAGTTGTCAGGATCCATTCCTTGGTATGACATATTTGTTCTTGTCTTCCGTACCTTCCACTTGTATCTATTATTTTACACTTGAAATATGGGTTTACTAACTGCACCTCAAACATTGGTTTCATTTAAAATATTTGATTGTTGAAATCTATATGTGCTAGTATGGATATTGGAATTGAGTAGTGTGGCTAGGCACTATATTTAAAACTGTTTATTTTAGGTGAGAATGAGTTATTTATCATCTATTGTAAAATCTATAAAAGATAAAACATGGAAGTGTTATACAGCTGAATTTTTCTGCACTCATCTCGAGTCATCCACGCGAAAAATAATCTGGGAATTGTTTGAAGAGTAACGCAAAAGTACTTAATTCACATCACATGGCGATGACAGCATTAAATAAAATTTTTCCTCATAAACTTGATTATTGTACAATATCACAATATTTGTTTCGACCCAACGTACAATATTAGAATGACATCAGCATTCACTTCCCAAATACGTGTATATAGTCGTGTAATGAAGAAATTTTTCAGTGACGTATATTTGCTTTAAACTGTGATCACTTTATTTCGAAAGTTTTTCTAGATGATTACAACTCTTTATGGTAACGTAGACTCATACTTTTGAT